TCCTTTTACTCTTTTCCATGTCTATACCTAACAATATTTTGTTTATATCCTTAAATTTAGTCATTAGATCATATTCTTTCAATTTATATTACTTAATTTTCATTAAATTTTTATTCTGTTTGTAAAAAAAAAAAAAATCTTTATTTGTGATTCTGTTTGTTTCTATTAAAGTTCAACCAGCTTGTGGTCTTGATTTTCTCCTTAATCATCAAATTTGTATGAACTTCATCATATTTTTATATTCCAACTTAAATTAGTTTTGTCCTGACTGAAGTAGTAAAACATTAGTCTCGTTAACTCCTAACTAACAAAAAGTTTAATTTTTAATGTATTTTTTGTTCCACCTATTTTACTAGTGAAAACATACCTATTTACGTTACGTTAATTATGTTAGTTACGTTACTATTGGTTCAAAAGGTCATATGTAAAAATTTTCCATTTTATTCTGTTTGTGCTGACAGTGACATTTTGTAGTATGTCACTGATATAGGTAGTGTGCTACTATGGAAAATAACAGAAGAAAATAAAATATGAAATTACACTAGTAAATTATTAGTTTTTATGCTCTCCTGTAAAACACTCTATTTGTTTATATGACCTTTTGCACCAACAGTATTGATATACACGGTCAGTATGTACTGGGATTTTTTTTTTTTAATCGCGACTTGTCAAGTATGCAATTGGCAAATGTGGAACTCTTCCGCATTTTGTATTTGCTTATAACCAAAATTCGTGGATATCAAACCTACAAATGTTAAGGGATTTCTGTATTTCTGAAAACAGCTTCTCCCAGAAATTTTATTCTCATACGAAAAATTATAGACCTTGAAATATAGATATTGTTTAGGCAATGAAAACAGTCAGGAAGCTATACTGACCTTACTTGCCAGACATTTATTTTTATTTTCCTTGTTACCGAAAGCAAATTGAAAACTAAAGAGAAAAGACTATTTAAATATTTGTGTTTCCCATAGTCTTTTTTATAACTTCATATTCCTTTTTTTAATTTTTCTCTATTATCCTATGTTTATCTCACTTCCTCTGAACATAAGAAGACATAAACTTATAGCAACTACGTCACACTATTAATTTTATTTTTATCATTTAAGATTTGTATCTCTTAATATCCCATTTTATTTTTTATTTCATTTTTCGTTGCTTTGTTAATATCATTAAGTTTGTTACCGTTATTTTACTATTGTTTACTTCATCGCTTTATTACATTTAATTTACACTTCCTAAGTTTGTTCCGTTATGTTTTAAGCTTCAGCTTTGTTACCGTTACTTCATACTTCCATAGTTTAAATATCATATATTTGCCATTCCATATATTTATTAATGTCAAGTTTAACTACCTACATATTATTTTTCCTACATATTATTACTATTACTGTCTACTATTTTCTCTATATTTGTATGTTATCTTGTCTTAGTTTAGCCCTGATGAAGGCCTAAAATTTTGGCCGAAACAGTTGGCACAAAGGAAATAAAAATAAATATTTTTTTTTTAATTTTTACTTTGTATTTTCATTGACTAAAAACTGCAACCAATTTCTCTTCAATATATCTTCCACTGTCAACAATTATCTGCTATCAAAAATAATCTTATTTTATGGTCAGAATAATCTACTGATATTTTAAAAATAAAATTCCAATCCATTTTTACTTATTGCTCTTCGTTTAATTTTGTAATTTTTATGCCAATGCCCTGATCTATAAAAATAATTGTTAGAAGCAAATAAAATTTTTATTTTATGAATTTGGATTATTTTTAATATCTCCATTTAGACCAGAGTTTGAAATAGATAATTATTTTTTTCACAAAATCATGTGATAATTATTATATTTGATTTTTAATTTTAAAATAATGCTTGATTTATAAATAAAAATTAAAATTCATCTTTGATGTTTATTTATTCGATTAAAAATAATGATCACTCATTAAGTGATACATTATTACATACACAATAATAATTAAATTACGATAAAAAAAATATTCAGAAAATAAAAATCACCTTTTATACATTAATTAATATGTATGTTAACATTATTAATATATACATTATTTAATATTTTATTTCTGAAATTGCTTTAATTGTCCACTTGTCGACAATTAAACGAGTTTTCACTAGTGAAGTGTATCTTTAGCGAAGTGTATATATATATATATATATATATATATATATATATATATATATATAAAAATATATATATATATATATAAACTGCCTCACTAGATGGAGCTGGAAGAGTTTAATTTTAAAATAAGAATTTTTTTCAAGTGCTCAGGCGTCAACCTGGATGTTAAGTCGCTAAAGATACAATATATATATATATATATATATATATATATATATATATATATATATATATATATATATATATATATATATATATATATATATATATATATAAAACATTTAAATTTTTTATTTAAAAAATTATTATTGTTAATTGTAAAGATTTTGTTTAAAAATAATGATAAGGATATGATTTTTATCACTTATGATCAAAAATAAAAATCGTTCTTTATAAAAATCATCAAATGATTTTTAAAAATTCTGACCAGGTAAAAGTTTTTATCGGATTTTATTTTTTTTATTTTCTTAATTATCGATTTCAAACCCTGCTGTAAACAGTATTCAAAAACTCTCCTAAAGTGATATATATCTCATAGCACATTTTCCTCAAACAAATTTAAATTGATTCTTGAATAAGGTTTAATAAAAATTAAATTAAATTTATGACAAGCAACCTTATTTTGGTTATTCATTTTTCATGAAATCTTTATTTAATTAATGCATTTAATCAACAGCGGATTAAGACGTTGAATGGATACTCTCATAGCAATACTCCCACAATTATATTCCAACTTATAAATATATTTTTAACAAGAAGATGTTTTTATTTAATGTATAATATAACACTTTGGCTTTTATTTGACATTTTCAAATAATCTAAGACAAAACAACAGTAAAAAAAAAAATCTCTAAAAGCTAATTAGTATATTATTTATTGTTAGGACTGGTTATGATAATTATTGTTTAAAAGTTTTTAATATCGTTGTTGTTTTCATTTTGTCACTTTTTATCAGATTGTTTTGCTATTTATTGCATATCCCTTTTTGCTAGAGAAAAGATAAATAAAGATGATTAACACAAAGGATACAGCAAAAACACCATGGAAGGTTATCATAGTTGCCAAGGGTAATCCTAGGTAACTAAGTTTTTCTTCTGAGTAAAGCTTAAGCGCCTATGGTCGACCAATCAAGATGAAACTTGGTTTAATCTTAGATAACGCTTAATCTAAACTTTACTGAGTTGGAGAACTAGCCGTTAATGAGGTAAAGAAATGACAAAATAACTTGCACAAAAGTCAGAGAATGAAAAAAACTAAATTGTAATAAGAACTTTTAAACACGTTATTATCATAACAAGTACTACCATTGAAAAGCATGGTAGTGGCCAATGATAGCGGAAATGTCAAATGACCATGTTGCAACGCCTTTATTTCCTCATCAAATCCAATGATTGAGCTCTCATTTTAAAGATCTTCAGGTGGGAAAAATAGTCACATCTCCCCGAAATTTAGGTAAAAGAAGTTACGAAGGAAAAGAAACTTTATTTGTGAATAACTCAAAAATTATACTTTTTTGAAGATTGTACTCATGATTAATTGAAAGATTATTAAATTCCCTACAACACAAATTAAAAATCGGACCATTACTACCAAAGATACAGACCTCAGATTTGATATACGTAAAACTTTCTTCCCCTTCGAAGATACTGCTTTTACTATTCTACTACTGTTTTTTTTCTGGCTGATATATACTTTATTATTTCTTATAGGCATTTTTTTGTTGTTGAAATATAATTGGGAATATTGTGGTTCTTTTAAAAGCTTATTCTAATGTTAACTAAGGTGGTATTTTGTATCAGCCGAAATGTCATATGATATATTAAGTAAAAACTTATTATTACAAATTTTTTTTTTGCTTTTTGACACTATCTTTTTCCCTATCTAACATGACCTCAGGTACAATTTTGAATTATAGCTCATTACAAAGAGATAAAATGCTGAACATTTTCCTTTCTTACAGTATGCTGATCTGATGTTTAGTTTCTGAGATATTTTAATAAAAAAAAAAAAAAAGTATTTGACTTGAGACGAATTTACCCGAATCAGCGTTACGTAGCTGAGTGTCATGGCTCTGTCCCATTCACTACCCACAAATTAAAGTGCTAAGCACGCCTAAAGAAGTTTTAAAGTTTAAGTTTTAAAGAAGTAGTGAAACTATTGTTATTATTCCTAATACCTGAAAATCATTTTGATAAAAGTTAGGTGTAAGCTCAACTATATACAAATTTAAAGGAAAAATTTTGCTTACATAATAAATATGTTGGAAAGAATAAAGATAGAAACTGACATAAAACATACGCAACCGCTATCAACTTAATTTTTTAGTATAGACTAGTATCAAATGTTTTTTTTAATTTGGAAGTATAAACATATAAGGATGTTAAAAACTGTTTAACTATCAATATGTAATGGTTATAAGACTTGTGGTAAGTCTTTTACTCACTTTTACCTCAGCCTCCTTTCCACTTGTGAACAAATCTTGGATTTCAGCATTCATGGAAATCCATTAATACAATACATAAATTTTAACCTTACTCGATCAGTCAGAATCTGGATAGCTTGGCTGGCCAATCAGTAATCGAAATGTATGCTGATGGACTGTGTTGGGTCAGCTTAATTAGCAGTAGACCAATAGGAATGACTGAAAAAGAATCTCCTTCAGAAGTTGGAATTGAATTAACTACTTAAAAAAATTTATATTATTATCGATTTTACTTAGGTATAGAGATTATGGTTTGATTTATTCTAATTTTTTGGAATCTGAAAATATATTCTTGAACTGTATATCTATTTTGTGAATTCTTGTCATTTAAAATATTAGTTTAACTTATATATAAAATATTAATTTACTTTTCTTTCAGGTTACGTGCACTATCTTCGCAGCAGCCTGCCAGATACCAGCTAGCAGAATTCCGTTACGGAAGGGAAGAAATGCTTGCACTATTTTCTGCCAATTTACCTCCACCAGAGTCATTAAAAAATCTTCACGGGCTTTATGTCGAGAAAGCACAGCCCCCGCTCGCCCTTAATACGATGTCAGATGAAGAAACAGTAAGCTCATTTTCAACAGTTTAGTTCATTTTCTTATTTCTTTATTTTTAAAAACCTCAAAGTGAAAAGGATATTCATGTATGTTTTATACAAACATATGTATCTTTTTCATTTTGTTATCTCATAGCTACTTTAGTTCTCTGATAACCTTTAATTAAGAACATTTAATCAGTGGTTGAGAAGAATCATCTTCAAGTGAAAAGTTTTTTTATGCCAAGTTATGGAAGTTTATTAGCCATTCCAGCGACCCATTAACGGTCATGTGCTTATGTACCAATAGTTGAGCACAATCTATGACTCGCAATACTGGACTATACGCAGACTAGTAAAGCCTTGGGTGAAGAAGTCTTATTCTCTATCTCATGATATGCTCGTTAGACATTAATATGATTGGATTCGGGACAAGTCTGTAAAACCACTTTCCTCTTTCTTACAAAATCCAGAAATTTTCTATGAAAAAAATGATTGTATACGGCTTTATAATTTGCTGGTGTAATTCAGCTTAGGAAGTCTGCAATTTAGCCTCTAGGCCATTTCCTGATAGATGATTTCAGCCTCCTCAACATTCTCTCCCAACTTCAAAGCATCTTGGTGATGGTGCGCTGGGTTCACTACCCCATCAAATTCCTCTTCTTCTCCTTTATCTTTAGTGATATATCACTCATTCATCTAAGTCCTTTATGAACCTCTAGAAAAATATTAAATAGTGGAAGTTATTTAAAATACTTTTTCTTTTCCAAATGTAACCGTGTTGATTGAGAGGAGTAGGTAAATAAATTAATTGCAAGAGATATGAATATGAATGAACTTCTGAACATAACGTTATATTTTCATTGACAAAATAACTCTATATATAAATTATAAGATTTGAACTTTTGATATATTTGTCTTCAAGTCCTTCCGTCTAAACTTTTCGTCACTTAGGTTTACTGTTCGCTTGCCATGCTGCCTGATATAGGCCAATAAAGGTAATAAGTTCTCCAAAATCTATTTCATATAGCTCTTGTAATAGTGTTTAGTACCTTGGCCAGACAGATAATATTAAGCAGTGGAAAGTGGAGGAATGGGAGAAAAGTTTAGGAATTAAAATGTCCTCTTGTTGGCCAAAATATAGTTTTTTCCTAATCGATGTATTCTTAAAACGGGGTGTATCTTTCATTTGATGGCTTCTCAAATTTATATAAATTAGTTGTAAATTTACATAATATATAGCTTTATATAGGATATTGAATAAGTTCTTGGTGTTTGCTAACAGATGGCACCAGTACTGTGTTTGCGTTTCATATCAAATGGTAACACAATTTTCCAAGAATTACTGTCATTTAGCTTGGACTTCAATGTATGTTAGTTCGCCATATATAATATTCGCACTGTGGGAGATTTTATTTTTAAAAAATTACAATGGAAGCACACAGAATTCTTGTTGAAACTTATAGTGAGCATTCTCTGTTGGAAATGACATGTTGTAAATAACCTTCCGTTTTGTCGGGAGTTTTGGTTATTTACACTCGTGAATTTTAATTTTTAAACCAAAATCCTGGCTCTGGATATAAACTTTTTGAGGGTGTTTGTCCTTTTAATGAACAGGACTGTATACTGGTCGCTGTCGACTCAATAAGCACCTCTTTAACTTGGGCTTAAGCGAGATTCCCACCTGCAGGCTGTGTGGCTTGGAGGATGAAACAGCCTACCATATTATCTGCAGATGTGATAATTTGGCTAGACTGCGATATTTTCACTTTGGATGTGATCGTATCGTTGATCCTAAGCATTCCGAACTAATAGATCCCATTAGTAGTAACAAGTTCGCATCTGGCCTATCCTAATAGAGCTTTAGGACGACACACAATAGGCTTCTATGAGGCCGCAGTGCATCCTTAAGTTGGGTGAAAAAAAAAAAAAAAAAGAAACCTGCTTAAAAGACAAGTCATTTTTCTGATGTGAAATTCATATGCTGCCAGAAAGATGAGAGAAAGTAGTGGTGGGCAATACTTTAAGTGACTTTTTATCATCACTTACCTGAAAAAAAAAAACATTAATTTTTATATAAATAAACAGTGAGAACTTATTCAAGGTCCTTATATTTATTAATATCTGATTATTATATAATGTTTATTGTTGATAACATTTATTTCTCCCGCAGAGAATGTGGAACAGAGGAATCAACTCCGACGCAGTCCTCCGATCAGTTGGTAAAGGTGAAAGAGGTGGAGGACTGCGAGGGAGTGGCGGAGGAGGAGCTGGCGGACGGGGCGGGCGGGGGAGAGGTGCCTTTTACAGGGGCGGCACCGAGCGCTACGAGGAGGGTGGTGATGCTCCTTTTGCCAGGCAGCGTCCCTTCGATAGATCTCAGGTAGTAGCGTATTTCTTAATTAAATACAATAGAAGAATTTCGATTCGGGAATGTTTTTGATTTCCTGACCATATTCGACAGAACTTATCTTTAATAAAAATAATTAAATAAAAGTTTTCAAGAACTTTGATGATAGTAAAGTTCTAGGTTTATTTAAACTTTAACTATATTTTTATAAGTAGTTTTAAAAAAGTTGGGTTAAATAAGAAATGAGCAATAATTGGGCTTGATTTAAATGTATAGTTTATCTAGAATGAATTACTTGATTTTCTTATTAAAGCGGCATTGCACATTTTCTATTTTCTTTCTTATGTTATAAATTAATATTAATTAATTAAAAATTAAAATTCTATAAATCCTTTAGTTTTTCATTTTGTTACTTGGGGGGAACAGGAAATTTTAATTTATAATCCATGAAATCTGACTCTTGCAGACTGATAGACTCTTGCAGATAACCCTGAAATAATTGTTTTCAAAAAGTGCATATCATTTAATAATATTATTTGTTTCTAGAGTGAAAGAGGAAGAGACAGCTGGTCAGAAAGGAACGGAGGAGAAGGTCGAGGAGGTGGAAGGGAGAGGGAACCTAACTGGAGGAGAGGCCAGAGGAGCGGCGGGGGCGGTGATGAAGATGACTGGCGGCCTTATTCTTCTTCCAACAAGTGGAACGTCTCAGGAGGTCAGTTTTTTAAAAATAATGTCCTATCGTTTATGTTTTTATGTTTATTTTTGTGTAGTTTAAAATACTATTATATTTTTTTCTTTATTAAATATTTTAATAGTAGATGAAGATGACTTTTTTTTCATAAAACATCAATAATAAATAGTCCCTTTTCTGGCTCTCAAGTGCCAGATTTTGATGAATGAGGTATCAAACGAAAGGGAATTTCATTAACCTGTTAACCAGAGAATTCCCTCTTTAATTATGCAGCATAAATCGGCCATGAACTCTTTCTATTAGGATGTGTCAGTACGTCACGCCTGGAGGACGTAATTTCATATAATTATTATTTTTTTATTGATGCTTAAAATAAGCGATAAAACTATGAAATATATATTTTTTCGTTTATTTATATATAAAGCACAAAGGAAAATACAAAATTACAAACAAATAGAAAAGAATACCAACAAAAAAATAGAAACCGAATTAAGAAGCATATTTGAAAACAAAGAACACTTTAATTCAGGATAACCAATACCAGAGTGTAACCTTTTTACTTTGTACAAAAACATATGCGCTTGATAACTTAATCTATTAGGCCCGGTTTCACCGACCATTGTTAACTTTAATTTGTACCAAACTTTCATTTGATCGTTGCACCAATGTTGGTCAGCCTTTGCAATGTATTATGTTATCATAACTAGCTAATCTAACGTTAGACCTTGATCGAATCTTTAAACGATGTTAAAGTGTAACCTTACATACGGTTACTTCAAACAACAAACAAATATTTGCTTCTTGTCAGAACACTACAGTACTGTTTTAGTCTTGTACGTTTTTCAAGGTGACTAAAAATTTGATTTCATTTGAAGAACATTCTCCTGAAGAAAGTTTATCATCAGATGAAGACTTATTAAATCTTATCAGTCTGTTTTTCACTCTCTGAAAAATTGCTCCCTCTTTCTCTTTTTTCCATCGTTTTTACAATGATTAACAAGAGATAATCAATCAAATAACCTAACACTTTGCTAACTGTAAATATCAAAGTTTACACTCCAGTGGATGGAAAGTTTCATAATATAACCCAATAGTCTGAAGTACAGACCCCTTTTTATTAAATTATTAACATCCGCCTGAAACTTCATAAATAGTTCCATATCATCATAACCTACAATTATTTTATTTACGAAAACTCTTGGAGTTAAAGCGTTTTCAATCTGGAGGGGGACAAATTTTGTGTATATAATAATGAGCTATCAAATAATGGCCTGTATAACCTCGTTATTTTAACTTTTTCGGGGTGAAGATAACACCAAACAGTTCAATAACTTTTTAGGTCACTTTTTTTTTTTCAAATTTGTGATCATATTATCTACGATTCAAGTGGAAAGCAAATGGATCTTCATGAGTACTTTTAGTACCTAATTAAATAGACAAAGTTTGCCGATCTCCAGAATGAAAACGCCCCAATTCAGGGAATTTTCGTAAATGAAATATTTGTAAACATTGTACAATGAGATGAAGATCTTTATGAAGTTTCTGGCGTTTGTTAATAATTTGATTACAAAGGAGTCTGTACCACGGACAAGTTAATCTACAATCACAGGTTCGTGTTAAACGTCATAAGATAAGATGATGTCACAAGTTTTATAAACTCGGTTTATAAATTTTTTGGAGCAACTGGACTCAAATTTTAACATTCGGCTAAGTTTTAATGTGAGTTAATTAACTGAGAATGTTAACTTTAGTCACGACTGTTGGTGCAACTGGGTCTTAGTAAGACAAATTACAAAAAAATATTTCAATAAACAAATAAACAATTTTATAGAAATAAATATTTTATTATAACAAGTTTCAAAACTTGTTACAAAAGCCGCTACAAAAGTCTTAAGAATGAGATGAGATAAATGGTGTTTTAAAGATTTTGATGCAGACATCAAAACTTATTAATATTAAATAATATTAACATAGGCTTATTAATGACAGCCTTTTAAATTTTGAAAATTTTGACTTTGAATTTAGACAAACTAAAAATCTATTGAAAAGATAAATGAAGGAGAATAGTAGCGGTATGACTTTTTATGATTGGAATAAAGAAGAAACGAGAAAACCTCAGGATATTTCTCTCTGTTATATAAAAAAGTTTTTAGTGACTTTCATATTCTATTTTATTTTAATATTAGAAGATTACAGGAGCTCTCCTCATTAGCTCTGTGATTATCACTAATTACACAGCTGTTCATTTAATTATGAGTTCCTGTAACCCCCTACTATTCTAATACAAGATAAAGATTTATACCCTGGTGCTGGTGCCTTCATTAGAGTATTGAGCTGCCGTAACCTCCTCTCTTAATACAAAATAAAGATTTTAAACCAAAAATTTGTATGGAAAATGGTATTCATTTTTACCTTGGTAACACCAGTTATTTTTCGATCTAGACATTTCCCCTTGAATACAATATATTAAATGTTATATTCAATATAATATTATTTATATTATATTGTGATATAATTATAATTATTATGAAATTGAAAAGGAAGCACAATAAAACAATGAAAATTTTGGAAATAAAATGCTCAAATTGATGTTGGACTTTATGACGTTGGACAAATTGAATATACACTGACAGGCAAAAAATTCCACCCACTTAATTTTTTCATGTTTTCATCTAAAAATATTTCTGCATTGGATTGGTCTATTGTTTTTAATGAATAAATAGGTAATCTTTTTGTTTGTTTTCAATTAGGAATGTTAATATAGAGGACAATAACCCTTAATCCTTAATTCAATGAAATGATTCTAGATTCCAATATTTACTTTCTATGGAATCAATATGTTTATTGAGTATCATTAATTCAATGCCGTTTCTTGCAGTACATTTCTTAGTCTCCGGCTTTTAATTTTTTCAATATTAAGTTTAAAAATGCCTCTTAGTGCTGAGGATCTTGTGCGTGGTATGGTACTTATTGATGACGGACGTCCCATTAGATATGCATCTAATGCCATCGGAGTTCCATATGAAACTTTACGAGACGCCGTCAGGCGTTTTGGGGAAACTGGTTCTTACAATAGAAGGCCCGGTTCTGGACGGCCTAGGGTAACAGAACCACGATATGACCGGTTTTTGACTTTGAGAATTTTACGAAACCGTCACCTAACCGTTGTTCAAGCGATTCATCAGCTCGAAGAAGTTCGAGGTGTACAAATTTCTGAACGTACTGCTCGGAGAAGATTAAATGAATATGGATTAATGGCTTTTTGTCCATTAAGAGGACCAGTTTTGACCAGAACTCACAGAGTAACATGGCTGTCTTTTGCTCGAGAACACAGGCATTGGACTATGGATGAATGGAGTGCTGTACTTTTTACAGATGAGTCAAGATTCGCTCTTCGATCTCCAGACGGGCGTGAAAGGGTGTGCAGAAGAAGACATGGTTCCTTAATGGGTTCCTTAATGCATGATAATGCATGCCTACATGTCGCCCACATAGTGCAGATGTTCCTTCAACAGAACAATATTGAGGTTTTAGCCTGGCCAGCACGTTCTCCAGATTTGAACCCCCTTGAGCATTTATGGGATAACCTCGGAAGACAAATAAGAGCGCGTGCAACACTTCCTGATACACTGCAGGACCTTAAAAGGGCTCTTCGGGAGGAATGGGCTATCCTCCAGCAAAGGGACATTTCCCGACTGGTGGAAAGTATGCAGAGGCGTCTTCAAGAAGTAGTGAGGACAAGAGGAGGAAACACGTGCTACTAAACGATGATGTAATTAATTTCTTTTAGAATAATAGTGACTTCAGGATGGGTGTATTTTGAAGAATTACAGGACAAAGGCTAACCTCTTCCCTAAAAAACATTAGAGTTGATAGATGGAAAGTGCTCCTTGGCCGTTACACCAATGGTCTTCATCGAAAGATTTTGTTTAGCGATGAGAAAATTTTTACAATTGAAGAAAAATTTAATCGCCAAAATGATTGTGTGTATGCACACATCTCTAATGAAGCCCAGGAAGTCATTAGAAGAGTGGAAAGAGGTCATCACCCTTCCTCAATGATGTTTTGATGGGTCGTTTGCCTTTTGTGGGTTTGATGGGGTGTTTACCTTTGGCACCACAAAGTTCCATTTTTGTGAAAAATGAGTTAAAACAGCCGCTAAAAACTAAGAGGACAATATTTTGAAACCTGTTGCCAAGTCTCTAAATGATACTCTGTTTGCTGGAAGTCATTGGGTTTTCCAGCAGGATTCCGCTCCAACTCACAAGGCCAGGTCAACTCAGCAGTGGCTGTAAAAGAACATTCCAGAGTTCATCTGTGCCTCGGATTGGTCCTCAGGAAGCCCCAATCTCAACCCAATAGATTATCGGCTTTGGTCAGAACTGGATATTTATGACAGGACTAGATACTATACGAATAAGCATGTTTGACTGATTAATGTTTCCATTATAGAGGAAAAGAGAGAAGTTGGCTCAGAACTCAGTTGATAAAGGTTTTAAATGATTGTAACACATCTGTCCTGTTTTGGTTAAAGGTAGTAAGTGTAAACTAGTTGGCCCCTGCGAATGATTCGCAGAAAATTTTGTTTAGTGAAGAAATAGCAAAACAATATGGAAATGTGTAGTTCCTATGTACTATGTCAGGAAGTAATTAATATTTTTTTCTTGGTCGATTGCAATATCCCATTAAACGTAATAGACCAAAATATTTGTACAAATTGCTTTGCTATGACGTATTTTTAAACGCTGACTGGAAAGATAATAAAAGTAATAAAGACAAAATAATGAACCGCAATCATGGGATTTTCTAAATTATTAAAAAAAATAAAATGTAAGAACAACCAAACGTCTTTAAGAAATAATAAAGTTAATATATCAGCTAGGAAAAAAAGTTTAGTGGACTCCTAAATACAATATCTTTTAACAGGAAGACATCATTAAGTATACCAAAACTAATGGACTGTATCTTTGTCAATGTCCGATTTTTATGATTTTTTTTTGTTTTTTAGGTAATTTAGTATGCATACTAAATTTTGTAGGTAAATTCTATACATATATAGAAAAAATACATAGTTTTTGAGTTATTCGCAAATAAAGTTTCTTTTCCTTCATAACTTTTTTTCCAGAAATTTCGGGAGGATAGGACTATTTTTCGCATGTGAAGGAGAAGACTATCTTCAAAATGAGTGGTCAATCATTGGATTTGATGATGAAGAATTGGCAAAGTTATGGCGTACCGACAAAAAAACACCTTTTAGAAATAATATATAGGATATTAACTAGCTGTAGTATATATGTATATTTTTGTTTTTAACAACTGGCTTACAATTTGTTACAATTACTGTTACAGGTCGAAGTAATAATTGGAGGGAAGAAGATAGTTATGATATGAATCAATCCCATTCCGGCAAAAATTCAAACCATCACCTGCCAGAATGGTTAGTAATAAATTATTATTTATTATTGTTATGTATCATTTATTATTCTATTCACATATTTTAGAATATATAGAATATAATATATATATATATATATATATATATATATATATATATATATATATATAGAACTGTTTTATCCTGTTGAATAGTTACTTTCACTTATCTATAAATGTAATATGTATTAAGGGAAAGTATTGCGATAATAAACAAATTTTAATCCGAGTTTTCAACGGAAATACACATTTTGAGGTTCTCTGAGTTCAGATAACCAAGTTTCACAAAATGGTCTCTATTTTTATGTGAGCAGTCTAGCTCAAAAACAAAAAGGCATGCGAAACTGAAATTGCATATGCATGAGTAATTACAGCAGTCAAAGTTGAAAACCGATCTAGCCATGCACCCAAAAAATGGTGCTATACCTTTTAGCGAATTGATTAAACACACTTTACATAATAATTTGCCAGAATTCTGAGCTCAAATTGTTTCAAAACACCCACAGGATCTCATTGAATAATTTGAACCATCAAACTTGAAAATCGATCCAGCCGTTCGCGGAAAACAGCATTACAAAACTTTTTGCAAATTAAAATTAAACACATTATGTTTATTAATGGGTCAATATTTTTGTTTCAAAATACTCGGGAGATCTCATCGAATAATTTGAGCTATTAATCTTAAAAATCGATCTTTCTTTTCGCTCAAAACATTGTTAATAGCTTTTAGCAGACTACCCAAACACATATACCTTGTTTCACTTCACTTAGTAATATAATAAAAGAAGATTAGAGAGAAGCATACAATTCCAAGGATAACTTAAATAATTATAAATTAATTAATAAATGTTTTAAATTTTTTTGTTTTATTCAGAGATTACGTGCTTGGTCACTACAAACTAAGCTTGGTCCCTTTGATTTTGTTATAACTGGGGTTAAATTTTAAAGAGGCTATTAAATTGTTGAATTGTAATTGAATGTTAAGTTGGTTTATCATCTATTATCATTATTTTTTGTAGTTTTAAATTAAACATTTTATCTTTCTTTACAGGGCTACAGAAAAGAATAGTGAAGGTGGAGGGACATTCGATTCCTCGGGGGCTTTCCATGGTCCTTCGGAACACAGTGAAGAAGAAGAACCTAAGAAAAATGAAAACGTATGCTTCCATTTTGTTGCTTAAAAGATTTCATTTACTTTTATTAACCGGCAGATTATTGCCACGTTTTGATTCAGTTTTATGTTTTGCTTTATTAACATTATGGTGTTGGCCATAAAACTGATTTGTAATATATTTTTCTATGTTAATTGTGCTTTAATATTTTTGCATCTATTTTAACTATATGCATGAGCAAATTGCATGTTTTGTATTTTAGTTTGCATGTTTCTGATTTTTTTTTTTTTTTCCTCATTATCCATTGTTTAATTCAAACCTACAATTTTGTTGTATTCATATTAGTAATTTTGGGATAATTTTTAATTAAAAAAAAGAAAAAAAAAAGCAAAAACCTGGATATTGATATAATAAAGTAATTGTACTAATGTGTGGTAATTTTCTTTTAAAGTTAAATATTACAGTAGATTTGTGTATTGCATTAATTATTTTATTTATCGAGTATTATTGGTTTAGGAAGTTAAAATAATTGAATGCTCGCTTAAAATGCTTGTGTTATTATAGCCCCTTCGTTGCTGAGTTTTTAATTTACTATATTGATTATTGCTGTTATTGAGATTTAAAAAATAAAGTAATATAGGAACTCTATACTTATAATGAAAAAAAGTTGTTTAGAAAAATTTTGATTAAATTTTTAAGAGATGTAGTGAAATAATTTATTTCACATTTTTCATAACGAAAATAATGATTCACAAATGATATTCAAAGTAAAAATAATTATGAGAAATATATTTGGTCTGAAGTATACAGAAATACTTAAGATTATAGGATATTGTAGATATTCAAATTTAGTCTGGTTTTCCATTCCATCACACTACAGTTATATCGTCAAATAAGGAATGATTTTCGTATAACCACACTGGAATCCTTACTTAAATCAAGTATTGAAAAGTTGTTATGTATATTATTTCAAATAAATAAGCAGTAATTAAAAGAACTTAATTAAAACGTTAAATTGAAGAGAAAATACAATTGCGTTCTGTAGAAATATGCATTATTAATGTTTCTATGAAAAAGAGATACCAAAAATTGTTATGTAAGTGGAATATTTTTGATGTATGAGTCAATTTGAAGGAAACAACATTTCTTTTTCTTATAATTTCTAAATAATCTTGTGTAGGAAAGATAGACAATTACTACAGGCTAAATCTGTGGAATTGTTTGTTTGTTTTCAATTCCACCAAAACTTATAATACTAGAATATTACTAATTAGTTTTTTGACATCAATATTGCAAGGAAATAAAATTTAAAAACTCTGGTTGTGCATGCGCCTCGTACAAGTTTCATTTACCATCCTACATACAGGAGAGTGATGACCGAGCTCGTAGAGATGAGGGGTGTACTCGGAGTGTACATTTTGGAACTTAATTCGTTTAATAACCACGTGTGTCAGTTAATATACTTTTTATTTAAATTTATTATTGTGGCTAAAGTTGTTAAACTAAAAGAACATTGTTTTTAATGAAAAAATGGATAGAATAGGTTAAAGATAGCTGATTCTTAAAAGTAGCTATGATACACTTATAGTCCGTGGTACAGACTCCTTTTTATCAAATTATTATAGACTGCCAAAATTTTTGTGAATGGCTTTATCTTATCGTAACCTGCAAATATTGTATCTATGAAAATTCTCAGAAATAAGGGGTTTTCTCATTAAATTAGTTAATTTACTAAGATACTAAATCTCATAATTTCTTTAAACTCATAATTTACAAACAAAAAATTTGCTTTCTACTTGAATCTTAAGATAATTTAAATACAAAATAGGAAAAAAAAAAGACCTGGCTTACAAACTATATAACTGTTTGTTCTATGTAACTTTGTAATTTTTCTATGTTAGTGCTGAAGGTTAGCCGAACAGCTCTATATTTTTTTTAAGACATTTTTTTCTGATTTTGTGATCAAATTATCTTACGATTCATGTGGAAAGGTTGTTTAATTTACTATGCCAATCCCTTCCCAGGCTGTCAGAGATATTGTCATAATAATTTTGCTTTAAGAGCTGGTGATAATTTATTGCTGTGGACTGTAAAATTAGAGAAGCTAATGGATTAAAAGAGTGAAGATGTAAAATTGATTGCTTTATTTTATACAATAACATTTAATTTTATACTGAGGTTAATGATAAGTGGGTTGGGATACTTGCATTTTCTCTTTTCTTGTATTTGCTAGTCTTCTTGTTCATCTTCGCTCTCTTCCTTTCTTGGCCCCTTGCCTGCCGATGTAGTTTTTTACTCCATATTCATCAAAGCACTGGAATTACGAATATTCAAACTGGCCAGTCTCGTTAAATGTCACGCTACGTGAGCGTCTACAATTCAGTAATGGCCGCGTCACAATAACATCTGAGGTATATATGCAGTATGCTCCAGATAACAGATGTGTTGTGTTTACTTGATTTAATTTAAATTAAATTAAAATATAAAGTTTGATGTGTTCCCTAAACAAGCCGCCCACCTAAATTAAGCTACTCTAATTTACAATGAAAACAAAAAGCGTAACATAGTGCTGTGATGTGCAATACAATATAAAAAAACTTGTCATCTTGTTTGATGAAATTAAAATAAGCAATCATGATTAATTAAGGAAGTTAATGGTACTTGTAAATAAAATATAAAAAGAAAATAATCACACTTCGATTGGTCAAAATAACAAAATTGGTTAAACATAGCAAATACAAGAAAAGAGAAAATGCAAGTATCCCAACCCACTTATCATTAACCTCCGTATAAAATTAAATGTTATTGTATAAAATAAAGCAATCAATTTTACATCTTCACTCTTTTAATCCATTAGCTTCTCTAATTTTACAGTACAAAGCAATAAATTTTCACCAGCTCTTAAAGCAAAATTATTATGACAATATCTCTGACAGCCTTGGAAGGGATTGGCATAGTAAATTAAACAGTTGTACATAAGTTTTTTTGGTACCTAATTAAGTAGACGAAGTTTGCTGACCTACAGATTGAAAATGCTCCAGTTCAGATAATTTTCATTTAAAAAAACAGTTGTAGTTTACAATGAGATAAAGCAATTCACGAAGTTTTAGGCGGACGTTAATAATTTGCTAAATAGGGGCCTGTACCACAGAGTATTATAGCAGCATAATAAAAGGAAAGACATTGCTGTTAATTGTAAACTTTGTAAGATTAGTAAATAATGTTCAGGAGGAAAACCTGAGAATTGGATGAATATATTAATTAAACCAGATTATGCTAAAAAAAAAATAAATTATTTTCATGCAATATGCTGATGTTATCATATTTAGTATATATAAAAACTAGGTTAAATCACTTATTGGACACACTGGAAGCAGGAAAATAGCCACAAAAACAATGAAAAAAAAAAGATAGTCTCATCAGAAAAAGTTCACCCTATAACTGATTTAGAAGTGGATGTGTCGATGTTCTGCAAGTTCGAGAGATGTTCCTCTGTGAAATCTCTTCTCACATCATCATAAATTTAATATTAAATCCAGAATTTTTAAATTCAAATTATGTATACTTTGTATGAGGTTTAAACTTACCCAATATCTGCTCGAATCTGATCATTGTTAATATAATCCAATTAAATCAGCCTTACATGAATTACATGCTGTAGAGTTTTCAAGAAGATAGTTCTACAGAGGATACTGGTGGCTGTCAAGGATGCTAAAACTATACTGTGGTGAATAAGAAGTTGCAGAATTGAAAACCTGATATTGGTTGTGCCAAGATATCTTAATGGAAAGTGGAAACCTTTATGGGGGAGATGAGGCTTAGGACGGAGAGTAGGGATGGGGAATAGTCGATATTTTTCCACTATCGATATTTCAGTAAATCCCCGGCGCAGATTTAAAGAGGATTTGTTTTCGTTGTATTCTTTAGTTATTTAAAATGCTACATAAGCTTTATAATAATTAACATTTATATTGGATACATTATTAAATTTTTATGTTAACTTACTAATAAAAATTATTAAATAAATAATTTTAAAAAAATTATTGATAAGAAAAAATACATTTATATTGAAAAATAAATTACATTTATTTCTCTGATTGTTAAATTCAAACAAGTTGACAACATATAGGTAGTATTGTTTTGACTATGGGTGGGGTGGCCAAGCGGACTAACGTGTGTGTGCACAGCACAGCACCGTGCGTTGCCAGGCAACCTGATAACCAAAGTTGTAAACCATAAAATAATTGCGAGTTCGCGTCCCTGTGCAATGGGGGTCTTTTCACTTGGTAATCCCCCACCCTCACCTACTGGTTCGGGAAAACCCCGTATAGCCTAAAATATGAGGGGTGGTTAAGGGGAGAACAAAAAAAAATTATTGTTTTAACTATTTGGTTAAAAAAAAAAAGGAGGCGAGAAATGTATGTGTCTTTTAATTTCCAAGATTCTAAATTTAATTTGATAATAACTCCTAGTTTTAAATATAATAAAACTGTAATGGCATCCTTTTAGATTTTTTAATTATATTTTTTTTTTATGAAAAAAAAGAAGAAAAAGGTGATCTAAATGTAGCATTTTTTCCATCCGCACAACTGGAGTTGTAAAAATATTTTTAAGAAAGTAATTAGAGATTGAATTATTTTTTATCTGTAAGGCTTCTTCTTGTTAAATTTAGTTTCAGATTGATATACTGATAAGAATAGTTTTAAACACATCTTCAGACTTCTATCCATTTATTTTTTTAATGTGGTGTTTTCATTATACAATAACCGCTTTCCATAATAAAAAATTTAACTTTAACATTGTTATATTATCAATATATCTCGAACATCAATAAATAGGTAGAAGAGTGTAGGCGTTTTAATATAAAATTTTAATTTAATTTGTGACTAAGGGGAGGATACGAACTATCGACAATCACTTGTACTATCAACGGGATACTATCAACGATCGCGAATCCCTACCGGAGAGTCAAAGAAGAGAAAACTCACTAAACACAACTTCAGACAGCTACTTTGTCAAACATACAATAAATTTTTTAATATTTTGTATTTATTAAACTATTCAGAAGTATATTAAAATACACTCAGATATCTATAATTATGTATTAAAAAATTACTTCCATTATAATTTCTTTTTATCATTAAAAAATTTACAAAATGTATAAGAGATTTCCTCTTTAATCAAGGTTGCTACATTATAAGAAAACAATGCAATTTAGATATTAATCACTACCAATAAATAAATAGATCAGCATATATAAGAATGTGATCCAACCCATGCTACCCTATGGGTCAGAATATTACATCATTCTATTGTACGCTAACAAGACTACAAAAATATCCTTATCTTAAGAATATCGAAGAGTATCTTTATCTTAAGAATATCGATTTGAACAACATGTTTTGTTAAAAATTGGAGGATAGGAAGAAATCTAGAATTAGAGGAACCGTATAAGAACTGTAGTATTATAAGAGTTATTAAGGTTGGTCACCTCATGTTACAAAGTGCTAGAGGGCCTGACGGCAAGAATTGTAGCACTACTGAAGAAGAAATAAATATAAAAACCACAACTCGCAATACAAATAAAATAAAATCTTTAAAGTTTTGCCTTTGTAATACCAAATTTTTTTTTTTTATTTATTTATTGATAGTGATTAATGGTTAAATTGTATTGTTTTCTTAGAATGAAAACCTGATGAAGGAGGAAATTTCTAGACCGGCTTGTAAATGTTTTGTTTAATTAATAAAAAGACAATATATAATGGAAGTCATTTCTCACTATATAACTACAGATATTCGAACTTAATTTTTTTATAACATCTTGATTTGTGTTATATTCTCTCAATCAAAGCACATTTTGATAATAGTTTACCACACAAGGTTATCTCTTGGAGGAATGCTTCTGAAAGGTTTTTGCTTAAATATTTTATATAAACGCCTTTTAAGAAAGTTTTCTTGAAGAAAGAAACTCATGAAACAGATCAAGAACAAACCGGTAAGATTTTGTCAAACAGGTCTCATTAAACCAAGCCTGTAGTCCACCATTTACAAGTCTGTAATACCTACGACAGACTGCTTGCCGGGAGAAGAAAATTAATAATATATTAATAATGACGTGACAATGGATTATTCGGATGGGCAGTATGTGGCAAAGAGTTTTGGAAATTGAGAACATAATTGAAAAATTCCCATCTAAAACGGAAATAGATATACTGTTCTCATTTAATGAACTTTTATATGATTTCTCAAACCAATTAAATATAAAAAATGGGAGAGATTTTTTAAAATGTTTTAAACTCATTCATTGAGTTGAGACATGGAGGTAAGTTAAGTTTGATTCGCTATATAAAATCTGTAAATAAAAGAATGGACATTTATTTAGTTAATCTGACAATTATCTGGAAGAAAAACTTAACAGTGAACGGGATTCTATGGGAATATGGACAGAGTACTTTTAAAGATGAGGATAAAAATGTGTGTCATATCTTTGCTAAAATTGTTTCAATTTCGATGATTTTCTTATTTTGTAGAGATTTTAATTACCTTTGAAATGATAATATGAATACCTCTTTAGATATGTAAAAATGAAATTTTTTTTCTGAGATGTTTTGTGCATGATAAGACTTACAAGTAAGTTTCATCATATTCGTTAAAGCCTGTTCAGAGCTACAATCTAACGAAAAACATGCTTTTTGGCTATTACTGACACGGTTTCTGATTGGGGTGAAAATACAATTATGAAAAATTTTAACTTCTTAAATTAAATTATTATTTCCTATGGTTATGGATTTTTTTTAGTATAGTATATTGACTCTTAGTGAACGTTATATATGTTTAAATTGCAACAATTGTTGGTAGTTTGGCATGCCAACTCTTCTTATTTAAAAATCAATATGTTTTTTCTCTATTAGTTAGAACCTGCATTTGAATGTCAACTTGAAAAATCTTAAAAAATAAAGTAAAATATGTTTAAGAATTTATGGTACCAATTTTTACTTTCACTTCTCTATCTCTTCTCTTCTTTGTTGTTTTTTGTTCTCGCCTTTTAGGCTGTACAGGGATTTTCCTGGGTCAGGGGTAAGGGCAGGGGATTAATAATAGAGTTAAAAGACTCCCTTGGCACAGGGACGCGAACTCAGAATTATATTAATCAAATTATCTCATATATCAGGTTGCCGGGCAACGGAAGTGCTGTGCACACGTGTTATCCCTCTCGGCCATCCCACCCCTTAACTTACCTATATATGAAATAAATAGTATGGGGAAGTATCACAATCATGAAAATTTTCTAATCTCAAGATTTCAACAGAAATACACATAAAGATACACGGAAATACAGAAATACACATTTTAATACACACCTAACTCTAAATAACCATGTCTCACAAATTGGTCTGTGTGGGTGTGTGAGAATATATCTGTCAGAATAGAACAGTCTAGCTGAAAAATGAAAAGTCGTATGAAACTGAAATTCTATATTTAAGGTTTGTGTATGCCTGCAATGTTATAGCCACTTTTTTTGTCAAAATCGTCAAAACCTTCGAGTGCCATTTTATATCATCAATTTTACACATTTTTACCATTTCATCAAAAACGGCTAGCAACGATTTTGATTAAATTAATTAAGCTTTTGTATTATTAAGTGGTCTTAAATTTCTATTAGGTTCTATACTGTGACCTGATAGGGCTTAAATGATGTTTTTTTTTTTCACAATTTATTCGTCTGCAGTACCTTTAATTTCATTTAATTAAAAAAATAAACATTGTAACCTGCTATAAAAAAGTAGTTAAATATAAAAAATAAAAGAAATAGGTAATTAAATAAAGGAGAAATAAGGGTTTGTAATGAGGGAATGAGAACTGCTGAAGAGCCTCGAGCGCAAGCTGCTTATTGTCAATCAAATAGTGGGTGCTATCGTCCTGATTTTGATGAAATTTCTAAGTATAGTGTGGGTTTTGTACCTTTATATTCTATCTTTAAGAATTTCTATCTTTCGGTTTCGTTAAATTTTATCCACTACTTTTTCCATATGTATATGCAATTGTATCTTTCTTACTCTTCCTAAATTTCAAAAATTCCTCATTTGTTTGTCCCAAGTCGGAGTAAAGTTCTGGTGTAATGTCCTACTAAACATCCCAGTATTAATTTTATCAAATTCCATTCACAATTTTGTTTAAGCATGTAGAAAGTATTTTCATTAACAAGTGTGGTTAATAACTTAATCTCATCTATCACAAATCATGGACCTTGATGAAAAACAAAATTTTAATTATTTATATGTATTTAAAATATAAATAAATAATTATGTACTTGATAGAAATGGCGAGAAATCTTGGATTGACCTTTCTTGGCAGACAGTGTTTAAAACAATGAAATATTTCTTCAAGAATATGTTCCTTTGCTTGGCATGCTTTTACTAATATTTATTTCTATTTTCTTGTATTATTATTAGTTTTTTAATTCTTCATAGAGCCATGTGAAGAGGTCAATTGTTATAATAATGAAACTTAAATCATGATTTTTTTGTTATTAAATATGTATCAATTATTAAATAAAAATCAAAGAAAAAAAGAACAACCTACTTCTCGATGTTGAGACAACGTATCGAAGTCTTATCCTTATCTTTTTTTTGTCACTAATGAAGATCTGATCATAAATTTCCTGTTAAAATGAATTAATTATCTTTTTCAATATGACATTCTATTTTTCGAATTATGTATTATTAACTAAGAAATGCAGTAAAATTTCCCTCAACCATACCCTATGGGAATGAAAATTTTATCCACTTGATATGGGCAGTGCTGATCAAGCGCAATACTCAATGTACTGTTCACCTAAAATAAGTTCTAGTTTTGATCAAATCTTTTGTTGGTCTTTCTTAATTAATCTTTCTATTTTGAATAATGTAACGCAGAGCTTATGACATAAACATGTTTATAGATGGCAATGAAATTCCATCAGACCTTTCTTAAACTCATTGATGAAATTTAGTACATTCTTTTATTTAACAAACGAATCACCTATATAGATGGATCCACTGTATATAATCTCATTATAAATTCAGTTTACATTTTATCCATTTTAATTTCTGTTTTGAAATATTATAATTCAATAGGAAGGTATTTTCTTACATATTTTTTATATTTTTCATCTGTTGTGTGTAGAACGGGAAGTGTTAACCTTCCGCTGAAATCGATTAGGTCGTTCCTAAACCAAGTATTAATTGCTGCTGGTTTCAATCTATTGATGGATTAAATACTCAGTTTGAAAACTTGTTCCATGGTCATTTTCCTGTCTCGGAATCAATTAAGATTTTATAGTTTCTGTGCATTCATTACCAGTTTTTTTATAAAGAAAAAATACTGAATCACCAATTAGAAGAAGTTTCTAATACATCAAAATCCAAAGAATCTTAGGAAAGGAAATTATATAATACTTTTTATGAGAAGTGTCCGATTGTGGAAGTTATTCTATAGTACAATTCAATGTAATATTGAATCTTGAAGATTTGAATTTGCTGAATTAATTTTCTCAAACTTGTTATTTGTTATTATATTAATTAGTTAATGTTTATTTATTTTTTCTATTTTAGAGAATCAGTGGAAAGGAGAAAGATAGAGAGCGAGACAAAGAGAAAGGATCTTCAAACAAAAATGAAATTTTGTTGATGAGGGAGAGGAACGAAAAGAAAGTGGAAGCCAAGGAAAGCCCCAAGGAATCAAAATCCCCTGATAAAGAAGAAAACGGGATTCAAAAACCCGAAACGACACCACCCAGAGTCGAGTCTCCTAAAAGGGCGCCACTTATTTCTCAACAGCATCCACAAACTACCAACAGTCTACCATCTCCTCAACAATCGCAATCTACCCCTCCACTTCACTCTATACAGCAACATCAACAATCAAATCGAGGTAATCATGGCAAGCCTCTGATAAAAATTTGTTTTGGTCAAACCAGTTTTTCTAGAATTGTTCAATTTCTCATTAAGATGTATTAATAATAACCCCTCACATCTTCAAAAAATGAGATGTGGATACAGATAGGCGACTCTCCATATTCGATCATCCTTTTAAAAAAATCATATGAAATCGAGTGATTACGTTAGATCCATCGCTGTAAGGGTGGTCGCTATATCCATTAAAAATTATATTACAATACCTTCGTGAATCACTGGACTAAACATTTTCCATAGATACTTCGTTACTATTGCTACAAATGTAATAAATGATATTCAGTGTATTTCTTTACTTGAATTTATCATTTATTCAACCCTTCATCTTTTATGGTGAGGATGTTGATCGCAATTGTAATTTAAGGAGAATTTCCATTGGATTTTATTGTCCGGACAAAGGAATTGAAACACTTAATTAATTAATTATGATATCTTAATAAATTAAAAAAATATCACATCCACAATTGATTTAATATTTTCTTTAAATAATATGAAAATATTATGTTTAACTTAATTTCATGTACAATTATAATAATATACAATTAAACAAATAAAATTCCAAAAATACTACATTTTATGTTATCAATCTTATTCTTTTTACCAAAATCTTTATGGAATCACTAATACTATCACCATGAAAATAGAGTCTATCTCTGTACAATCATAATGACACTTTGCAGTATTTCTCTTTTTATAGTCCCTTATTAATAATAAAATAATTTTAACACTAACTTACCAATCACAATTGGGCAAAAAATCAAACAGTTAAAATAATGGCAATTATTAACATTGATATAAAATCTAAAATTGTCAACGGAACATATCAACGATAAAAATAATAAATACATTTTATTCACTAAATATTAATATTAAATCATGTTTAAAAGATTGCTCAAAGAAACAAAGACCGGAATAGATTATGTTCCGACGTCCGTTGTATAAATTTACTGTAATATGCTGAGGGCCTTGCAACTTTAACCTCACCACGAAAACTTATTAATAATGATGCAGATTTCAATAAGGTTATGCTGTCATTCATTGAGTCTCTATTGAATAATTTTATGTATTTACAGCTGTGAAAACTCCTTCGCCTCCCCTTCAAACCGCAGTTCCTACGCCTTCTCCTGCGGAAAGGAAGTCGCCTCCTCAACAGCCTGTACAAATAATACAGCAGCCTCCGCAACCTCAACCTGTTGTTCATGAGCACAAGTCTCCGCCTCACCATATCCACCAACCACCACCGCCTATTCACCAGCCGTCGTTGGAGCATCAAGGTATGGCTCCTCTCATAAATATATAAATCAGAGTTAAGCTTATGAACATTTCAATACTTAAGGAAAAAGCAGCTGAAAATATCATATGGGCACAACATCCTTAATTGCATTGTATTGTAGATGGAATTCTAAAAATGTTCGGGTGCTTACAAAAGTGTTTTGCTACTCGTTAATTCTAGTATTGCCACTCTAGAATAATAATTTATCTAATATTAAAACATATGTTATTTAAACATGGACAACTATTGATATTCATTTTAATAATTAACCTCTTAATGTACACATTGAAAAGCATTTTTCATGAGGATAAGGAACTTTACCAAGAATGAAGGTATTTTATAACAATAATGAAATGAATCTTTATTTTGGTAAAAAATATTTTGGAGATGCTACAAACGAAATTGTAGGAAAAGCGTCAGAGTAAAGACTATAACATGGTTTGCTGATTATAAAGTAAGTTTAGAAACTGCAGTACACCTTTTTCATTTATGGTATGAACAATTAACACGTATATAAAATATTTTTTAAAACATTTAAAAATGTCTCAACCCACAACATTTGATTTGAATAATTAACTTTGTGACGTGTGTATATAGAAAATTGTAAAAAATCAAGCTTTTTTTAGGGGATGTGTTAAATTTGTGGAAATATACAAAAATTTATTTACGAAAAGGAAGTATAATGTAGGAGTCATCATTCCTCAACTATGGGTTTTTGTAGAGATTTGCTGAGAGAAACCAATAATTTTCTTTTTGAAATTAGTTAAGAACAAATCAGATTCCACACGTGTCAGAAGTAATTTGAAGAAGAATACATCCGAGTGGTGTAGTTGTGGGTCAGATTTGTGGAAAGAATAAATGAATTTATACGGAACGGGCTATAAACAGCAAACTGTAAAGCATAAATATCACTTAGTTTTGATCTAAAGACATTAGCGAATAAGCCAAAATTGAAAGATTGTGTTTATAAGCTAAACAGGGAAATAAAAGAAGAAAAGGAACTGATAAGAATTTGTTAGCATCTTATCAAGGGAACTCATGTGGCACACTCAACTTAACCTTTTACATGCCATTGTTCCAGAAGTGGAACATATATTAAACTATTTTTTTGCCAAAAACAATTTTTTTCCATAAAAACAAAGGTTGGAATCGTTTTTTTTTTTTTTTCAATAAAGATTTTATCACTTTTAGTTCAGTAAATAAAAAGTTAAAATTTCTGATTTTTTAATGTCGAGAGGTGTATTGATTATTTTTATTTCTGTTAATACTTCAGTAATAAAATTTAATTTGAATATTGATTTAATTGATTGTGATAGATTACTGAAAATAATGCATTATAGAAAATGTAAATAAAAAAATTTTGATAACCAGTTTTGCTAAATATAATTTTAATGTTCCACAAATGGAACAATGGTAGAGAGAGTTCTTCTTCAGTCTTCCAGCTCTCCCTCAGTCTCCTCAGGATAGTTTGAAGCATCTGACGTCAATTAGTTCTAAAACCACATTTCGTTTTGCCCAACATACTTTCTGGCCAGCTCATTGACATCTTTAAAGTTTTGGTCTTTAAGCGGGAAATCTGCATCGCGTTTGTTACTCGCATTTTATAGTAATTAGGTAATGTGGGCTTTACTGCGGAAAGATGTTCCGCGGACAGGAACGAAGGCGAGCATTATATCATTCCGGCTTCCCAAGGAAGGTGTCTTCATTTTGTGGCACCAACACAAAATATCAATGCAAAGAATGCCACAAACGCATTCATATTGATTGTTTTACCCAATATCACGGATTGTAAATCGTATATTAGCATAAATAGCACATAAACATACGTGTTTTTCTTATTTTATTTTAAATAACTAAGGGGACATCCCCTGTCTCCATAACGGCAGACCAACCCCTGTTTTACAAATTATACAACTGTTCATTTAATTGTACTAATTATATAACTGTAATTTACATGTATTCGGTACATACATTCGTACAAATTTTTAGTCTAAATTCTTTATTTTGTATTAGGAGAGTAGGAGGTAACAAACAGGAGCTGAACACATATGTAATTAAATGAACAGCTGTGTAATTTGTAAAATCTGAAATCAGAATTCGTAAATTCTGATCTGCTGTTATCTCCTACTCTCCTAATACTAAAATAAAATAAAATATAAAAGTCATTAAAAACTTTTTTATATTATAGAGAGATAATTTATAAGAAGTGGCGATACTATAATTAACAATGTGTTTATAGGACTTTATGTTACAGATAAAAAAAATTAAAAAATTTACCTATAACTAAACAGGTGACAAAATATTGCTCATCACACAAATGCTGCCTAGAGAAACCGAAAAGACAGACAAAATAGAAAGTATTATACATTATCGGTTTATTCGAGAAATCACTAAGTATTATTATACAGCTCGTTTCGTTACATTTAGTTTCAGTGATAGGTCTTTCTTTTTTTTTTTTTTTTTCCATATAAATTTCTGATATTTTTCAATAAATGTACTAGTTCATAACATTTAATAAACTCTCCCATATCCAGATTAATGTGATATAAATTATTAAGCTGTAACAATGTTGGTTTTAAAATAAAAATTTACATTATTAATTTTTTCCATATGATTTGTTCAACAATAATTATTAATAATGACTAAGCTGAATAAGATTTATGAATTATCTGTTTTCTATTAAAATTTTGTAAACTGATGCACACACTAAAAAAAAAAGGTAAAGAGCAACTTTTTTCTCTTCAGATTGTGCTATTATTTATTATATATTATAATATTAATAACATTTTGTGTTTGGTTTAGTTTTATATAAGATAGTTAAGGAATATCATATGCCAGGAATTATTTATTGATCTGATGGGATTGGTCTTAAATGGATAGATCCTCAGATGTATTAAGATTTAGGAAGATATAGGATGATCAAATCTTTTGTAGATATTACCATTCTCTTAAAATTTACTTCATACTACTACATTCTTTTACCTCCTCAATGTTCTACTAGGAAGATAGTCGTATTCGTAACTGTTATTTTTATTATGTCCATTATTACTTAAGAATTAAGGAAACCTACAGATTCCGCAGAAGATTTAACTTTATATCATGAATGTTGTTATGATGTTGAGGACCCTAGGATATGGCTATAGGAGTTATATAAGTATGGTGACTCTTGAAGTTGGAAATAATTACCATTAATGTTATACTAATTATCTCATGTTGTCTGGAAAGATAAATTTGATAAAGTTTGCATGGTGATTGGAAAGAAAAAGACATTGGAATAGCTGAATCACTCTCCATCTAACTCTGCCATAAATACAAAAAGAGTAATGCAATTAATTAATCCGACTGTTTGTCAGTAGATAAATATTTTTTGAGAGAACAGCTCAACTGATTTTTGAGTTTGATAGCTCCAATCTCTCAATGAGATCCCGTGAACATTTTGTTACAATTTTTGCTCGAAATATTAACCAAAAAATATTTAATTATATCTCAAGTTTTCTAGATTTTTTTTTTTTTGCTTCATGTTATATCATGTATGTTCATAAACATATGAATGTGATAAATATGAATTGCCCCTTATATTTTTTTATTATTATTTTTTTCCTGTTAGCATATCTATTCTATCATAGCATATCTAGAGTATACTTGCCTATCTATTCATCTACATTGAATGAATGGATTCAAAAATAATTTTATTCTGGGACTACAGTCTCTTAAGAATAATAACAGAGTTACATAATTTGGAACATTAGTCTGGCTTAGATGTTTACAAAATGATGCCTAATTAACTGTTGATTGTTTTTGAAATTGCGCAGTTCATTAAATTAGATTTCGTACATACACAAATGAATTTTACTTGTTTGCGGAAGTTTGAATATGGAGTAGGTAGTGCAACAGGAGTTGTTTGAAGGAATTTTTGGACAAGGATTGACGTATAGAGTTAGGTAGAGAGTTCCAAAAGGAGGCAACACAAATGATGAAAGATTTGCTGAAGGAAGTAGTTTTATGGGAGGGGATATAAAAATCTATAGGTCGAGACCTGGTATTGACATAGTGGATAGAGGAATGAAACGTAAGGAGTTCCAGGATGTAGGGAGGTTTTTCGGTTCCAAAGACTTGATCTCAAATATGTATCTTTGAAACAGTTCATGAGCTTCTTTAATCTTATTTTTAGCCTGGCAGATAGTCCTCCATACACCTAGTCGAAGTGGGGGAATATAAGGGAGGTTACAAGGAGCTGTCTGGTTTTCAGAAGAATACAATCACGGAATCTTAGGAGTTGTTTAAGGACAGTTATGGATTTTCGGATAATCTGGGAGATATCGTTATTCCAGGAGAGGTTCTGTTCAAAGGTTACTCCTATGTTTTTGATTGTAAAAAAAAAAATTGATGGGGCGGTTATTAAGGTAAAGTAGGGAAGGAAACTAATGAGTGTCTGGACCCGATGAGAATAGCCTTTGTTTTATCTTCATTCAGCTTTAAGTGATTTATTTCTGCCGATCTGTTAATGCAGTCGATATCCTCTTGAAGCTTTCGGGTAGCCTCAGGCATCTCAGAAGGTTGGAATGATTGGTAAATTTGGAAATCATCGATGGAATGGACATTGGTGAATTTTATGTCTATGAATATTAAAATAGGCATAACAGTTCCGTACCTTCGAGTACATATTATGGCTCCTCGCAAGCAAAATATATCATGCTTCTGTAAATATATACTATAAATATATTTTCAGGTATGGAAGGCACTCTATTACTACACCAAGTTTTTAACATTATAATACTCGTAGAATTATATGTTCCTGAATTAATATTAAATATATAAATTACATAATGTATAAATGATTAACTTTTTTTTTTGCAGAGGATGTCCTTAGCAATATGACTGATGACTTAGCCGCAGATCTTGTGGCGAAGTTAATGGAGGATGAGGAAAAGCAGGATAAACAATGGTTTTACCGAGACCCGCAAGGAGAGGTTCAAGGTTAATACAATTTTAATATATTGTTTAGTATTTTTATTTATAGTTAAGTTATCACAATAACCTTCATATAAGTTATCACAATAACCTTGATATGTTGTTAATTTTTCATCTAGGACCCTTTACCTGTACCGAGATGGCTGAGTGGTTTCAGAGCGGTTATTTTACGTTGAACCTGTTAGTGAGAAGAGCCTGTGATCCGAATTACGCACCGTTAGGAGAACTAATAAAGCTCTGGGGCTGTATTCCATTCCTGCCTGAATTTCACCCTCTTGTAAGTAGCAGTCATTTTTCTTTCTCTTTTTTTTTTTTTTTTTTTTTTTTTTTTTTTTTTTTTTTTTTTTTTTTTTTACATTTTAATCATTAATTTAGTTTTATGCTGGACAGGATAGTTAGTGATCTCCTAAGTTTCTCATTAGCTATTCCAATCAATTTTAATACTTAAAAATTAAAGAATAAGAAATATTATAAAAACTAAAAATTAAAGAATAAGAAATATTATAAAAACTGTTTTAGCTACTTCAGTGTGACAGAGATCTTTGTCGTGAAATAAGCACTGAAATTTGATCTGCGTTCATTTTTCATATTACTTTGTAATGCTGAAATATAGATTTTTAATCCCAACATAATAAAAAAAATATATATATTGTAAAAAAGTATTGTTTATTTCAGTATCTTAAAAGAGGGTGTGAAAAATGAAACCGAATTTACATATTTCCATAACACTTAAAATATGGAGTTACATTCCTTTCTTCTGTATTCTGTATTTCTGGCGGACATTGGGAATCACATTTATTAACCATAATATTTTGTAACTTTAAAAAGAAATATGTACAAAAGTGCTACTGGCGCTAATCCAAACTTCTGTTAATTTCTCTTGGTAAACCGACTGTAGAGATTGATCGGTTTAAAACAGAGGACATGAACACTTGCCTAGTTGTTTAAACAATAAGAACAATAAATATTAGAAAAACCGCATAGCTTGTGGAATATGTAAACACTGCTTAAGAGTGTTAACTAAGGTTTTATCTAATAGAGTATACATGATATCTTCCCTAACTTAGTGAGCTAATAACAGAATATTTTTTTACTATTTTAAATATTAAACCCATTTAATCAACAAAAGAACAGAAGAAAACTTTCCTTAGAATTTGATGTTTAAGATTTTAAGATACTTAAAATCGGAAAAGTGATAAAAAAAAAAGTTTGTTTGTATTCTCCAAAAGTTTATCTTTGTATTCTCCTAAGTAAATTTTTTTAAGATTATAACACCAAAGTCAGAGGTTACCCCAGAATGATTTTCCACTTGATTCCTTCCAAGGGGGAATATATCATCTGCGTATCCAAGGATTTTATGATTCATTCTGACGTACCTCCTCCGTTTTCATATGTATTATTATCACCTTATCACCTTATCACCTTCTCTAGTGTTAACTTGAACAGTTCCTATCTACCACAAGACAGTTCAGTTTTTGGAGGCTTCAGATATTTAGAATACTAAACATTTACGATCACTTGTAAATACTTTGTCAATATCACCAACTTTCTGATGTATTCGATTCCTGTTTCGGTCAGTTAATTTTAATTCTTGGCAGTCCCGAGAAATTATTCTTGATATTCCACTCTGTTTACTGTAAGGCCGTACTCAAGAATATTATTACAACTAGTACAGCTTAATTAAAATTTCATTTTACTCTTTTCTTTAGTTTTAAATGTTCTTATGTATTAATATTAATGAAACTTAAGAAATGGGCTCTGAAGTGGACTTTGAATATTACGAAATTTTTCCAATACTAATATGTTGCTACATTGTTTCTTAAAATAGTAATTAAAAAAAAATCAACGACATCTTTTAAAATCAATTATTTATTATCCCGAAGGAGGCAAAATTAAGGACTACCTACATTTAAATTAAATGATATACTTCTAAGGACATACCAAATTAAAAGGAAAAAAAAATCTATCGTCGGCCCATTTTTAAGAAAGTAAAATTCACATAATTTTACAGATCCACTACGTATCAGGATTTGTTTTTGATGAAGCTCTTTGACAAATCAGAATTTCTGTTGCATATTTTGATTTTATGTGCTTATGGACTTCCAGTAATTGTATTGAAATTTTTGTAAGTATATATATTTATTAAAATAAATATAATTACTTACATTATTTCGAATAACATACGAAAATAAAAATTATCACATAATTACATTATTTGAGGTAATATATTTATAATATTAATAAGAGTTGCCGGTGTAGCAGAGTGGTTAGCACGCTATATTAGCGAAGTAAAGACCATAGGATCGAATCCCGGCCCTACTTCCCAAAACGGCTGGTCCCGCGGGAATTCAGACCATATACCCTTAATTAGAGGAAGCCTACAGGTTGTAGAATACTTGTAAGATCAGGCTAGAAATAAATTTATAAATAAGACAGTCTCCTTTATCGTTAATATTCATAATTCATTGTTCTTGTCAGGTTTACTGCAGAAAAAATAACAAGTGTAAAAATCTTTTCTTAACATATTATATTTAAATAGTTAAAACATGGTAGTAAAGTATTACAATTTTTTTCTTAAAATCATAAAAATTCTATATATACCGTTTCTGAATAACCGATTGTTTTCAATGAATTACTATTTTGTTTTCTAAAGGTACTATTTCGCTGTCGCGGTCCACGACCGCGACTGCTCGCGGTTGACTACTGCTTTAGTGGAATATAAAGGTTCCTATTTCGCTGGCGCTGCTCGGCAGTCTAGGTATGACGTCATATCTAAGCTGCTCGTCTCAGACTCCTCTTGAAGCAGTGGAACTGTTGGCGGTTCGGCAGTTGTAGGTTATGTTATCATATCGGAGCATTGTTTTTATGATAATAGTTGCGTTGATAGGTTTTATTTCCTTTGTTTCTTTCAAGTCTGGCAAAATTATAACAAATATTGTTTAAAACTGAAACAATGCAATGGTAAACTATTTTTTTAAGGTTGAAGTAACAAGATTATTTATTTATTTATTCCACCAGCAATATTTTACAGTGAAATACAAATATACCGAAATCCAAACGATATTAAATGAATTAAAGAATCCAACAAATGTTATCGTCAGGTAAATACTAAAATCCACCCATTGAAAAATCGATTTTTATTTTTTAATTAAAGTGGTGATTTACTCTCATTACTATTGATTAAACTATAAAACATCGCCTGCTGGGATTTAATTACAAATATATGATATTTATTACTAATCAATTATGTTTTAATTACTATTACTTTTCAAACTAATAATATCTACTATCAGAGGGACTTCGATGATGAGTATCACACCGAAATACTGATATTCCTTCTCTTTATGGACAACATTTTCTCTTCTTTTTCGAACTCAAATAAAGAAGCGGTAGTCAGAGATGTTCATTATTATAGGATGTTCATTTTTATTATTATATTATGTCCATCTTTTTATCTTCGAAGATACAGCGAAATGTTGGAAGGTTATAGGCAGGTTATAACAACCCCTGTGAGCAGTTTCAGCAAAATAGCTACGCCAACAGCGGTTGGCAGCGTGGAATAGCGGTCGCTGTCGTGGACCGCGCCATCGAAATAGTACCTTAAATTGGCTTGAAGAGATTAAATTAGTGCTACTTCTCTTTTGTCTTCCTTGTAAAATAAAAAAATATATCGAAATAGCAGCTCTCCCCACTATTGCTTTACAGGAAATATTGTGGTTTGTTTTGAATGGTACTTGTGAAGAATTCGGTCGGGATGGACTGCTATCTGCCAATGTTTACAACCTGAATACTGATAATTCTGATTAGGCTCTGATAACCCCTAGCTTCGTATTCATATTTATGGAAATTAAAATAGACAAAAACAAATGTCATATTTATGGAGATTGAAAAAACAAAAAAATTAATTATAACAAAACACTTATACTTTACAACATATATATGAAATAGAGAAAAACAAATGTCATATCTATGGAAATTGAAATAGACAAAAACAAATGTAATAATAACAAAACACTTTGATTTGAAATTGAAATAGCAAACTCCGCCAAACATCTATTGTTCATGGATAACTCTCCCTACATGATTTTTTTTCTTTTAACAAAAATACTCGTCTACTTCAACGACTTTGCCAAGCCTTCCAATTTTTTTAGTTGACCTGTGTAACATGATATGGACACAAACCACCCTTAAAAATTTGTTCCACATTATCACACTTTTGTTCGATAGTTTCAGCTGCACTTTGCCCCAATGTATTGTTGTTAAACTACGAGACCAACCATAAATTAATTTTAAAGTTGTGAAAAGGTAATCTTCGACCCCTCTTCCTTTTCTTATGGATACGTTTTTGTTACAACTGCGATGAAAGCATCTCTATTTTGTCTTCCTGTCAAACTTCATTTCATGACCACAGAATTTCACCTTTGGAATTATCCCGGCATTTTTAAAATATTTGATGGCTTCTTCTTCTGAAGACAGCAATTCTCACTATGTAATAATATCCATTTGAACAATAAACAATAGAATAACTTGTAAACAACCATGCTTAAAGGTTAAAGGTTAAACGTTTTGTCAGGAATTGGCGCATAGCCTTCCGCTTTTATATCGAGGAACTAGATTATTTACACTCGTGATTATTAAAACAAAACCGGCACTGGATATCGACTTTTTGAGAGTTTTAACTGTTGTTGGGAATTCGGGAATTTAATACCTTTGTGATACTATGTGAGAAGAAACAATAAGAATATATATATGAAATGTGGGACTTAGTAAATACACTTTGAATGAATCGACTTACCTTGTTTATTGTTCTTCAATTGTGAGGCCTTGATAGGACAACTAAATAAAAGGACTATTCACTCCTATCTAACAAAACAATTTATTCTAACAACTGATAATAAATGAATCTAATAAAGGTCATATAACTGTCCGCTTGATATTCTTGGTCTTCAATGTTCTGCCTCTCTCATCTCAGGTAACGTCCTCTCGCCTCCGTGTATCTGCCTTACATTCCTATATATTCCTTCTCATTCCCTCACCCAATGTCACACAAAGGAGTAAATACCGAGGGATGTCTACTACAAACTCCCAAGTAATAGAAGGATAACAACAGGAGATATGAAGGGAGGTTACGTGACTTAAGATAAGATAAGATAAGAAGGGAGGTTTTGTCCCCAAGATAAGAAGGGAGGTTTCGTCCCGACCCAATTCTTCACAAGTACCTTTTGAATTTATCATCTCCTCTATTTGATACCTTTAAATCATTTTGATCCAAATTATGCGAGACTTCTAAAATTGATGATGAGCCAGATTGAGGATTTCTACAGTAATCCTTGTAATTTTAAGATTTATTTTTTCTTTAAAATGTCACATAGTGTTTTTTCCAATTTTGAATCCAGCTGATTGTTTGCGAATTATATATTTTCGTGCACACTCGCATTAACCACATCGATATTTTATTTTGAAGTTGAAAAGGAGCTAGCTGACATATTGCCAATTAATTCTATGTGCAAACTAATAACAAAAGATTATAACTAATAATCTCTACTACTAAACTATTTTTTTTTTTTTAAACTAATTATTTAAGATATTCTTCCATCCTTCTCTATCTAAGACCTGTTGTTCTCTTATCCCATGCCCCTCCAGGCTTTCTTCGACTGCGTCTTTCCATTTTATATTTGCTCTTCCTGTTTTCCTTCATCCTTCTACTTCCAGTTCCATGCATAGCTTTTGAAATCTTTCTGATGTCATTCTTTTCACATGCCCCAACCAGCATAATCTGTTCTTTTCAATATTTGCTATAACATTTCTCTTCTGGATTTTATTACTGCCCTTTTCCAAAAGTCCATCTCTACTGCTAGCAGTCTAGTCTTTTCCGTTGTCTTGCGTTGATGACTCATGTCTCTGAGGCATATATCATTATTGGCTCGAATATAGTCTTGTATATTAGCCTCTTAGTACTGGACTGTATATTCCAACTCCAAAGGATACTGTTGAGTATTACCATGACTTCTCTTTCTTCACGAATTCTCCTGTAAATATCATTGGTGGGTGTGCCTTATCTATTAAATATTGATGCTAGTTATTTAAATTTCTCTATAATTTTTATTCTTCTTTCAACTGGCGTGTCATTGGATGAAGTGCTAAGGTGCTCTGTTTTCGTAAAGTTAATAGTCAATCCCCACTTTTCATGTCTAGGCAACCTTTCTGAACATATAATTGATGTCTCTATCCTGAGCTATGATTACTTGGTCATCAGTAAACATCAGGTTCATGATGCATAAGTCCTCCCCGATCCTTATTCCCATGTTCCAGATTTTCTTATCCACTTTCAGAGAGCGACATCAACATAAATTTTGAAAAGCGTAGGCAAAAGGCAGCATAACTGCAAAGTCCTTTTGAAATGTGGAATTTTTTATAGAGATTTAACCCTAATTTGACACAGCAGGCATTGTTGTGGTAAATTTCTTTTACTATATTTATTATGGGCTCTGATATATTTTCTTCCTTGAGTGCTTCCCACAATAGCTCTTTTGGAAGCCTTAAAGTTTTAAGTTTTTTTTTCTTTAAATTGTCACAATCCAGCTCTTTTCGTTCCGTTCTTTGTGAGCGAGAACTTCTCTCTATAGAGGCTTTATCTCAATAGCAGACAAATTTATAAACTTTATACAATCATTAGTATTAGGAATAGCAGAAAGAAAGAGATGTGGACAGACTTATATGCAAGGATTTTGATTGAAAATATTTTCCATTAAGGACATCAGAAAACCAGTGACTCAAATTCTGCAAACTTTGATTCTAATTACAATACCTTATATCAATCATGCATAGTAACAATTTAGTTGGGTAGTGGAGATTATAGTAATATAATCTTTTGTTATTAATTTGTCTACAAAATTAATTGGCTTCTCTTCTAGCTCCTGTTCAACATAAAAATAAAATATTGATATTATTAATGCGAGTGTACACGAAACTGTATAAACAGCTGGATTCAAAATTAAAAAAACGTATATATATGTGACGCTTTCATCATCATCATTATCATTTTATCCCCTCTACCGCTTGCACAGTGTGGAGTTGCGATTTGTAGAGTCTGGACCAGATATCTCGTTGAAGAACTATTAAGGCATAGAGAGGTGACGGCCACATCGCTCGGTACTACAGATAGCCACTGGTCCTCCAGGTTGGGGAACAGTACACTGACACTCATACATTCACACAGATTACAGCACACTAGATTCATTCCCACACAACAGAGACCAATATTAATTTTCTCGAAAACGCATCTAATAACAAATTTGATTAAATTCATTATATTTGTATAAACTTAAGCAGTTTTAAATAAAATGTAGGTTTTATTCTGATTGATGTTCTCTAACAGGGCTTAAATGGCTAATTTCAATATTAGCTTCCCCTAAAGTAACTTTAATTTTTTTTATTTGAAACAATTGACTGCTTCACATTAATTTCTAATATAAAAGATAGTTAAATTAGAATATGAAAGAATTTGATAATTAAATAAAGGATAAATATGAGATCGTAACGGAGAATGGTTGTAATTGAGGAACCAAAGGAACACGAGCGCACCCGAGATTGCCCGAAAGATTAGAGCACGCTTTTATACATAACATAAGCTTAATATAATACGGACTCCGATATTATTATGTAAATATACATATGCAGTTTTCATAAATGTTATTTTTGATATTGTTTAATATTTAATTGTATAGATTACAGCGATATAAATATTAAAATTTGTACATATAAGGGTATTTAAACAAATATTGGTGTCTATAATTTTTGCTTTCACTTCTCCTTTGCCTGAAAATACTTATTTCTGTTAAGAAGAGGGTGGTAAGTGAAAGTTGTGTGATGCGCGCAACACCCCAGATTTTTCATATTAAATTTGTTTTGTTTTTTTAATTTCAGAATAAAGAAGCTGCTACGATGGTGAACAACCAAATACAAGAAAATTATCTGATGCAACAATACCAACAGCAAATGAGAAATATGTTATACAGGTGAGAGGATTCAAAAGGGAAAAAGTTTTTAGTGATGTGTATGAGTTTTGAAATTCATATTTGAAATTAATAAAAAAATTGTTGTGAAAAAGGTGCTTTTTTTTTTTTTATTTAAAAGTGATATGTAAGCATAAATTTAGCAGAATAAACAAATTTACTTTGTAAATAATTTTTGAGTAAATTAAAAAAAAAAATAGGTTAAATTTTGGTATTGGTATAATGATCAGAAATTTTTTATGAAGTACGTTATTTTCAGTGTTGCTGGGGCATCTGTAAGTGGAGACTTCTTACAATTTTTGTTATGAGTCTTCGTGATATTCAGTATTTTTAAAATTCTGACAAAAGATTTATATTGCGTTTCAATTTTTCTTATTTTCTATTCTCTTTATTTTTGAGGAGGCAGAGAATTTTAGTTTAGTTAAGGTTTTAATCAATTTAAGACAAACAACCATATTTTGGTTCATTTTTCGAAAGCTTCTTTGTTTAATTATTACACGTAAATCAATTATAGGTTAAGGTTTAAAAAGACATTAAAAAATATCAATTTTCAAGAATTGAAACAAAAATAAATTTTAGTTTAGGCGGTCTAAACTGTATATACAGAAATTAGTAGTTGATTTTAGAAGATAAAAATGAAAATTGCCAATAAATCAACGAGTAAAGAAATAGAAAGTAAAGGTGGGTCATTTTTACCTGGGTATATGAATGGCGATGAAATTTAATAGAAAAAAATAAAATAAAAATACTAAATTTTTATAAGAACTTTAAACAAATTTTAATAAGTACGGCCAATGAGTGATATATTACATAGTTTTTAAAGATACTGTTTACTTCAGGGTTTGAAATCGATAATTTAAAAAAATCAATATGTTAATGTGGAATCATAAAACATAAAAATCATATTCTGATCTTTATTTTTGAACAGAAGTTTTACTATCAACAATAATATTAATTCTTGAGTAATACTTTTTTAAATCAAAAACATATTATTTTTGTAATATCTATGATATATTTTGAGTCTGGAGTAGCAGGTGGAGAATGTTGTCAACTATTAGCGACAGAATATTTTCATTTCCGGAATTCATTAGAAAAATTAATTTGTGTTCACTATTAAAGCAATTTCAGAAATATAATGTTGAAAAATATGTACATTAATAACGTATACATACATATTAATATTTAATTTGATTGTGTGTATAAGGTAATTTTTAATTTTTTGATTAGAATTTAATCCTTATTATTTATGTAAAACTGTATCTCTTAGGGAGTGATTATTATTTTTAATTGGATCTATAAACATCAAAGATCTGTTTAAATTTTTATATATAAATTAGTCATGAATGACTTTTAAATTAAAATCAAATATAATAATTATTATGGGTGATAAATATTCAGGATGCAGTCATTATAAGGTTTTTATTAGTGCCGACGTTTCAACCCAAACATGTGGGTCATCATCAGGGAGTAGTTCGAGCACTGAAGATATTCAAATACTCTTATCTTCAGTGCTCGAACCACGTCCTGATAATGACCCACATGTTTGGGTTGGAACGTTGGCACTAATAAAAACCTTATAATGACCGTGTCTTCAATATTTATCACCCATGATGTATAGAACAGTCGACTAACTTCCTTCAATAATAATTATTACTTGTTTTCGTTAAAAAAAAAAATTATTGATTTCAAACTCCGGTTTACTGTTCTTTTATTTTAGATTATTTGATACTGGCTAATAAAAACACAAACAGGATAAATGTGCCAGTTATAGACACCACCAGTTTCAGACAGTTTTCAACTCATTAACGTAAGCTTCATACGCCCAAAAGAGTGAAAATACGATTAGATTTGAAACTAGACCATTTAGGAGGGCGATGCCTGAACCTCAGGTGATATGCCACCATAGCCGATTTGTTGATTTTTCTAAAAAACATATAATTTTTCCTAAAAGGACAATTTTATTTTCCCCACCTTCTAATTTATTGAAATAATAATCAATTTTCAAATTAGTGCACCTGTTTGAAATAATTTAAATTAAATAAATAAGTTTACAAAATGTAAAATGTGTTGGCTCTTTGACAAGATAGCTGTCTGAAGTTATATAGAGTGGAAAGTTTTTTCTCTCCTTGAGCATTAACAGCTTGCTTAAGCTCCACCTATAAGAAGAGAGATACTCTAGTAGATAGTAGTGTATTGTTTTGTATATAGGTGCGTTGGTTATAGGTTACTTCCTGACTTAGTTTTTATTTGTTTTGGTTGAGTGGAATCTATTATAGATAAATATTACATATTTCCCCCCTTTTAGGGCATTCAATTCCTGATAACCACCGGAGGTGTGTATAAATTGTGAAACTTAAAATAGTTGTATTCTCTTACCTCACATTTACATGTATTGTATAAATACAGTTGTAAATGTTAAAAAAATATTCAGTCATACTCTGATTATTCAATGACTTGGACATTATTTATTTTCATGAGAAAGACTGAAAAGGCTCACTAAATAAAAATACTAAAAGAAAATTGTGGGAGGATCACAAATGATGTAAAGGCTCATTCACTAGATCTCTAGACAATCTGTGATCTCTGTCCGCAGCGGGCTGACTATCTAGTTGTATTACTATTTATTGAATGTGAACTATCATATTAAGTCTCTCAAAGAGATAGCAAATTGCTGCAATAAGTAGCATTCTGGATTTCATTTACTTTTCTAATATCTCTTGATTATTATAGTTTTATGAGATATTCTTCTTCTTCTGATTCTTAACTCCCAAGGTGGACCATGCATCATCTGCCACTCCATCTGTCCACCGATGTCTCCCAATTCTCCTCTTGCTATACAGCCATTCTTCCATAAGTCTCTTTGGGACCTCATCATTCTTCATGGTCTGCTCAACGAAGCCTTCAAATACTTATGAATCTGATAATATTCTTATTATTATTATACATTCTTTCTATTTGAGTATTAGTTCTTTGTCACCAAACATTATCGCTGAACACAGACCCAAAGATTCTTCTAAGGATCCGCCTTTCGAATCTTAGGAGCATTAGTTCTTGAGCTTGAGAGATCGTCCAACATTCGGAAGCATAGGTCAGAACAGGCCTTATTAGGGTCTTATAAAGCTGCACTTTGTTGTTCCGTGAGAGACACCTACTTCTAAAATATTTTAGGAACCCTTTCTTTACGCTAGGAATCCTCGAAATAGCATCTGTTAGCATTTATTAGCAGCCTATTAATTTCTTGCCGCATATTATTGTCGGAGTTCACTTGAGAGCCTAAATAAATAAATTTGTTCACACACTCAAATGTGAAGTTCCCCATTTTTATGTGGGTGGTCTGCTGATATAATGCTTGTGTACCTACTCTCATATATCTGGATTTATGTGATATTAGACGTACATAATATCATTTTATTAACCAATCGAGTTGCTTTTCTATCAAGAATAACCATAATACCCAATTAATATGCATAGTAATGTATTAAAAAATATTAATAATTTACTCATATTATTAATGAATATTATTAGAATCGAATGCTTTATAACTTGAACAAATTTGAAATTTAATCAAAAATTTTGTCAGCAAATTGTGCATTTATTTAAAAAAATGAACATCTATTTAATAACATAATTTTTTAAAACTTTTTATTATCAAGAAAGATATTGCTTTTTCCAGCTGACCTTTTCAGGCACTTTCCATTAGAAATGGGATAGAAAATGCTGAACGTTTGAAAACAACAGTTGTTTTTCTTAATTCTTCTGTTCGCCATTAGTCAAATCATTTATTCATTTCGTTTTTCTATGCTCTTACCGTTTTTCAAAGAGAGTCTCAGCTCATTATGAAAATAATAGAAGTGTTTCTTTGTTTTTTTTAAGACATGTATTTTCTATACAGTTTCTGGCTGTTATTATTAATGAAGGCTAGATATAAACCAATACATCATAAGTTATATATGTGACTAAATTTAACTTAAACATATTAAACATGTAGGTGTTACTACAACAAAGTTAACTTATGTTTTAAATGTGTCTATCTATAATTGTGTCTTGCAGAATGCTAGTAATATTTTATAACTTTTTGTTTTATTTCCATTAGGTAACTATTTATAATCATGAAAATTACAGTCATAATTTTGAATTATTGGGCAAGTCCTTAAACTAGCTCTTTATATCAAATGTTTGACTTGGAAAATAATTATTTTGTATAATTTATGTTATTAATAATTTTTAAATAAACATATATGGAATATAATTAAGTATTAATAAAAAAATTATTCATTTCAAACTCGAATAATGCCCTGCTTCATTCATGATACTTATCATTATTTTTCAGATATGTAATTTTTACATTCTATTAAATAATGATGGCACCGGAAACGAATAGGATCTTATTTCGCAAATCTCTAGTTGTTCTTTGAACTATTTTTTTTTTCCATAGTTCTTAAGGAGCGGTTCTTTCTTGTCAACGAGCAGTTCATTTTCATTTTTTTTTTTAAATAGCTGAATTGCCCACCATTAATTTTTAGTATTCTAGTGTTCAGCCTTAAATGTTTTGTATCCCTTCTAAAATCAAATCCTCAATCGATTCCTAACACATTAACTCATATAATAGAAAAGTATGAACCATCAAAGAAGACAATAATGGCAGCTTGTGATTCGATTAGAATAACACCTTTCTGTAATGTAGTCTTGTTGTAATATATAAGGAAGAATTATAATACTGGTGGGGGGGAGGGTAGGGAACTAGTCTGAGAAGTAGGTCTTGTGATCTTTTTGCCAACAATGGCTACTTAGGGGTTCTGCCACATACTAGCCTAAGTGGTAGTGTCAAGATTCATTTCTCAGCACTGCTAAGAAATTGATATTAAATGACCCAGGTGGGAATTGAACCAACGGTGGTCAGAACCGAACACTCTGAGAGGACTCATGGCTAACATGTCCTCAAGACTTATAGTATGCTTTGTTAATAATATTCTTTGTTTTGTTAACTCACTAAAATTGGGCAGCATATCTTTCATAATCTCTCCAATACAAGAAAAACTGTTATGACTGGTGTTCTGTTTCTGTTTTATTTATTAATACTACTGACCATCAAGATTTGGTATCAAATCATATTGGTCAAAATATATATATATATATACATATACATTTTTAAAGAAATGTGTATATTTACAAATAATAGATTTCTTCTAATAAAGACTTTAGTGCGGTAGCTCAGTAGTTGGGCGCTGGGCTTCCAATGCTCAAGATCCCAGATTCGAATCCCGGCTGTTAGCAGATAAATTATTTATTCTGTTTTATTAGCCGTGGATCGAACCTGAGGTTGGGAGACCCTCCTGGGGTGGGGCACACCTAGCTTCTATTAAGTGGGTATCTTAATTAAATAATTGATTAAGGAGAAAAACCTGGCTGCTTGATTCTGTCAAACCCATATCCTCGCACAACTGTTGGCCTAGAAAGAGTATCTTCCCTACATAATACTAAACCCAATTCATAGGTTGCAATGGTAAAGGTTTTAATTTCCTCTGTATTTAACGTTTTCAGTAATGTTGTGTCTTCCTCTGGAGCTGATTCGAATTCTCTTTGTTATATTTTCTACATCTAAACAGCATGTGCTGTGTGTCTTCTCGCTCATTACAAACTTCGCAGTTTCCTTCATTTTCAATTTTCATAATGTTGAGAAATTTCTTCATGTTAGTCCGCATTCTTACTATTTTATTACATTTCTCGTTTGAGTCACCAATTCAGAGCCAACCCTGGGACAAGACTCACAGTTGGCCGTACTTGATAATGGTCGCTCCATTTTATTTGCGATCTTCAACAATCTTAAGAGATCCTTCATGTATACCTTAAGTGTTCTCTTTCACAGTTTGTCTCATCTGGTGATCAAAGTTACTGACCTGTTTTTCCTCAGTAGTCAATAACTGAGAGCTATATGCATACATTTCAGAATTAATTTAATAATTTGTATGATTGTGATGATGGAGCGATATAACACAATGATTGAGCCATATGTGAACACAATGATTGAAATTGAGCACCTTCTTTATGAAGATTGAATTTTATTTTTCCATATTTTTATAAATTAAATCTCAGTTTTTCAATTAAGTTAGCTTTGGGTAACCTCTTGACCAACCTACTTCTTTGTTTTTTCTCTGATTGAGGTATTAAGATGATATAATTTGATAAACAATCCTAAATTTATAAAAAAAAATAATTTTTCTTCTTATTGATTTGTTAATCTTCTATATATATAAAAATGAATGTATGTCTGTCTGTCCGTCTGATTGTCCTTAGTGCATTACTAAACTATTCAACCGATCGCCATGAAACTTACGGAAGTTGTTCCCTACACTCCTGGGAAGGTTTCTGGCATAGTACTTCTGTTTTACGATAATTTTATATATGTAAGAAAAATAAAAATGTAAATGTTTTTTTGTTCAAAGCCGCAAAAAAATGTATCGCTTAAACTGTAGCGCCACAACGGCTTTACCGATTTTAACGAAACCTGACTAAAGTCTTCCCCTTGAAACCCTTTTAATTTATGTGTATAACATACTTTCCCGAAAACAAGCTGAAAAATGTTACGATGAATTCAATATTCTATTTGCCGATAACTAAAAAAGTACACAATTTTTGACGGTAATACCCACATTTATTTGAAAGCTTGCTGAATTGCTGACAAAATAAAAAAAAAAATCTAAATTGGACGGTTTGTTGCGCAGTTATAGAGTTTTAAACATTTACTGCTTTTTCTTCAGAAAAGGCCGTTTCCTTTTGCTTCCTCACTACCGAAGGTTGGCAAGCATTTTTTTTTTTTTGTTTATTGACTAAATGAAAATTTTATAATTTCTACTCGAATGTTCAATTTGAATTATGAGAAAAAAAATCATTAGAATTAGTTTAAATTAAAGCCATTTTACAGACAAATTTGTTTCCTAATTTTTTTAAAATGACAGATGTCCTTTGCTACTAATCTACTCATATGTGCTTTCTATTTTCTTTCTTTTTCATTTTTGCCAGGCTAAGCCACAGCAGCGCGCGGCCGCGTAAAGCTAGTTGCAAATAAATTTCTCATCTCATAATTTTTCATTCTTTCTATAAATTTTCTTATGTCCATTATGTATTTTAGATTTTTTCATTTATTTTCTTAAAACTCTAAAGAAGTAATAAGTATTATCTGAGGATATATGACTTATTTATGTTAATGAAATTATTCTAAGTTAATATTTCTGTTAGTATTATTTAAAAAGTAATAATTGAATTGGATATATTTTTTAAACAGCTGTTTATTTATTTTGTCTAGGCAACAACAACAACAGCAACAGCAGCCGCCACCGCCGCAGCCACGAAGTCAGCCCCCCCAGATTGGCCCTAAACTTCATGATTGGTTGGACACTCGTCAGGTTGGTTTCTCATTAGTTTACAGAAAATTAAATTTATCTGACATTAATAGTTAATTTTGGTTTACTTAACACATACTCCATCCAATCCCGTTCCACTAGATCTCGTACTTCCGACCTCTATCCTCCTCACCAAACTGCTGTGTTTGACAAATCCTTTGCAATACAAGCCACCTCCCTCTGGAATTCCATCCCAGCTGATATTCGACACACTCAATCAGTTTCCTCTTTCAATCCTCTCCTCTTTAAGCACCTACTACTTTCTCAATCCGACTGATTGTGAAATATACTTAAGAGAAATATCTAAGCACCGCCAGAGGCTACCTCAATTTATTTAGGTTATTTTAGTTTCTCATATATATGTACAATTTTTATCTTTAGTCAACTCTTATTGTAAATATACAATCTAATTGTAACCACACAGACATATAATCTGTATTTATATTTTGTTCTAAAGGGACAACAGTCCCAGAATAATAAAATATTTTTTCATTTCATCAATACAATCTACTAAAAAAAAAAAGTTTAACAACCTAAAAAATTGTAATGTTTTTACTTTCATATTGCTACTAAATAAGTACTCCGATCAAGCTAAATTTATGATGTGTGGTTTTCAACGGATGTTTACATTTCAGAATACCCTGAGTCCGAAAACCACATTTTCAACCATTGGTGTGTCTGTGCCAAGATCATCTTTGGTACGAGTAGGGTTTTGATTCCTGGTGCCTGCGAAACAAATTGGGCACTCCCTGCTCAATAGTGGCTGCACAATAAGAGTTAAACATTTTTTTCAATAAACTAGCGAAAAAACAGATGATTTTGATGAAACTCTCCTATAATTTTCCACTTAAAGTCCTCTCAGTTTTTGTATTTGTAGTGAACTCCTGCGAAAAAAAGTTATATAAAGAAAATGGGCCTAACTTGAAAAGTATACATTCTATGGTAATAAAATTTCCTTCAAAACAGACAAAAAAAAAATCATCAGAATCGAACGTTATACAGTGTATTCTATTTTATATCGTTGTTTTATTACTTTTCTACCGCTAATGGGCATTGGATTAAATTTCCGATGTGCGATTTTCAACAAATCTGATCTTTACATTTTAGTTCCTCCTGAGTCCGAAAAACACATTTTAGTATATATTTTTTGAAAGGTTATTAAATTTCCAACGTTACACAAATAAATCTAAATGGGACCAGTTATAGCTAAGCTTCAGTGTATTGAATTTTATATGCTGATTTTAATGATGGTTCTCGTACCTGTTTACATTGCTTTAGCTATTCAAAAAAATTGTTCTCCAATTATTCCTCTGATCGATTTTCAGGAAAATTGATCTAATTCAATTAATTTTTAAAGTTGTATAAATTTGTCTAAAATCGGTAGGAAAGCCGTGTAAGTGGACACACCAGATTTATTTGTATTTAAAAATTGAAACCTCAGTCTTATATACTTTCTTTATCACTTTGATTCTATCCAGCCCTTGTTCAAACTATTTTTTTTTTTCTTCTATGACCATACCCAATTATTTATACTAACTTTCTGGACCAAACTTACTTTAATTGTGACAGAATTGATAGGTAGAAAATCTCTTAACTACATTGCTTATGGAAACGATGTATTACGATTGAAAGCAAACCCTTTCCGTAAGAAATAAAATAAAATTGATATCATGTTTTACCGATAACAGGGTAGCTTGATGGAGCCTATCCTGCCGCCTCAATATCCACCGCAGGTGGGAGTGAACGCCCTACACCAGCACAGTACCACCAATAATAACCTCAGAGCACTCCTCGCACAGCTCCAGCAACAGGTAATACATATTGATTTATTTACAATGCTTTAGTAGAGTTTAAAATCTATAGCAAGGGAGTTGGCCTTAATATATTTCACATTTCAACCATAACCCTCATATTACAATCTTACATATATGCAACAGTTTTAACATTAGCATTTATTTATTAATAATCAAAACACTACTTTTGTAAGAGTACTTTTTTTTTTATTATCTTAACTTTTATATTAGGTTATCATGGATTAACTACACACACAAAAAAAGAAAACTGTGTAAACAAAAGGAAGGGGATAACTTAGTGATAATGACTTCCATAGCTCAAATCCTGAGTTCGAATTCGGCTGATGAAAAATATTTTTTCATAAATCGTGGATTGAACCTGGGGTCGGGAGACTCTCATGGGACTCACTCAGTCTCTATTGTTGTTACTCTTAATTAAATAAATTAGTTGGGGAGGGAGGGAAACCTGGCTACTCTTAATTAAATAAATTAGTTGGGGAGGGAGGGGAACCTGGCTGTTAAGCATGATCCTGCTCCAATCATCTCTCTGCGTATTTCCTTACCAAATACTGAACCCAAGACCCTTCATGGGTTGTAGTGGTATAAAAAACATTTTTTCCAATAGATTAATCACCTATACAGAGTTAAGGTATTCTGCAAACTGACTGAAAAGAATCGTGTATTTTTTTTTAATTTATTGGGTGCATTAAAAAAAAAAAAAATCAAACAAACAGTTTTTTTTTCAGTTTTATGAAATTGGGCTAAAAAAAATTTATGTTAGATTGAATTGTATTTTCGATATCGCCAGGGTGGTGACCGACCTGGAAAATTGGGAAGTCTCGGAATTTTTTTTGTATGTAACTATGTTTTTCTAATTGGAAATAAATATACAATGGATTTCGGGTACGTAAAAAAAATTTGGAATTCGCAAACTATCAGCTAGATTCTAAATTGGTATAACAAAGATATGTGACATTTTTTAGAAACAAAATCTGGTGTGTCCACTCACATGACTTTCCTACACATTATAGACAAATTTATACAACATTAAATATGTCCATTGAAAAAAAAAAAAAAAAAAAATTAGAGTGATTTTCCTGAAAACCGGCCAGAGAAATGATAATACTACAATTTGTTAGATAAACTAAACTAAAGCAATGTAAACAGGCACGTGAACCATCGTTAAAATCAGCGCATAAAATCCAATAAAAAATATTTCTTTGTTTTTGTTCTTAAGTGAATTTAATTAGAATTCAAAATATTCTACATAAATTTTACCATAGAATGAATACTTCATGAGTTGGGTTCCAAAACTTTTTTTTTCTTTACAACTGTTTTTCTGAATTTTCCACATGTAAGAAATTTAAAGTACTTGAAGTGGAAGGTTATAGGAAAGTTTTATCCAAATCATTAGATCAATCTTCGCACTAAAGTCTATAGAAAAACAGGTTTTTCTCTAATTGGGCTGTGTGTGCCCAATTTATTTCACAGGCATTAATAGTAAAACCCTACAAAACAAAAAAATAAGTAACAAAAATTGGTCTATTTGTTCCTAAGGTAATCTTAGTGTAAACAAGACAGACCAATGGCTGAAAATGTATTTTTTTGGACTCAGTGGGAGTTCTGAAACGTAAAGTCGAAACAAAATTTTAAATGGGCGTTTATGAATTTTTAGTACTTAATTAAATAGACAAATTTTCCACATCTAAAATGCCCCAATTCTGAAAATATTCGTATAAAAAATTTTATAGATTACAGTGAGATGAAGCTAATTCACGAAGTTTTAGGCAGGGATGTTAATAATTTGATAAAAAGGAATCTGTATCATGAACTATTGGGGATAGTGTGCGAATAGTCTAATATCAAATTCATTTAATCAAATTTTTGTATCATTTATTGTTTATTTTACAGAGAATAATGTAATATAATCAGTTAGTTTGTTCAATAAAATTGGTTTTATTTCAATTTTCTAAAATATAATTTTATTTTCCTTAACTTATACCTTAACCAATCCTTTAAAATCTTAATTTCTTTACCTTCTTGATTTTTTTCACTCCTTGTTCTGTCCATTATTGGATCATCTGAATTCAACCTTGCTACCTTGTTTTAAAATTCCTTGCCTACCTCTATATCTAAAATATTTTCTTTAACTTCATTTAAATATCAATTTCTCCATCTCTTCAACAATCGATCTTATGAATATAGTATGTAAGAACAATATTTTTTTTTAAATCAGTTTAATGTATCTATTATATTATGAGGTGTGTAAATTAAGAAATGATACTGTTTTTTCTAATTTTTTTATTGAAATAAAATTACAAATTCACATTGTCTCTATCAAAGTACCTATCTAAATATTGAAAATCACACGTATACATATATTGAAATAGTTGGTGCTCAGTGGACGCAAAATTTGATGCTCTACAACTTTGATTCTATGGTTGTAAGAAGATTTTTCTTCTTAAGGAACTCATTTCCAAGCTATAGGGCCATTGGTTGACCATGGTTTTCTACTGTATCACTTATCCAAATTATTAGATTTAGATAATCATTCAACACACAATTTAACGTTCTTTAATCTATTAAAGATTACATTTTCCGATTTGATCCATCATTCAGGAGTTAAAGGTGAGAAAACAAAAAAATATCAAAAAAATCTGACGTAAAAAGTTTTCCGTTAGTGGCTCACGTTAGCAATTTTGTTTTTTAATGTCTAAACCCATATATACAAGTTAAAAAAATAAAAACTTATCTCACATTTTTCACAATACTTTTCCCGCATTTTTTGGAGTTACTAGCCTAATAGTCTTTAAATCAGCCACTGTTTTTGATAGCAGCGTCTCTGGAACGGCATATTCTTTATAGTCAGAATAACATAAACTTTTGTAATTTACAATCAAACCTTCTCCTGCAATTTGGTCGATTCTTGTGCCCTGGCCACAGGGCTAACTGGAATAGCCTTCAGTTGGTCAGTTATGGCTGTTTGAATATTCTCGAATGTTCCAAAATGTCATCTTTTGAGATAATTTTTTAATCTTGGAAACGGAAAAAAGACATTAATCAGGTGAATAAGGAAGCTGAGGAACCTTATGAATGTTTTTACTTGTTAAAAACTCATGAAGCACAACATTGTTCGAAATTGATGTCACTCATTTTTATAATGCACTAATAAAAGCTTTCTCACAAAAAAATTTACTTCGGACTGCGTAACAACTCTGACATGTTCAAACTTGGACTGTACGCCGCGTATCAGATGTTTCCTGCCTACCCTCCACAAGCTGCGTCCTCAGTGTTGCCAGATCGAACAATAGAAAATCAATTTCATTACTTAATTTACAAACCGGGTATTTTATTGTTGTCATTCATAAATGGAAACTTATAAACATACCAACTTTTATTTATCTGTAATTCATTATTTTCATTTATTTACTAATCCTTGCCTTTAATTTTTATTTTATAATTTTTTTTTTTTTAATTATTGATTTTATGCCAGAAAAATAAAATAATTATGCATTTTCATTGTTCTTAGGGGACTAAGAGTGGTATTCATAGTCGTTCCTTTATTCCAGTTGAATGCTTCGTCAAAAAGGATTACTTTTATGGAACTTGATGAAAAAGGACTTTTTTCAGCTAATTTGATCGCAGAGATGCTTCTGTAATGTTATATAATCAGTTAGTTTGTTGAGTTAAAGTGATTTTATCCTTTTTATTTGACTTGAGCTGTACCTTTTCCGATCCGTTGAACCCTTAGTTTTCTTAACTTCTTGATTTTAACAATAATTAAAATAATAGATATTATATTTAATCCATATTATTTTTTTTATAATAACTCTTTTTAATCTCAATGTCTTTAATTATAACTTTAAAATATTTTAACTATATTTAAAAATTATTATTTTTTATGGTTTCGGTTCCAAGAGCCGTTTCAAAAAAAAAAAAAAAACTTAAAAAAAACCAAAACATTAGTCATATTAAAAAAAAAAAATTCTTAAAATATTTCTGTATTGTACTTGTTTTATTATTTTTCTTTCAAAATTTGACTTCTTTTCCTCATTTTTTCTTCATCGAGCTGTAGTCTAGAGTACGATCTGATGAAATGAGAAAAAGAAGAGAAATTTTGCAGAATTTCGGAAAAAAAATAAAACAAAACATTTTATATTTAATAAAACAAGTACTAGCATAGAGTAGTATTCTATATACAAAAATATTTTTAAAATGTTTTAAAAATAATGTTTTTAAAATGTTTTAAAAATAATGTTTTTAAAATGTCAAATTTTTTGGTTTTTTTTTTAAAGAAAAAAAATTTATAAAAATGGTTATTGAGCGGAAATGTTAAAAAATAATAATATTTAAATATTGTATAAATGTTTTAAATGTATAATAAAAGACTGTGAGATTAAAAAGAATTTTTATTAAAAAATATGAATAACCTAAAGAAAGAAGGTTGTTTTTCATAAAATAATAGATTAAACAATTAATATTGTTAAATACTTGAAACAGTCCTGTTACCTCCTTTACTTGCTGCTCAATCGATACTTTAATACATTTTCATGCCAATGTTTAAGAGACGAAGAAACATCAAATTATCAGTCAGAAGGAATCCTTTTTCATTGAGTTTTGTAAAAGTATTCATTCCATTTCGATGGAACGTCAAAGCGGAGTCAGAGGAAGAATTATGCATACCATCCTTAGTGTCCCATAAGTATGAAATCTACTTCTTTTCCTTTGTTCTAATAATTAATTAAGCGTCCGGCTCAGGCAAAAGCGGAACCAGCGCCTTCGCCAGTGATGGAGACACTGATCTCCCTCGCTCACCAGCAGCAGGTGTCCTCAGGGCAGACCCCGATCCAAGCCCTGCTCAGGCAAATGCAACAACAGAGCTCCAAGCAGCAACAACAACAACAACAGCAGCAACAGCAACAGCACCACCACCAGCAGCAGCAACAGCATCACTCCTCGGCCTCCTCCGGGGTCAGTATATCCATCTCTTAATAATATTCCTAATGGAGTTTATTACTGTTTTGATAAATAGAGATTTTAATTTCAAGGATTTAAGAATTGATTTAAGCTTTAGATAGAAGAGTATATTCTCACTAATCTGAATAATTACCGCAGTGGTGTTGGGATTACAGAAAAGGTACTATTTCACTGGCACGGTCTACGAACGCGACTACTCGCGGTTGACCACTGCTTTAGTGGAATAGAAAGGAGAAAGGAACCTATTTCGCTGGCGCTGCTCGGCAGTCTAGGTATGACGTCATATCTAAGCTGCTTGTATCTGACTCTTCTTGAAGCAGTGGAGCTGTTGGCGGTTCGGCGGTCGTTTTCGCCTTTTTGTTCTTTTGTGGTTGTTCATCTAGACAACAGCAAACAATGTTCAAGAAGGGATTTGATGATGAGCATCTCATCGAAATACTGATATTCCTTCCCTTTATGAACAACATTTTCTCTTCTTTTTCCTCAAATAAAAAAGCGGTAGTCAGAGATGTTCATTTTTATTATTATAGGATATCCATCTTTTTATCTTCGAAGATACAGCGAAATGTTCAAAGGTTATAGGCAGGTTATAACAATCCCAGTGGGCAGTTTCAGCGAAATAGCTACGCCAATAGCGGTTGCTGTAGTGGACCCCACCAGCGAAATAGTACCTAAAGATTTCAAGAAAAATATTTACAATATAAGATATTTGCAACATAATAATAATAAAAACAAAACAATATTTTTTGTGCACAATTATTTGTAGAATCATTTATATAATTAAAAATACTCATATTGAATATTTAATGGTTGACCGTTGCATTATAAAGGAAGGAGATGGTCCGGGGTTGCGGTCATAAAAAGGCTAAATAGTGGTAAAACTATTTTATTGAAAGCCAAATAGGTGGCTTTCAATAAAATAGTTTTACCACTATTTAGCCTTTTTATGACCGCAACCCCGGACCATCTCCTTCCTTTAAAAATACTCATATATGTTGAAATACAAAATTTATATTTTCCTATAATTTCCTAGTTTACTGCATTTCTCATGTAAAAACACGTTTCATCTTATAACAGCTAAGGCTATCATAATCATCTAACTTATTTGCATCTATTATTTTAATTATATTATATTAAAAGATTAGTAAAAATGTTAAAATACCCTTTTCTATGTTAGCTCCCATATTACCAATGCAATTGTTAATGAGCGACTAGTCAATATTATAAGTGTGGGGAAGGTTTGTGAAGGTAATTTGTTGCTTTCACTTACCTATATATGTAATATATAGTAAGGGTAAGTACTGCAATCGTTAAAATTTCCGAATCTGAGTTTTCAACGGAAATAAATGTTCGAGTCCAAATAACCAAGTTTTTCTCAAAAATAATTTTGATTAAATTCATTATATCAGTGTATTATTAAGCCGTTTTAATATAATGTAGATTTTATTCCCATCGATGTTCTCTAACAGAGCTTAAATGGCCAATTTTCAATATTAGCTTCCTCTAAAGTACCTTTAATTTTGTTTATTTGAAATAATTAACCATTTCACATTAATCTTTGATGTAAGAATAATTAAATATAAAATATGATAGAATTTGATAATTAACTAAATGAGAAATAAAAGATTGTAACGAATAATGGTTGTAATGGAGAAACCTAAGGATTACGACCGCACTCGAGCTCGCCTGAAAGATAAGAACAGACTTCCATACATAACATGAGCTTAATGTAATAAAGACTCCAACAATATTATGTGCATATACATATGCGGTTTTCATGAATACTATCATTGGTATTATTTAATATTTAATTGTATAGAATACAGCTATATAAAAATTAAAATTTGTATATATAAGGGTATTTAAACAAATAATATCCACAATGATATATAAATAAATATAGCATCTATTATAATTTTTACTTTCACTTCCCTTTGTCTGAAAATACTTATTTCTGCTAAGAAGAGGGTGGTAAGTGAAAGTCTTGTGATGCGCAGAAGTATCATGTAATAGAAAGGGTATTTTAACTTTTTTACAAATTATTAATATAATAATGAATTAAAATAATATATGCAAATACAATTATGACAACTAACCTGCTATAAGATGACATGTCTTTTTACATAAGAAATGCAGTAAACTAGGACATGACTAATAAATATAAATTTTGTATTTCAACATATATGAGTATATTTAATTATATAAATGATTCTACAAATAATTATGCAAGAAAACTCGTAATTGACAAAAAATATTGTAAATAACTGTAATGTAGAAAATTTGTTTTCAGATTTGATAATGGCTCGATTTGCCGAAATGTCGTTATTCCAAAATACGGATTTGAAATAAAAACATAATTGATGTACTTTTGGCTTAATGTAATATAAAAAAAAAAAAAAAATTATATTTATTTTTGTCCTTTGTGCCGAAATTTCGTCCTAAATTTCAGAACGAAAATTTAAGAAGTTTAAGCTTGTGCTAATCAAAGAAAAGATAACATGAATATTGAGAAAAAGTAGACATTAATATAATAGACATAATAGTATTAATATGTAGATGGAGTGATAAATTATTCATTTTGTTCAATTTTTAGATTGATTCTGTCTGGAACGGAGGTGGCAATTGGAGTCAATGGGGTCATGTGAATACAAAAGGGATTAAGACTGAACAACAAGTGCTCGTAAGAATTTATTTAATAATTTATTTATTTATTTAAACTACTATAAAAAACTTGCAATTAAATATATATATTTATTTATTTTAGGAAGAGCAAATGAGAGCAGAGTATTTAAGAAAGAGAGAAGAACTATTGTAAGTATTTAAATATTGTTAATAGTGTTAAAAAATGATAAAAGTTTTTAGTCGGTAGGAGGTCGATTCCTGTTCATCAATGCTTATGTTAATATTTCATTTAAATATACCTAATAAACTCAGCCACATATCCATAAGTAATATATAGAAAATAGAAAAGTATATCATCATTTCGTTTATAAATTAAATAATTTCTTTATTGATTTTTTTCCTGCGTTTTATCTTAAAATTGAAGATTTTCATTGCTACTATGTTCTCTGTATTTTTTCTCTCTCTACTGTTCGTTACTTCTCTTTGATATGTGAAAATATTTTAAAAAGGTTTATGTTTATTTATTCTGTTTAGCATTTTGTTATTTTTATCAGCATTGTCTCATTTGATTATTGTTGTTCATCATCAATCATTATTATCATAGTTTAGTATTTCCTTCTTTTTTATTGCTTTATTATTGAATCAGGCAGGTTATTGTTTCTTTCTTTTTTTAAATGTTTTACTCACTTTTTTTGTTTCCTTCTAATATTGATGGTCTGTTAAAACATTCCACCGATCGACAATCTTTTGTGTTGTGTATTTTTAAATGTTATTTTAAAGTATTATTTTTGTCTGTTAGTCTCTTATCGATTTTTTCGATCATGCACCCTTCATACCACAGTTCATGCTCACTAAATTAAGTTTATTTATATTTTATTTTTTTTTTTTTTTAAGTATATCTTTCATTTTCCCTGATGGTTAATGTTATTTTTCTGTAGCTTCACTAGAAAATGAACGTTCATTTGTAATCTTCAAATGTACTAGTAATTAAAAAATTAGTTATTAATGTGAGTAGCTATCGTAGTGATGTAGTTTTTGTTCGTCCAAAAAAAAAAAGAAAAGTGTTTAATACCTGTAAAATAAAAACAAAAACAGAAAAGCAGCCGAGGAGGATGAAGCAAAGGGGAAAGAAGAAGAGGAAAAGGCTAAGAAAGAAAGGGAAAAACAGCAACAGGAAGCGGCTAAGAGGGAAGAGGAAAGCCTTGCGAGAAGAAGAGCCGAAGAAGAAGAAATAAGGAAAAAACAAGAGGTAACAAACCATTTTTATAATTTATGCATATTTATATATTATTTTTTAAATCCTTTTTTAGTAACCTATCATTAATTTATTATATGACATCCTTAAACATAGGCTTCCAAAAATTTTAACATCCAAGTTTATCAAAATTATTCGAATTGTATTAATAGAAGCTAAAAGGTAAATAACTTTTTTTTTTTTTTAGTAATATGCTTTATTTATTCTGGGACATGATCCTTTAAAATAATACATAATAATAAATAAAATTGTTGACTTTATGGTCTCTAGAGTTTTATAAAAATAAAATAAAAAAGTAGAAATATTTAACAATATATAAATTCTAATATTAATTAATTAAAATTAAAAAAAATATATACTTAAAAACTAATTATTAATTTATATACATATTTACAGTAAAAGCTATTTACAATTGTTTGGGAATTGGATGAACATGAAATGATTGAATTGGCAGAACTTAGAGTTGGGTATAGAATTGGAGTGAAGGATGTAGGAGGTGATGGATTACCATTGGACGAGGATCAGATAATAAAAGATTTGTCGAATTGTCATGAATCGGTAGCCATAGTATATAGATTTGAAGACGTAGAGCGGATATTGTGGTAATGAACCTGAGGATTTGAATTGAAGAAGCTCGGAAATGTATAATGGATGAGAGGATTGAATAATTTGGAAGAGTAAGGATGCAAGGAAATACGATAGAAAGATAAAGCCACTTCAACTCTTGAAAAAAAAAAAAAAAAGTGCGGGAGACAGGCATCTGATTACAGTAATGGCAAACAAAAATGTTCAAACCTGTTTTGGCACCTTCAAATTTAGATAATGGGGAGAGATTTAACTTTTAAGAACTTTTTTTTTTTTAGTTTTCTTACCGTTAACATGATTATTCATAAATAGCTGTCTATGTAAGCTCATTAATAAATGTCTTATTTGATTCACAAGTAAAACATATACTTTTAACAAAATTTTAGAGATTTAAGAAGTATATAATATTATATTTTTTAAAATTTGATTATTGTTTATTTAAAAAAAAATTCCTTTCAGTTTTGGGCTGCAGGCTTGTTTATTATTTAATCATCTTGATATTTTAGTTCTTGGGTTTAAATGTATAGTCCGTTGTACAGACTCCTTTTTATCCAATCTATCATCTGTTTAAAACTTCGTGAATAGCTTCATCTGATCATAATCTACCGCATTTTTATTTATGAAAATTCTTGGAAATGGGGCAGGGCGTTTTCAATTTGGGAGATCAGTAAATTTTGTCTATTTGATGAATTAATAATATAGCATCTATTTCCAGTTGAATCGTAAGTTAATTTTATCACGGGGGCGGGGTAAGTCGAATAGGCTAAAGCGTGTTCACAGCACCGCTAGTTGCCTGGCAACCGGATAACAGAGATTTGAGATGATATAAAAAGTACGAGTTCGCATCCAGGTGCCGGAGGGGATTTTAAATTCCCCGCCCTCACCCCCCGGCCCGGGAAAATCCCGTATAGCCTAAAAGATATTGGGCCGTTTTGCGTGATCTCTACCCCCAAGTCTAACTAATTAGGTTTTATAAATATCGTCAAAACGTTCCAATATTTTTGGTCACCTTTTTCCTCCATGATTTGATTGAATTACTTACGTTTAAATTGGAAAGCAATTGGGTACTCATGAAATTTTAAACCTTATTAAATTAATTAATTTGATAGGAAAACGCCCTATTTCTGAGAATTTTTGTAGTTATAAAGGTTACAGATTAGGTAAGATGAAGCTGTTCACGAAGTTTTAGAAAATGTCAATAATTTGATAAATAGGGGGTCTGCATCGCAGGTTAGTAAGATATTTTTTTATTATCATCAGATGATGTATTTTGAAGTTAACGGATTCTTATAAAGTTTTATCTAGAAGATCTGAATTTCTGCAATGCAGGTTTGAAATTCATTTTATAAACTCTTTTTAGGATATTGGGACAAATTTATCTCACTTAAAATCAGTTTCCAAAATATCTGTGGAAAGCCTGAATTAATTAGCTCACTGCTATAGGACTCTTAAGACATAGAGAAAATATATTTACGTTTAAGCTAGTTGTTTATATTTCGCCATCCCTTCAGGTCCTTGGTTCCAGTACGACGGTGAATGCAAATGAAATGGACTTCATTGATGTTCCAGTGAATTTCCTTGCTCCAAATGTAAAACTATTGTTTGTCTAATATACTCAAACTTAAAAAATATAGTTAAAATCTCTTTTGTATTTAATTTTTTTATGTTTTCATCTATTTTTATAAATGATTAATTAATTACTGGTTGGTCCATGTGAATAATTCGCTAAGCATACTGGTCAATGAATGAATCACAAAATAATGATGGAATGTATAATAGGATGGAAGAATCGATTTTTGATTCTTATTTTCTCGGTAATTATAATCGACATAGGGGAAAAAAAATTTAAAACTTCATTCATGTTTTATACCAACATATTTAAAAATAAAGATATGTTGTATCTTTGCTCTAATAATGAATGGTCTGATTTAGATGATGTTTTTTTTGTTATTTTGTTTTGTAGGGAATTGAGTAATAGTCCATGGTTCAGAACCCCTTTTTATCAAATTATTAACATCTGCCAGGAAACTATGTTATTTGCGAAAACTCTTGCAATTGGGAAGTTTTCAATCTGGAGGTCTGCTAATTTTGTCTATTTAATTAGTTACTAAAAACTGATAAATACCCGTTTGCTTTCCACTTGGATCGTAAGAAAATTTTATTACAGGATCGAGAAAAAAGGTGGTGGTTATTAAATATTGGGCTGTTTGGCTTATATAACCTCATTATTTTGACATTTTGGTGGTTTAGGTCATGCCAAATGGTCCATATTCTTGAAGGCCACTTTTTTTTTTTTTTTCCAGTTTTTGGCTCAAATTATCTTACAATTGAAGTTGAAAGCAAATGGGTATTTACGAGTTTTTGGTACCTAATTGAATAGACAAAGTTTGGCGATCTCCATATTTAAAACATCCCAATTTCAAGAATTTTCATAAATAAAATAGTTGTAGTTTATGATGAGATTGAGCTATTTACGAAATTTCAGGCGGATGTTAATAATTTGATAAAAGGGTGTCTGTACAAAAAGGCTATAGATTAAATTGTCACAGTGAAAAAGAAATAAATTTTACTCTTTTTCCGGTACACTGTATCACAGAATATAACTTTTCAAATAATCTACTATCGTCTATAAAATGTATGATTTTAGGCGATGTATGTACTTTTTGAGTTCTCAGTGAAAATGTAGTATATTTGCTACGAAACTGATTTTGAGCCTTAGTGAAATAATATATTTGGTGAATTTTGTAAAATAATTAATTAAAAAAAGTATTGCTTAAGCTCTTTGCGTTTCCCGTTTTTCTTTCGTCAACATTTAGCAAGAATTAGTTTTAGGAGCAAGTAAATGAACACTAGAATCAAATAGTAACTAGAATTCCCCACTGATTTAGATTTTACCATTGACTGTTAAAGTAACAATTTACTAAAATAAGCAAACAGTTCTAAAAGAGACATGATAAATGGAACAATACAAACTATAAAGCTATGAGGAGTCTCTAATGTTGAGAATATGCCATATCCATTAGCCCTGGAGCCAGAGTAAAAAAAGTGACCTCATCGCAGACAAAGGTTTCAATGTAAATTATGAAAATTTTCTAATTATAAGTAAAATGAATCTTGTCTGCCATTCCATTGCCGCTGCTTAAAAAATAGTGGCTGATTTAAACAATATTAGGCTAGTAACTTGAAAAAATGTGGGAAAAGTATTGTTTTTTAAACTTGTATATATGGGTTCAAACATATAAAAAACAAAATTACGATGCAGGTCACCAAGAGTAAATTTTTCATAGCCAAAAACTGATATTTGAAGAGAACGTTTGGAGTGATCAGTAAAAAAAAAAATTGTAAAAATAAATAATTATATTTATTTTTACTTTTGCTGACGTTTCGGCCCAAAGTTCAGGTCCTCATCGGGGGATAAGAAAAAAACAGATAACAATAGGTATGAGAAACCATAAACATTGAATAATAGAGAATTAAAATTAAAAAGGTGAAAGGTATAGGCTAAAAAATGTAGTTTTAATAAACTTAAAGTAAAATAAAGTTGATAGAATAAACATTAAAGTAAAATAAAGTAGGTAGAATAATAACAATAACAGAGAACTAAGAAATAAATAATAACGGCAACAATGTAGGGACTAATGAAATAAACATAATCAAAATAAGGTAACATAAGAAATTTAAAATGGATTAACTATGAAAAGTAGTGGAATGTATAAGATAAGAAACGTAAGTGTAGGCAAAAAATAAATAAATGGGGGAGATAGTTGCTGAACTATGATGTAATAGTATGCTAAAAGGAAGTGAAATAATCATATGAATAACATGTAAAAAAGAGAAAAGGAATATGAAGTTATATAAGGGAATAATATACTGTTATTAATTATTTACATTAATTTAACTTTTTATTCTCGTATACGTATTCAGTATATTTTGATAGATTTTACAATATCTCTATTTTCTACTTATATCTATTATTTCCTTATATAACTTCATATTCCTTTTCTCTATTTTCCATTTTATTCTACCATTATCTCACTTCCTTTTAGCATACTATTACATCATATTTTAGCAACTATGTCCCCCATTTATTTATTTTTTGCCTACAGTTACGTTTATTATCTTATACATTCCACTACTTTTCGTTGTTAATTTATTTCACATTTCTTATATTATCTTATTTTGATTATGTTTATTTCATTAGTCCCTGCTTTGTTGCCGTTATTATTTATTTCTTAGTTCTCTTTTACTGTTATTATTCTACCTACATTGTTTAGTTTATAACTTTTGCCCTTTTTAATTTTAATTCTTTATCATTCAGTGTTTTTAGTTTCTCTCATACCTATTGTTTATCTGTTTTTCTTAGCCCTGATGAAGGCCTGAACTTCAGGCCGAAACGGCAAAAATAAAAATAAATATATTATTTATTTTTACTAATTTTTATATTTTTTTTTTATATTTACTAATTTATTTTTACTGATCACTCCAAACATTCTTCTCTTCAATTATTGACTGCAGTCAACCATCGATCCACAATTAAAAAAATGATTTCTTATGATCCTTTTTTGTTTCTTCACCTTAACTCCTCCACAGTGCCTCCAGGAAATTAAAGAACATTAAATTGTTTGTGGTACGGTCAATAACCATAGTCAACAAACGCTGATTTTTACATAATTTTTTTTTTAACTAAGACAAATTATTATAAATGGTCCTGCAGCTTAGAAATTCTTAAGTTCTATAACAGAAAAACTTATATAATCGTAGTTATAGAGCATCAAATTCTTTGCCCAATGAATACTAGTGTTTTTAGTGTTAGTCAATTCCTTTCTAATCAGGTTTGTTATGTCTTCATACAATTCTTCTTTTTTTTTACATCTTGTTCCTCAAAATCTTTTGCTTCTAACTTGGAAAAGTTGCCTTTACTGCATGTTGCATACTGTTAAAAAGAATAACTCTGTAGAATAGACTCCTTCTTCTTTTTATTCGATGATCTCTTCTACCTTTCGGTGTAGAGGTTTTTGCTTGAGGAGTTCCATCTATATCTGTCGAAGGCTGCTCTCCTGGCTTCCTCCCATCTTATCTCTTTTCCTTTAAATATATTTTTGAGATTATCCTCCCAAGTAATTCTTGGTCTTCCTTTAGGTTGTTTTTCTGCTGGTTTATTCTCCCTAGTTTTCTTTGCTGAAAGGCAGTCATCCATCCTCACTACATGACAAAACTATCGAAGCTGCCCTTTCTCCATTTTTTGATTGAGGGGTTCACTTTTGAGAATAGTCCATATTGTTGTGTTATATATCTGGTTCTCCTTGTCTTCTCCTGTATTTTTCTCTTGATACCTCATTTCCATGCTTTGAAGGCAGCTACAATAATCCTCAAATCCAAGAATCCTCAAATTCTTGTTTCTAGATACCAGCATACATTTTGTCTTTGAAGTGCTAATATCCATATTTCTTTTTGCTAGCTCTTCTGTCCAGACATCTATATATGCCTGTAGCTTTCCTTCACTTTCGGCTATTAGCATTTCATCGGGGAATGCAAACAGTGAACATTTACTGCTTGTAACTTTCGAAATCAAAATTTTGTATCCTCCGTTCTCCGCTCACATTCCTTAATTACATCATCCAAGAGAGTGATAAAATATAGAGGGCTCGCTATAGAACGGACATCCATATCGTTAAAGTGTTGAAGATCACACATATCTCTATTACCAATTTCCAGCCATTGGGAGATTAAAAATTTTTAATGTAATAATTGACTTACATTAAAACTATTGGGATTCAGTGGAGCAGAATTTGATTCTCTGCAGCTTTTATTCTATATGTGTTTGTTCTCTTAGATAAACCGTATACAAGCTGCAGTGCCATTTATAGTATTTTGTTTTAGTTTTAGATAAATTTAGTAAAAATCAGCTTTCGTTGGTCATGGTTTTATTCCATACAGCAATAACCAAAGTATTAACTTGCTCATAAAGATGCTCATTCCATTCACTGTTTAAGAGTTATAGGTGAAAAACAAAAAGAAAGCTTGAAAAATTCTATTTTTTTTAACTGTAAAAATTTTTTCCTTTGGTAGCCTGTATTAGCAGTTTTATTTTTTGCATGAGAGAACCCATTTATACAAGTTTAAAAAATAAAAACTTTTTACAATACAATCCCATTTGTTCTTCAAGTAACTGGCCTAATATTGCCATTTTTGAAAGTGGCAGCTCTGGAATGGCAGTCAAGGTTTATTTTACTTAGAATAATATAAACTTTTATAATTTACATTCAAACCTTTGCCGGCCTATAAGGTTAAATTTTGAGCCCTGGTTCCAGGGCTACATTGGGTCTCTTTGTTTCTGAATGAATGTTTTATCAAAGCTTTTTAATTTTATTATTTCTGTTCTCAACAGGCTTCGCGAAGAGCAGAAGTAGAAAGGCAGAAAAAGGGGGAAGAGAAAAGGAGAAAGGAAGAAGAGAAGAGGAAGAAAGAAGAAGAAAAGCGTAGGAAAGAAGAAGAGAATAAAGAGAGGGAAAGACTGAGAGAGGAAGAGAGGAAAAAGTAAGTGAGCTGGCGTAGTGAGTAGTGTTGTAGTTTCTCAGTCGTCTAGAGACTTCTATTTTTTATTGTAATTCTTCTATTTTGTAATTTTGTATCTAACTGGGAAAATGACAGATTAATGCACTTCTGCCTTAATATATATTAAATGTGAGCGTTTCCCCTGTTCCAGTGATTATTTCTTTCATCTTACGCTGGAAGAATTTGTTATTAAATCTGGAAATAATATTGTGTGTTTTATCGCTTGTAGTTGGAGTATTTTATTTTTAGATTTTTGTTCTTTTTAATTACTCCTGTTTTGTTTGTGTTCGGTATCTTCTATCAGTTAGCACTTTGAATTCTTGATTTTTTAAATGTTAGTGTCTTTTGAGATAAACGTTTTTGTATTTATTAACAACGAAGATCTCGTTATAATTATTATTTATCATTATGTATTAATTATGTGAATATTTCCAACGGAAACAAATTACATTTTTTTGTTTTGTTTAGTTTTTCAGTGATTGCTTACTTTTTGTGTTGTACTTGCTTCTTTTTTATTCTTTTTGAAATGTGATGCTTTCAAGCGGCCATCTTATTTTATATTAATGTATTTATAATCTCTACTTACTTAATAATGTTAACTTTTCTTGAAAATTTCCTTTAGCAAAATGAAAATAAATGCCTTTATTATATTAAGAAAGGCAATCAAGGAAAATTATTTAACATGAGCCTAATATTAATGAATGGCTCTATGATGGATTAACCTATTTTAAATTCTAACCAACTTTTTATTTTTAGTTACCTATATATGTAATATATAGTAAGCATAAGTATTGCGATCGTGAAAATTTTTAAATCTGAGTTTTCAATGGAAATACACGTTTTGAGGTCCCCTGGGTACAAATAACCAAGTTCCCCAAAATGGTCTCTGTGTGTGTATGTATGTGAACAGCCTAGCTTAAAAACGGAAAGCTGTACGAAACTAAAATTGCGTATTTGAGGTTTTTATAATCCTTAGATGTTACAGCAACATTTTTTTCAAAATAGGCAAACCGGAAGTGGTACTTTATATAATCGATTTAACACTGTTACGATTTTCTCTAAAGCGTTACTAACAATTTTAATTAAACTTAGTATATTATAAAGCAGTTTTTAATATAATATAGGTTTTATTCTCATACATTTTCTCTAACAGGACTTAAATGGTTAATTTTCAATATTAGCTTCCTCTAAAGTACCTTTAATTTTTTTTTATTTGAAATAATTAACCATTTCGCATTAATCTTTAATATGAAAAATAGTTAAATAAAAAATATGAAAGAATTTGATAATTAACTAAAGGAGAAATAAGAGATCATAACAGAGAATAGTTGTAATGAAAGAATCAAAGGAGTGCGAGCTTTACCAAGCTCGCCTGAATGATTACAACAGGGTTCCATACGTAAGATTAGCTTAATATAATACGGACTCCGACAATATTATGTTCATATACATATGCGGTTTTCTTAAATGCTTCGTATTATTTAATATTTAATTGTATAGAATACAGCGGTATAAAAATTAAAATTTGTCTATATAAGGGTATTTCAACGAATAAAAATACCCATAATGAAATGTAAATAAATATAGCATCTATAATTTTTACTTTCACTTCCCCTTTTTCTGAAAATACTTATTTTCTGCTAAGAAGAGAGTGGTAAGTGAAAGTCGTGTGATGCGCGTCAGATGATGAAAATCTGGCACGTACCAGATATTTTTTAAAAGTAAGTATCTTATTTTTATTTTTTCTGTAGCCCCCACCAAAACTCAATTTTATTTCCATTAGGTACATATTTTTACAAATTAAGAAATTCAAATGAAGTTCTATAAGTCTGTTTTATTATTATTATTATTATTTTTTTTATTAAAAAAAATAGTATATCAAATCGTCAGCATATTAATTTAATTTTTATGTAAGAAAAAGAAACTTTACAGAAATATTTTATATCCATTATATTATCATTGTGCTATAATTTCTGGTTATCTGAAATTTTTATCAAAACATTACTAATACTGTAAGTATTTTTATATGCAATAAAACTTCTGCATACCTGACACATAAGGATAATCAAATTTTGTCCAGTATAGAGGAGAGATGTCCATAATTGAAAAAAAAGGTGAACTCTCATGCCATGTATATGGATGTGTATATTTACCTGTAAATAAAAATAGCTACAGTAAAATATAAAATGATATAGACATGTGTGTTGTCATGGTGAAATAAACAAGTCTAGACTTCTCAGTGAGTTTATTCAAGGTTCTGTGATGGTCTTGTCGTCGGCATTTATTTGGAGGACTTCCAGAACCAGGTGGGTCTTTAATTGACCTCTCAAAGCACGAAAACCATTCATTAACAGGTTTGTCGGGATTTGTTAATATATAATACTATATATGATAATAGTACTTTATTGTACTGGACTAAGGAAACAATGAAATACTATTTTAATATAGTATATATTGACCACATAACCGACCAACACCTCAAATTATGATCACGGTCTACCATCTCCACACCATTATAAATTAATTAAATTGTCGATATTCTAAATTATAAGTAGTTAAAAGAAAATAACAATAATGTTGTTACAATTTATTGTACTTGTTTTGAAGAATAAGTTGAGTCAAAATTATTTTTATTTTACTCTTGCTCACTACGGAAGATAAGGAAGCTTTTTATAAAGTAATAATGCAGAAAGAGAAAACAATTGTTGTCCTTAGAAGAGAAATTTTCCTCTCACCTATTAGATTAATCCAAGGATCTCCAAATTACAGCCAACGGTGCCTTCATTCCGTCCCTCGAAAGCTTTGATTACGAGGTAAAATTTTATAAACTATTTTAAAAAATATGAAATTTAGTAAATCACTCAAACATAAGGTTATTACAACATTTATTGAACAAGATATTTTTTTTCATCATAAGTCATGGCCCGCGGGATTTAGTGGAGGTCTCAATTTGGCCCAACTTTAACGTTAGAAACACGTAGGAAGGTGCCAAAAACTTTACGAGACTCCTGCGTTAAACAAAGACATAGAACAAATTTGGTTTCACGTATGTCTGTTTATAGCGGACCCTACACGGTAATTCATGAATGAAGGTCACAAGAATGGCAAAGATTGCTCAGGATCGCTTTGATCATGAAGACCCTACACGTTCAATCATTACTGATCATTACTTATCATTGCTGAAGCCAATTTAGCTCAGTTGTAAACAAAGAAATAGCATAGATATGATTATTTGGGCATTGTCATTTATAATATTGGGCATCAAGAGGATGGAGATATAATAATTACTTCCTAGTGGCTGAAAATCGTTTAGACCAAAGTTAAAAAAATATAAATCAATTATTTAGAAAAAATATTACGAAAATAATCAATTTGTTAAGAAAAATGGAAAAAATAATGACGAATAAACACAACAGTTAAATTTTTTTTTCTATAAGTAAATTGTGAAGTTTCTACTTTTTTTTCTCTTCAATTTATTGCCAACTTGACTATTTAAAGAAAAAATAGTTGAAAATGGTTAATAATAATATAGACTAGGGATATAAACAACTATTTACTTAATAATGAGACCTAGGTAAACTAACCTATCTAGTAGTAGTCTCATAGAAAATCGTTTTGACAAAAGTTAGTAAAATGTAAGTCTACTTCTTACAAAAATTAAGGAAAGGTATTGCGAAAATAATAAATTTGTTGAGGAAAATGGGAAAAGAACTGATAAATATACACAACGTTAAAGTTTTTTTTTTTTTCCTAAAGTAAATTATGAAGTTTCCTCATTTTTTTTTTTTAATTTGTTACCCACTCGACTATTTAAAAGGAATAGTTGAAGATGGTTTATAAAATATAAACAAAGGGATATGAAAAATTATTTAACTATTTACTTTAATTAAAATCAGAAATTTATAATGGTTGTGAGGCCTAGGTAAACTAACTTATCAAGTAGTTTGGTTAGTCTTCCCATTACTTTTACCTCATTCCCCCCTCCACTTCTCGTGAATGAACCTTTGATTTCCGGATGTTCGGAAATCCACCTCACACCACCATCAGTACTTCATTCACTACCTTACACGGTAATTCGGAACGTCATTAGTGCCTCCGAATACAATTCCAAATGACCGTGTAGGGTCCGCTTATAGTCAAGTCTGAAATTTTCAAGGATTGCGCTGCTTGTACCCAAGCTATCCCTTTTTAAATTTTATCAAATTCCATCCGCTATATAGGCAATAATTCAAGAGAGATCCTTGTTGGCAGGGCTACAACTATTTTAACAATAATCTTAATCTAATACAATAATGTTATCCTACAATATTATGCTCAAGTCTTGTTAAATGTACTAAAATGAGGATATTATTGACTTTATTTTTATTGTGAATTCCATTATACCAGGTATGTAAATATAAAACTGGAATTTTGCAGTTCACATTGATCACACTCACAGCCCATATTCTTCATTTCTCACATCAAAATCGCCACTTTTCAATTTTTTGAAAGTATTATTATTATATATATTTTTCTTTAAATGGTATCAGAAAAGCTATGCTTTCTGCTATTGTAACAACTAGAGACATCTATGTACAAATTCTGGTTTTGTATTCATATACCTGTTATATAAATAAAGTGAATATGAATGATAATTATGTAGTCTCATTGGGTTATTTTACTTCCCAACAATCTAATTATGAATTTATAAGAGCTTGGGCCTATGCTGATCCAATAATCATTGGAATTTCATAGAGTTTAGTGATAAATTTTAAATGGCTCAATCTTTCTCCATTTCCACCTTCTAGTAAGTTGGAATTAATGCTATTTAGTTGTTACGGCATCAATGTTTTTTCACATTGAAAATAATATTTGATATTTTTTTAAAATTGTATATGGATGCTGTAATATTTGAACCATACTCAAGTTTTGTTTGACTTGTAACTTCCATTAGTTATACTTTTTGATAGTTAATCTATTGAAAATATTTTTAAATATTGTGGCAAAAGATTTTTATTGCATCTCAACCTATTTTATTTTTATTTTTTTCATTTCTTTATTTCGGAAGAGGAGGGTGCCTAGAATTTTATTTTAAGGCAGGAAAAGTATGAAGAATTTTATTTAAGCAGATACACTGAATTCAATCCTTTAACAGCAAACCTATTCTTTTTAGCTCATTTAAAAATCTATAACTTTCTAGCTCAGGAGTTTCCAACATAAAGCCAGCTTGGTGGCTCTTGTGTCCGCCTTTGTCTAAGATTACTTTTATTTAACGATCACCCTGGCAACAGTTTTACTATTTGTATATTTTGTTTCAATAAAATGTTGATTTGATGATATTATTTGAAAATAATGATTAATTTATCAATATAATATTGTTTTTTTAATCTCTTTCTTCGTTTGTAGAAACTAATTAATGACACTGTTGGTAACACTGCATTATATATATATTTACCAAGTTATAACCCAAATTGCTTCTAATTAGTCTAATAAATTATAATTTCAAAATGTGATAATCATATTAATGTAAATTAATAACATTATTAGACTTTGTGTTTTCGGTAGAAATATTTTTCATTAGTTTTTAAAATATTACAGATATCTGGGAAGGAGTTGATCGGGGGGTGCGTTCAAATAAATACTGAATTATTTAATTTTTGCCGACGTTTCGACCTACTTTGCAGGTCTTCCTTCATCAGGGCTACAAAAGATACAAAACATGGTAAAAATAAAGTAAATGAATATAAGTAGATATAAAATAAGAATAAGTTGTCTGATACAGAACTAAAAAGATGATATCAGAGATATAGTGGGTGACAATGTAGTTAAAATATCAAGTATTATATACGTAGAAGATACAAACAAAAATGGAAAATAAGTATGAATAAAAATAGAAAATAAAGGAGAATATAGTTTGTAAGTTAAAAGTAAACAGATTGCGATAAAAATTAATTAAATAAATTTTATCGCAATCTGTTTACTTTTAACTTACATGCTATATTCTTCTTTATTTTTATTCATACTTATTTTCCATTTTTGTTTGTATGTTCTACATATAATACTTGATATTTTAACTACATTGTCACCCACTATATCTCTGATATCATCTTTTTAGTTCTGTATCAGACAACTTATTCTTATTTTATATCTACTTATATTCATTAATTTTATTTTCACCATGTTTTGTATCATTTGTAGCCCTGATAAAGGAAGACCTGCAAAGTAGGTCGAAACGTCGGCAAAAATTAAATAATTCTACTTATTCGTATATATTGCTTTTTATTCAAATTTTTATTTTAAATATTATAAACTATAATCTTGCTATTCATATTAAATAAAACCACGGTGTCTACCGCTTAACTCATAACCTGTAAATGTGCCCGCAGGTTGGAAAAGGTTGGGAACTCCTTATTAGAGATGTGATTCATGTTTTTATTGCGGTTCTATATCCACTTTCAACTAGTCCATTGAATTTATCACTTTTTGCATGTTGTGCAAGCGTGCATTAGCATGTTAATTCATTAATTTATCACTAAATATATCTGAACTGGTTTATTATTTTCTGTTGGCTTAGGAAAGAGGCCGAGGAAGCAGCTAAAAAAAGGAGTCAGCAGCAGGCTGCAGCTGACGTGATGGCGAAGGTTCAGCGGTCCCAATGGTGCCCCCCAACGGCTTCCAGTACCAGTATTCTAGATATCCAAAGGAGCGAGCGGGAACAGGTAACGTTAGCAATATATAATTATATATATCTTGAAAGCTATACTTGCATGGAAAATAAAATAATATAAATTTCAGTGATATTAGAATTGAAGTAATGAAAAACATAAGATTGAGTTTGCATGTTTTAAATAGTAGGGACTGTGGGTGTGGTTTAAGTCCATTGTGCGTGGCAATGACAGCTACCAATCAAAAGTCTTAGTTTATTTAACTGTATAAATATAAATACACTGACAGGCAAAAGATTCCGCTCACCTGTTACCCATTAAGGAACCACGTTGGAAAGGTTGGCTCTGAGAAAAATTACAGGCTGCATATCTTTCGTTTCTTCTTCTCCACACGCTTTCACGCCGTCTGGAGATCGAAGAGCGAATCTTGACTCATCTGTAAAAAGTACAGCACTCCATTCGTCCGTAGTTCAATGGCTGTGTTCTCGATCAAAAGCCAGCCGTGTTACTCTGTGAGTTCTGGTCAACTCTGGTCCTCTTACTGGGCGAAAAGCCATTAATCCATACTCATTTAATCTTCTCCGAGCGGTACGTTTAGAAATTTGCACACCTCGAACTTCTTCGAGCTGATGAATCGCTTGAACAACGGTAAGGTGCCGGCTTTGTAAAATTCTCAAAGTCAAAAACCGGTCATCCCATGGTTCTGTTACCCTAGGCCGTCCAGAACCGGGCCTTCTATTGTAAGAACTAGTTTCCCGAAAACGCCTGACGACGCCTCGTAAAGTTTCATATGGAACTCTGATGGCATTAGCTGCATATCTAATGGAACGTCCATCATCAATAAGTGCCACACCACGCTCAACATCCTCAGCACTAAGAGGCATTTTTAAACTTAATATTGAAAAATTAAAAGCTGGAGACTAAGAAATGTGCTGCAAGAAACGGCACTGAACTAATGATACTGAATAAACATTTTGATTCCATAGAAAGTAAACATTGGAATCTAGAATCATTTCATTGAATTAAGGATTAAGGGTTATTGTCCTCTATATTAACATTCCTAATTGAAAACAAACAAAAAGATTACCTATTTATTCATTAAAAACAATAGACCAATCCAAAGCAGAAATATTTGTAGACGAAAAGATGAAGAAATCAAGTGGGTGTAATTTTTTTCCTGTCAGTGTATAAAAACTATTTAAATACATATCAAACTAAATATTTATATTTAAAAATTAAAATTACTATTTTAATTAAATTAAAAAAATAAATAATACTATTTGTATAATTTATTATTTATTTGACCGCAGCCCCCGATCAACTCCTTCTCATATTATATCAACGGTAAACCATCTCTACATCATTAAAATAATAAATCTATATTTACAATCTTAATTAAATTTGACAATCCTTCGCATTATTGAATATTATTTTCCTTTTAGCAACAGCTGTTGCGTGGCCTTCAGCAACAAGCTCAGCAGCACCTGGAGCAGCAGCAACAACAGCAACAGCAAAGCATGGGCGCCAAAGGAGGCCTCCAGCTAAAGTGGACTGAGCAGGCTAGGCCTCAAACCCAAGTGGAATCTTTAGCTGATATCCAGGCCGAGCAGCAGCGCCAGTTTTTCAAGGTATACATAAACTATATTTAATCAGTTCATTTATTAATTTTTTTTTTTTGCCATGTATTTTATTATATTTATTAATTTTAACATGATAATTTTTACTGTTATCAAATTTATTAATAGTTGTTATATTTGTTCACATCTTTGATGTACAACTTTGAAATAAAATGCCATATAGACTACCAAGACAATATATACTCTGATAATAATGATTTTAGTACTTTTATTTATTTTTTGGTTTATTATTTTTAATATCCAACCATTGTGATCGACCAAAAAATTCAAAAACTTAACCCTCTCTCAAAATTTGAGGTTTCACATTTCAGGATGCGTCGAATTCGAAAAACGAATACAAAATTTTTTGTCCGTCCGCCGTCCGCGCATTTTCTCCGAAACTACTTTACCGATTTTTTTCAGATTTGGTTATAAAATCAGAGGTAACCCGAGGATGATTCTCCTTCATCAACATTTGTATACGCCTTTTACTTTCAAAATGGCGGCTGGAAAATCTGCGTTGCTATAGAGTGTAGCTCCTAAACGAATGTACCGATTTCAATGAAACTTCGCTAAAGCCATTTTCTCTACGCCCTTTAAATTTATCTATATAACATACTTCAACGAAAAGAAGCTGGAAAAAAAGTTACGAGGGATGGTAAAATTTAATTCCGAATAACTCAAAAAGTATACACTTTTTTGTCGATATTGTATATGGTTTTTTTAAAGTTTACGGATTTTCCTAAAAAACAAAGAAAAATCGGACAAATAGGAGCTAAGATATGGTCTCCAGGTTTTTTTTATATGTTCTACTCCATATGTTGTATCCTTTGTTTGGTTATTAAATTTTGAATGTGTTACTGAAGTAATGCTATTTTTTTTTTTTTTTTAGCATATTACCAATGATTAAAAAATAACGTTCAATCCAACAATTGTAATCACCTTTTATTTATTTTTCTTTGTAACTAGGAAGGTAATGTTACTTTAGATGTATAGTTGTTTGGAAATAATAAACCATTGTGAAATAATTTGCAGCGTTTTTATTCTCTAACGACCTTTTCTAATTTATAAAAAGAAGCAACTGTGGTCGGCATGCACCCTATGAGCAAGTATATCTGCTTAAGCAAAAAGTAAAGCTCAAAATTTTTCATTGTTCCTTTTAATTAATCAAATGTTTATTTGTATTTTTTTTTTCAAATTTAAGTTGAAAAATCTTAAAGTATCTTTAAGTTGAAAAGTATTGAAATTATTTAGGCTGTGTTATTTTTCCACTATTCATTTCTTCGACGATTTTTATTTACATAGCCATGTTTCAGCTTTGACACCATCTTCAGGCCAATCTACAAATCAGCATGTCATTGGACAGCTGACTCAGTCCCACATGGGACATTGACAAAATAATATTGATTTATAAAAATATTGAAAATTTGAAAAATAATCCAGCATAAATTATTTCAATAAATATTAATTGTTTTCTGTTAAGAATAATCGTATCTATCTATTATTATTGTGGCTTGACCATCATTACTTATAAAAATTATTATTTTTAATTGTGGATCAATCGTTGACTGTAGTAAATAATTGAAGAAAAGAAGGGTTGGGGTCATCAGTAAAAAAAATAATAATAAATAATTATATTTATTTTTATTTTTGCTGACGTTTCGGACCAAAGATCAGGCCTTCATCAGGGGTAAGAAAAAAATAGATACCAGTAGATATGAGAAACTACAAACATTAATTAAATTTAAAAAACAGAAAAGTTTCTCTGTTTTACATTTTATTCATATGATTATCTTACTTCATTTTAACATAATATTACATCATATTTTAGCAGTTATGTCATTTATTTATTTATTTTTTCTACACTTATGTATATTATCTTATACATTCCACTACTTTTTGTTTTTAATATATTTTTCATTTCTTATGTTACCTTGTTTTGATTATGTTTATTTCATTAGTACCTACGTTATTTTACTGTAATGTTCACTCTATCTACTTTGCAAATAACCTACTGAAAGTTAATTGTTAATAACTTGTCTGGCGGGAATAGGCGAATAGCCTTCCGCTTTTATATCGGGGAGCTAGGTTTTTTACACTCCTGAATATTAAAATAAAATCTCGGCACTGGATATAGACTTTTTGTGGGTGTTTAACTGTCGTTGGGAATTAGGGAATCTAATACCTTTTGTGACACTGAGTGAGAAGAAACAATCAGAATACATGTATGAAATGCGGGACTCAGTAAACACTTTGAATGAATTGACTCACCTTGTTTATTATTCTTCAATTGTGAGGCATATAGGACAACTAAATAAAAGGACTATTCACTCCTGTCTAACAAAACAATTTATTTTAACAACTGATATAAGTGAATATAGTAAAGTCTAATAACTGTCGGCTTGATATTCTTGGTCTTCAATGTAGTAAGCCTCTCTTCCCAGATGACGTCGTCTTGTGTCCGTGTCCAGGCCTCAAGTGACTAGCGTCTTCTTCGCCAGCTGTTCCCAGCTACCTGTTCTGACCTTTTTCCAGTGTCCTTCATCGATATGAGACCTTTCCATGAATAATTTGTCCACTGCATAATTGAGTACAATCCAGAGTGCAACCTCACATTCCTATATATTCCTTCTCATTCTCTCACACAATGTTAACTAAAAGAGTAAATACAGAGGGATGTCTACTACAACTTCATGTTTATTATACCTACATTTTTTAGTCTATTGTAGTAGACATCCCCCTGTATTTACTCCTTTAGACGACATTGTGTGAGGGAATGAGAAGGAATATATAATATATAGGAATGTGAGGTTGCACTATGAATTGTACTCAATTGTGCAGTGGACAAATTGCTCATTGGAAAATCTCATATCGATAAACAATCGATGAGGAGGGATGCTGGAAAAAGGTCCGATCAGGTAGCTGGGGACAGATGGTGAAGAGGACGCCAAACACTGGAGGCCTGGACAGGAACACGAGAAGACGTCATCTGGGAAGAGAGGCTTACTAGATTTTTTTTTTTTTTTTTTTTTTGGGTTTTATACAACTCAAGGAGTCATATCCCCAACACCCAAAAGCCACTGCTCCCTGTCCATCCAATCTCCCTCACGAAGCCCTCTGGCTGCCATGCTTTCCTCCACGTCCTCTATCCATTTCTTCTTTGGCCTTCCACGCTTCCTTCTTTCAGGTGGCATATAGTTTCTTTGGCCAGCGGTTCTCATCCATCCGCATTAAGTGGCCATACCACTTTAACCGTTTGGTCCCGATCAGGTGAAGGATGTTCTTTTGACATCCGACCTTGTCTCTAATTGCTGCGTTTGGGATCCGCTCGATTCTGGAAATGCCACAGCTTCTTCTCCAGAAATCCATTTCCATGGAAAGCAACTTATTTTCCATCTTTTTTGTCAGTGTCCAGACTTCTGATCCGTAAGTGGCTACGCTTTCTACAAAGGAATGGTATATCTTTTTTTTAGTTTCTAATCTTAGTTCTTTCCTCCATAGGGTTGAATTTATCGAACTTATTATTCTTTTCCCATTATTTATTTTATGTTCGATATCAACCTCACTACCACCCTTTGAAGATAACCAGTATCCGAGGTACTTGAACTGTTGGCTGACATTTAGCGTCCAGTCATCAATTTCAAGGGGCAAATTTGGAGCGTTAAAAACCATATACTCTGTTTTACTTTCACTGATTTTCAGACCCCATCTGGAATACGTGTCCAGCAACTTCCTCATCATATAGCTAACATCATCCGGATCCGATGCGATTATGACTTGGTCATCGGCATACTGCAAATTGTAGATGACATCATTCCCGATTTGAACACCCATTCCACAGCACGATCTTTTCCAGTTTTTAAGGGCTTGTTCTATATAAATGTTGAAAATCAGGGGTGAAAGGCAGCAGCCCTGTTTCAATCCTTTGTTAATGAAGAAGCTTCTAGACACTCTATCTCCAATTTTTATAGCCCCCGTTATATTTTTATAGAGCTCTTGAATTGCTCTGATGAGGTATCTCTTAATAGATGTGGCTTCCAAAGCTTTCCACAATTTCGCTAGAGGTACTGAATCATAGGCCTTGTGTAAATCTACAAATATCATATGGAGTTCACGGTCGTGGGCCATCCTCTTTTCTATAAGTTGTGAGAGACTAAAAATGTGATCAGTGCATGATCTTCCAGCTCGAAAACCCGCCTGTTCCTCGCTGATCTCTTCCTTTAAATCATTTTCAATTCTGCTTTTAATTATCCGGCCGTATAATCTACTCAGCGAGCTGGTAACAGTAATACCTCTGTAGTTGGGAACATCTTTCTTTTGGCCTTTTTTGAAAACTGGAGTGATATAACCCTGTTTCCATTCTTCAGGAATCTCTCCACCATTTAACAGAAGTGTCATACTTTCTGCCAGTGCCATTTTGAGTTCGGTCGGGCCTGCTTTAATTAATTCAATTGGAATAGAACCAGGGCCGGGAGATTTTCTATTTTTCATTCCTTTGAGGACTGAATCCAGTTCTATGATTGTGACTGGCGGTATATCTTCCTTATTTAGCATTATTTCATCGGATTGGTTCCATGCGAATTCGGGTCGCTCCTCATGAAATAATTCTTCAAAGTGATTCACCCATTGCTGCTCCTTGATCAGTGGGAAGTTATCTCCACATCTTTTGGGATTTTTCAATCTTTTTAATGTCCTCCAAGCAGCACTAGACTTTTGTCCATCAATGTAAGTGTCCACATACTTGCAGGTTTTCTCCCAATAGATATTTAAAGCCTTCCTTCTAATAGCTTTTACTTTTTTACAGGCATTTCTATATTCTCTCAGGTCCTTCTCATTTTTAGAGCTCAACCATTTATTGTATAAATATTTTTTCTCTTGAACAGCCACTTCAGCATCCTCATTCCACCAAGGCTTGTTTTTTCCTCTAACCTCTTTCCTTTCCTCTCCGACAGCTTCTAAAGCTGCGGCATGCAGGCACTTTACTATATTTTCGTAATTTAGTTGATCATTCAGACCTTTCTCTTGATTCAATTTCTCCATCAGTCGGCTTTGGAACAGTCTTTTTACTGATTCTTGATATTTCATACTCTCAATTGAGTATCGAATCGTTTTCGAAGAGTCTGAATTTCCTCTGGTCACTGGAGAGTTTCTAAGAAGATTATGGGGTTTAAAATTCAGAATACTCTTTAAAAGAAAGTGATCTGAACCACATTCCGCCCCTCTCATCACTCTAACATCGTTTACCTTTATCCTAGTAGTGCGCCTGAGGATTATATAATCTATGATTGATTTTAGACCTTTAGTGGGCTGGTGCCAGGAGAATTTGTGAATTTCTTTATGCTTGAAGAATCCATTTAATATTTTCATGTTTAATTGCTCACTTAAACTTATTAATCTTGCACCGTTATCGTTAGTTACCTCTTCTCCATGGTCAAGCGTCCCACGGTCTCATCGTTGAACTTGCTGCCAACACGTCCGTTGAAGTCGCCCAAACAGATAACAATCTTACGATCAGGTGTTCGCTCTATCAAGTCGCAAATATCATCGAAAAACGTGTCTTTTATGGATTGATTAGAATTGCTTACTAGATTGAAGACCAAGAATATCAAGCCGACCGTTCACTTATATATATTCATTATCAGTTGTTAAAATAAATTTGTTTTGTTAGACAGGAGTGAATAGTCATTTTATTTAGTTGTCCTATAGGCCTCACAATTGAAGAATAAAGCAGGTGAGTCAATTCATTCAAAGTGTTTACTAAGTCCCACATTTTATATATATATATTCTTATTGTTTCTTCTCACACAATGTCACAAAAGTATTAGATTCCCAACAACAGTTAAACACCCTCAAAATTCTATATCCAGTGCCGAGGTTTTGTTTTAATAATTCAGGAGTGTAAATAACCTTAATCCCAGATATAAAGGCGGAAGGCTATTCGCTATTCCCGCCAAAACATCTTTATTTTACATTTAACTTTCAGTAGGTTATTTACACAATACCTTTCATCTTTTTATTTTAATTCTTTATTATTCAATGTTTATAGTTTCTCATAACTATTGTTATCTGTTTTTTTCTTAGACCTGATGAAGGCCTGAACTTAGGCCGAAACGTCCACAAAAATAAAAATAAATATAATTAAGTTATTTTTACTACTTTTTTTTTTAAATTGACCACCACAACCATTCTTCTCTTCTATTATTTTTAATTTAACTATAATCATTTTTACATCTATTTTATTATTAAAAATACATATAGACTCAAAGATTTCCTATTAATAGAAACTACAGTTGGTGTATATTATGGTTAGCAATTGTTACAGCAATTGGAGAAGGATAAGGAGCGCGAGAAGGAGAAGGCAGCAGCTTCCGTTGTGAATAGCTCAAGCTCGGGCCTTGGCTCCTGGAGCCACGGTCTGAGCTGGGGAGGTTCTGCGTGGCAGGCGTCAGGTATTTTTCAATTTTCACTCTTAATCATTCTATTGTTCGTTTAATAATGAAATTCCTTTTTTAAACATCATCGTTCTTTTGCTATTATAGGATTAAATCCGGTGAGCAGCCTCTCTTCTTCTCAAAAGGGTTTCTGGGAGTATGATAAGGTGAGCAGCGGCGGAGGATCCGGCCGACTGAGCGGTGTGATCCAATCACAACCCGAGCCGCCCAAGTCTGTACAGAACAAGGCTAAGAGGGAGGAGCAAGCCGTCATGAAGTTGTTCTCCCAACCCCCTCAATCCGAGGAAGACGAGTTCTCTCAATGGTGCTCTCGCCAACTTAATGCCCTTCACGCCAATGTTGATAGTAAGTCTTCATTGAAAATATTCTTTAGATTCATAAAAGTTAATTACAGAGTTTGAAATCAATAATTTAAACAATCAAAATCATATCCTGATAATTACTTTTGAACAAAATTTTTACAATTAACAATAATACTTTTTTAAATCAGAATTATTTATTTATTGTAATCTCTATGATATATTTTGGGTCTAAAGTAGTAGGTTCAGAATATTGTTGTCAACTATTAGCAATATAACATCTTTATTTTTAAAATTTATTAAAAATTTTGGTGTACAAAAAAAAAAAATGTATATATTGTTAGGTTACGTTTCCGTTGAAAAGTAAACAAACAGTTTCTGAACCAAATCATATTTATTTTACACAATTATTACAAATTATTTCTCAGGTTGGGTTGAGACAATTAACAAATATTCCTCAATTATATAATCTAAAAGCATATATTAATTTCCTATGAAATATTTATGAATTTCCAATCAGTTTTGTCAAGGTCTGCACTTTAGTACCCTTAATTTTTTTTTATTTGTAACAATTGACTATTTCATATTAATTTCTAATATAAAATATAGTTAAATATAAGATGTGAAAGAATTTGGTAAATAACTAAAGGAGAAATAATTAATCGTAATGGAGAATAGTTGTAATTGACCGCATCCGAGTTCGCCCGAAAGATTATGACAGGCTTCCAGACGTAACATGAGCTTAATATAATACAGATTCCGACTCTATTATATAAATATAAATACGCGGCTTTCATAAATGAAATTTTTGTATTATTTAATATTTAATTGTATAGATTACACCAATATAAACATTAAAATTTGTATATATAAGGGTACTTATATAAATAAAAATACCCACAATGAAATATAAATAATTATAGCGTCTATAATTTTTACTTTCACTTCTCCTTTCCTGACCCTGAAAATACTTATTTCTGCTAAGAGGGTGGTAAGTGAAAGTTGTGTGATGCGCGCACCGCACCAGATTTTAAAATTTTATCTGTATTTGTTTTTTGTATTTGATAGCTTTTGTTTTGTGCATAATCACCATGAGGGAGTTTATTTGCTAGTGATATCAGAATGCAGTCCTTGAGATTAAGCCTGGTGAAATGTTAAATTATTACTTATTTTTCTCCTAAAACTGAGCATTTTGAAGAATGTAGTTTTTTTGCTTTTTCTATACTACAACTACAAAAACAAAACAGATACAAAAAACTTAAATAACTATTAGGTACATATTATAATTAAATATAGGGGAGGGGGATGGTAATACAGAAGCTATTAATGCAAAGTCTACTTTCAATAACCCAGTAATTATGAGAATGGAAAAACATCCATCTATGAATATATGTATTTATTTTATTTTATGTTGTATAAAAAAATTAGATGGATGGAAGACTATTAACAGGTAAAATAAAGATGCTTTATAATAAAACACGTTAAATAAATATAGTTTCACATATTGAAATAAATGTAATATATGTTATGTTGTAACAGTTTTGAATTGTCTCTGAGGATGGGTGTAAACCTGAAATATAAGAGAAAAGAAATAAATATGGGTATTCTTTCATTAGCCATCTGGTCGAAACCTCACTTGTTATCTAACGTCACTTCACATAACCTCCCTGTTCTTATCTTGCCAAAGCTTTTCAGTTATTACATTGTTTATTTTTCAGTTATTCCTTTATTACGTTCAGCTATTAAATTCGTTATTTTTAACCCGTTTGTGTTTATTTTTTAGGTTTTTTTTTAGTTTATTTTCGTCAAATTATGAATCTTGTTACATTCTGGGATTTACCGTCTTCAGAAGAACAGGCTATTGAATATTTTCAAAACGTTTGGGATACTTGCAGACATGAAATTGTGTGAACGAGGTCATCAAATGAAGTTAACCAGGGACGCCAAATGGAGATGCTGTTGTAGCACTTGTAACATAAAAGTTTCAATAAGGAAAGGAACATGGTGGAGGGATCGAGGATTTCGTTTTTAATGGCTTTAAAATTGATTTATGGGCACGCTTTAGCCCATTCGGCCACCCCGCCCACTCCCATAACTTAACATCAATGAAGTGGGGCAAAGAGCAGCTGAAACTATCCAACGGAGCTATGGTAATGTCGAACAAATGTCTAAGAGAGGTTTGTGCCCATGACATGTTATACAGGTCAAGAAAAAAAATTGGAGGGCCTGGCAAAGGGGTTGAAGTAGACGAGAGTCTTCTTTCTTTCTAATCGAAAAAATCATGTGGGGAGAGTTTTACCTGAGCAATGGATGTTTGGTGGAGTTTGCCAAGAAACAGATGAGTGTTTTATCATCAAAATAAATGACAGAAAGGCAACAACTTTATTAGAAGAAATTAAAGACAATATAGAAGAGGGAACCACAATTTATTCGGACTGTAGGAAAGGATACAACACCCAACAACTGAACGAAGCAAACTATAACCATTTCCAAGTGAACCGGTATAATTTTGTCGATCCATCAACTGGGGTTCATACTTAACACATAGAACGATTATGGGGCTCAGCAAAGTGGAGAAATAAAGTACATAGAGGAACGGCCAGACAACACCTCGATTCATATTTATGCCAATTTTTGTGGCGGCGGGTTCACAAAGAAGAGGACCCGTTCCTCGCTATTTTAAATAGCATTAAACTATTTTGCCTACCAAAATAAATTAGACGAAGTGAAAATAAACTGTACATATGTCCTTTATAGTGTTAATATTTTTTCTTTTATATGTACATATGTTCTTTAAGTGTTTTTTTTATTATTTTAAATAACCTACTGAAAGTTAAATGTAAAATAAAGATGTTTTGGCTTGAATAGCGAATAGCCTTCCGCCTTTTTATCTGGGGTTAAGGTTATTTACACTCCTGAATTATTAAAACAAAACCTCGGCACTGGATATAGACTTTTGAGGGTGTTTAACTGTTGTTGGGAATCTAATACTTTTGTGACACTGTGTGAGATGAAACAATAAGAATATATATATATATAAAATGTGGGGCTTAGTAAACACTTTGAATGAATTGACTCACCTGGTTTATTCTTCAATTGTGAGGCCTATAGGACAACTAAATAAAAGGACTATTCACTCCTGTCTAACAAAACAAATTTATTTTAACAACTGATAATGAATATATATAAGTGAACGGTCGGCTTGATATTCTTGGTCTTCAATCTAGTAAGCCTCTCTTCCCAGATGACGTCTTCTCGTGTTTCTGTCCAGACCTCAAGTGTTTGGCGTCCTCTTCCAGCTGCTGCTACCTGATCGGACCTTTTCTTCTTTTCGATTGTTTATCAATATGAGATTTTCCAATGAGCAATTTGTCCACTGCACAATTGAGTACAATTCACAGTGCAACCTCACATTCCTATATATTATATATTCCTTCTCATTCCCTCACGCAATGTCATCTAAAGGAGTAAATACAGAGGGATGTCTACTACAATTTCATTTTCATCTTTTATATGTACATATCTTCTTTAAGTGTTTTTTTATTATTTCATTAATACATATGTCATAAAATAAAAGTTTTTTTTTTGTTGTTACACTTGTTTTTGTTTCTGTTTTCAATTTCAATAATACGAATATAATACTATAATACGAAGATAAGAATTACGAGAAGGCTTATCACTGCCTCATCGGAATTATCAGTATTCAGGTTATAAACATAGGCAAATAGCAGTCAGTCCTGTCCGGCTAATGAAAGAGTACCTAAATATGATTAATGGAAGAGAAAAGTTTCAAATTATACATAACTAAAATAAATAAAACTCGTCCCTACTAAATAATGGTGTATACGTGATAGGTGGGGAACATTTTTATCATTGATGCTGCGATAAGGTTTGGTAGTGCGTAGTGCTAATGGAGGCCACGATAATTTATGTTTTGAAGAGAAGAAGGTGAAAGGAAAAATATATCTTCTTTTTTTTTTTCTTTTTCAGTACCTACTTTCGTCTCCTTCTTGCGTGAGATAGACTCTCCTTCTGATATCGGTGAATACATACGTATGTATCTTGGAGACTCTAAGGAGGCATCCGATTTCGCTCGTCAGTTCGTAGAGAAACGAGGAATGTCAGGAGGCGGCGGGCGCTTGAACTCCAACTCTGGACTCGATGGCTCCCATGATGACAGGGACTTCCAGCAGGTCAAGGTAAACAGATACACATTGTGGTAGTCAACGACAGCGGCCATCATACTATTTATATGTTCTCCACTGTTATATATATATATAAATATATTTAAAATAAAACGTTGAAACGAAAATCTAAAATTTGTATAGGGAGTTGAATGCTCCAAAAAAAAAAAAAAAAAAAATTAAAATTAAAAAAGGAAGAGAATATTATATAATATAATTTTGTTGAAATGTAACTATCAACTATTATTATGGCACTGAGGATAATTTGAATCAGGTTTTGGTACCTATTTAAATATCGAATCTGAACAAATTCATTTTGAGCGTTTTATATGAACATTTAATAAATGATTCTTTTGTCATAAATTTCCAAAATGATTAGGGAGTATTTGCTAATTTAATATGTTTTTTTTTTTTTATTTAAAGCTTTATATGAAATGTCGTTAAAATGTTGACTCGGAGATTGTTCTAATTAATTAACTTAAATATTGTTTAATTTTGATTGTTAGTTACAGATATTTCTATTTTATATCGCTCAGTCATTATATTTATTGTGATAAAGATAAGTATTGATATTAAGAGTTAGACGTAATGTTATATATAATTTTTTTTTTTTTTTTCGATTACTGCCATTAGATAGTATTTTATATTAGTTATTATTTCGACAAGTAAAAATTATACTCTTTAAACTAAATTTTAGTTGAAATTTTACTCTCATTGTTTTATTTAAATGTTTATTTTGTTTTTATTCAAAATTTTCTATTATGTAGCAGAGTTTTATTTATTAAATTATTTAAATTCAATTTTCTATTCCTTTAAAAGAAGGGAAATAAAACTATTAATGTGATACTAGTCATATAAGTGAAACTTAATAAGATGTCTAATTTTAATGATAGCCTTAGCTTAATAATAATATCATGGAGGAATATTATGTTTATGGCAAATTGCTTTGGGTTAGAGAAAAAAAATTAATAATAATAATAATAATAACTTTATCTATAGACAATGCATGGAAAAATTCCCTCAAAACTTCTATTGTGATCTATAATTATTTTTTTGCACAATTTTTTATTATGTTCCTATATCTTTCTAAACAGAACTGGCAAATGTTCGTCATTAATATTTATTTTAAAAATGAAATGAAATCGATTAATAAGGGTCACTCTGCTATATAATAATAAATTAGTAAAGTGTATTGTTAAGTCGTTTTGTTCTGTTTGCTCAATTTTATTTATTTATTTTAAAACAAAACAACAAAAACAAACACGAAAGACTTAGTTATAAGAAAGGGTGAATACTAGAGAGACTGAATAACAATAGATAAAATACAGTAATGTATAAATTTTATTTATTTTAATAATTTTTAAATCTCCGTTAAGTTTTGAATAACTTGTGAACTTGAGGATGGCAAAAAGTCACATTTAAATTTGATATATCATTTTTTAATGATTCCTCTTAAGACACTATTGTAGTCGGATTTATTCAGGAAAAAATTGATTTTATTCAAGAAAAGACTATATTTCAAAGAAATAAAAAACTTCTAAAATTGCGGGCAAAGTTCCATATCAGTGTGTATAGGATCAAAGTTACTTCCTGTATGAAGAAGATTTTCCAAGTTATAAAATATTTATTTTACTAATTTTATTTTAAATTAATATTGTTTACTAGCCAGCGAAATTGATGAATTAATTGAAACTTCTCACAATATTGCATATTTGTTTAAAAAAAAAAAAACTTGTAAAACTTGTGAGTTAAACTTGTATTACCAGGAGCCTGGTCCATTATTAATCCTTAGTGCCAAATTTTTTTGTTGCTTTAGGGATATGGTCCTTTTTTTTTTTTCTCTTAATCATATCCCGATGAGCAGAGGATTTCTAAAAAGGAAAGGAAGCTGTAAGATAAAAAAAAATTATCAGAAAATAAATTGTTTAAAGAGATGCTGCGTTCCTTAACAGTTTTGTAAGCTACGCATTTAAAGCAATACGTAAACACTGTGCCCTTTTTAGGAAAACTTTTTTGTACCTGTGATTTGTGATGGAAGATAGAAAAACGGGAGGAAAAAAATTAAAAATTGTTAAAAAAAAAAAAAATTGCATAGCTGTTATCAAAGTATGCAATTTTATATTTTCTTTTATTACAAGCTTCGTTTGTAAACTAGAACGTTTATAAAATTTAATTGTCTCATGATAAAATATCATCTTACGAGGACGAAAATCTGAAGATTCCTTTAATCATTTATATTAAGGCTGAATAAAGATTGAGCAATAATTTCATTTTTAAATTCCTTTTTGTCTAAGTTCAGTATCTTCATTAACAAACTAAAAACAAAAAAATTAATGAACAGTTTTATTTTTTTTTTTTTTTACATAGAGACAACGGTTTTATATAGGGACTTGCTCTGGAGGGTGTACATGGATTTGAAATAATTCATGGAAATCGGTTCAGTCGGTATGTTTTAATGACAAGTTTGTCTGAAAACCGATGCAAAAATCAGAATTTTTTTATTATTGTATTTAGATTCAAATTCCTTTTCCGAATTTGATATCTAGCGTCCACAAGTTGAGACTGAACGATTACATAATAAAAATTCATGTTTATCGAATAAATGTGGAAAAATAAAAACAACGTAGAACAAATACAATCTTCCCCAAAATATATAAAATATTAAAACAAGGGGGTTGTGTTTTCTTACAGCTGTACAGTCTTTTTGAAAGTTTAATCACTCATTGGATGCGCTCAGTTCAGGTTGATTATTAGATTGGTATGAGAATATGGTTTAATTTATATTTCATGTTTTGTTATGTTAATAAATAATAGTTTATGGTTTGTTCACACTGAATATCATTCATAAGAAAGATATCATTCATTTATTTAATTCTACCAACAAAATCAATTCAAAATAATTCGATCAATGTACAATTTAAAGAACAATTTTTATATATCAACCTCATATTTTCAATAAGTTTAATAATGGGAATTATAAAGTATTGATGAGTTAAAACTGCACAAATTATTTTTAAAATTAAGTGATTATATGATCACTTTTTGTTGTGAAGAAACTCAAGTCTTAATCTCTTGTGTATTATAACTCTGATAAATGATAATTGTAGAATTATTTTATTCACGATTTATTCTCATACCAATCCGACTAAGTGGGATTGCTCAAATGTGGAAAATAGAGAGAGAAAAAGTAAAAATAAGATAATATAATTAATATAACAGATGGTTGTGATATTAGTAGCAAATAAGAAACAAAATAACTTAAAAAAAAAAATATTAATAAGGAAAAAAAATAAGAAAGAAAATGTTTAACAATGCTTTCTATTCTGATGTATATATTGTGAATTTAATGTATATTGTAGAATTTCGTGAGTGAGGGAATGATACAATTGTAAGTGTATATTAATGATTGTTAATTGTAACAGTACATGAGTTTTATATACATATATATAATATCTGAAGGGGGGCTCTTTCAGTTACTTTTTTTTTTTTTTTTAATATAAATTGTATTAAGAAAAAACTAATTGCGTAAATTTTTTTTTATATTTATTATTACAGTTTTTCTTAAAACCCGCCCCTCATCTTCCTATTCCTCCTCCCCAAAGTTATAGAATGAAAATTAAAAACTGTGTGACTTTTTTTTTTTTTTTAAATAACACTAACACATTTAAAAAAGTTTTTGAAAATTTACTGAAGTCCTGAAGGGCCCCCTTTCATATATTATTTTAACACACAAATTATTTAACATTCCTTTTTTTTTTCTTGCGAAATTCCTTCACTTAACGATAATTATTACGTTTAGGATGTTAAATATTAAATTTCTCCATAAACAATTTCAGTCTCTCTTTTCTCTATCCTGTCTATTTTGTTATTTTGTTTTTTATATTTTCTTTTTTTTTTTTTTTTTTCAATCTTTGTACATTTAAAGTGGTTATTATATTGTCGCTAGGCTCTAATAGTTTTACTTTTTGTGAACCATTTAGAAAGTAGCCTTAGTTTACCCTTTCAAAAAACTTATCAAATAAAATTTATTAAATCAATAAAATTAATAAATTGATTGTTTGTTTACTCGGTATCTGTTTGTAAGGTGGTCAAAGTGAGACAAAGCGTGTTTGGCCAAACGACCAATGCAAACTGTTAGCCTTTAACCCTCTTGTTGTCTGTCGGGAGGTCAAACGGCTTATCGCTCTTTGCTACTTATGGAATCACCTCTTTAACAGGTTTCTGAAATTTTATGTTATCAGTAGAATTTAAAGACAATGTTAATCAACTTGATGAAATATAAAGAAGAAAAAAGAAATAAAGATTTTTAAAAATTGAAAAAAAAATTTTTGTTTATTTTATTATTTGAGATAATACATTTGTTGTTGTAACATTCAAGGCATTATAATGTTCTTTTATTTAATAATGGTTACTTTAACAACAGAAATGTGTGTTATTTTTTTTGTCTTATAAAGTTTTTTTTTTGAGATATTAAAAATGAAAAAAAAAAAGAAAATCAAAGAAAATAAGAAAACAAAATAACAACACTAACTCTGTTTATTTATTAACTAAATCCTCTCACAACTCAATCGTCCAAACTCTCCTCACTCCTATCTCAATATCTATCCTTAAGAAGGGGCGGGTTTGATTTTATTTGTTTCCATAAAGTTCAAGGATGCGCAAGGTATGACTGATTTTTTCTTTCTAACAATATTTTAAAAAATATAAATAAAATAAGAACAAATATATGAGCCGTTTTTTTTTTTTTTTTTAAGTAGTGTAAGTCCATTTTATTAAGGTGTCCCATAATAAGTTCTTTCCTTTTCTTTATTTGTCGTTTAAGATTGATTTTGTTATATATGGACCATTCTGCTCTATTGTACCTTCTCCGAAATTGTTGAGACTTGCAAAATATTCATCGAGATGCATTTATTAATTTTTTTTTCGGATTTGTGATATTTATCAAGAGAGAATATTTTATTGAAAAAATAAGTAATAATCGGATGGTTCAAGGTCTGGGGAGTATGGAGAATGAGGTAGAAAGTCACAATCAAACTGTAAGAGTTTCTGTCTTGCAGCCAACACAACTAGCAGTATTTACAAAATTATCAAAATTTGGGTTATTTTTTTTTTTTTAGGAAACTTTTTGTGAACAAAATGACCGTAACAAATTTTATCATTTGGTAACTTATTGTCTCAAATTCACTTCTACCACTTTCAAAGAAAATGGCTCAAATAGTTCAAAGAATATCTGTTCTATTAATTGATCAAAGAGAATGAAATAAATATTTTTGGTGTTAATTTTTTTTTTTTTTTTTTTTTTTTTTTTTTTACTTATCGTTATCGTACAGACCAATCTCATTTTACTGAGATCTTCACAGTGTATGTTATTAAATATATTTGTTCGTTTATGGACTTTTATTGTCAAAGCTCCTTGGTGACGATATTATTGTTGAATTGTCAATAAATTGATATTTTGGGATTTTATTTAGAAAAAATTGAAATGTTTTTACAAAGGAACATGACAATATATTATAGAGTGGTTTAAATGTTAGCATCAGAGATTGTAATTCCAAGGTAAGTGAATGATATAATATATATGTATATATTTTTGGAAGTTGCTGACTGTTATTTTCGAGAAAAAAAAATTGGAAAAATGAGTATTTTGTTTGGTAGATTATGCTAGTATACATTTTCTTTCTTTTTTTTTTCTTTGTTTATTATTATTTTTTTTTCCTACTTAGTGGTTTATTTTAACATTCCGTTATGTTTGAAGAGCAACTTATGGAATGTTACTCTTAAAAGAGTGTCGTTGACGAAGGCACTTTGTTGGATAGTTGGCGTAGACATAAATGATGTATGTACTTCTAGAACGTGAAACTTTATTTAAAATTGTATTTTAATCACAATTTATGATCATCATATTCTAATCGATTTGTAAGTTCCGTCTGGAATCAGCAGAATGTTTACTTCTTGCAGTGATAAAGTTTGAAAATATATGGAATGATTGCCCTATTTAATTATATGTTAGCTAATTGACTTAAAAAATCAGTAGTATTTATATATTTATTTTATGTATCGATAGTAAATCCTTTTAATTATACAGACTATTCTTTCTGTATTTTGATCCAAATGCCAGTTGATCTTGCAATTAGTCACATGATTCATTATCTATATCGATGTTGGTAATGAAAATATTGTTATTTTACAAGAGATGAAATTAAGTGTTTTAATTGATATAGATTAAGTTGCTATAATTTTTACCAGATAGTATAAACCTTATTTAATTATAGGTTATTTATTATATCTTTGAACCTTTAAATCTTTGTTTTTTAGAGCTATGAGACTGGATTTTCATATTTTAAAAAGATTTATGGATTTATGAACTTTTCATTGCCTACCATCGATATTTAATTATAGGATTGTATTTAGACTATTAGTCACATGTTTCGCACACATTAGAAATGGGTTGAAATGTATCACGTACTTAGTCAAACAGCACAAGTTATGTATCATATCAAGCTTAAAATCTTATTTTGGATTTATTGTTATTTTGTAAAATTGATAATAATTAAAGGATTCATGCATTCAATAAAAGAATGTAAATAAAATACAAATTGAACGTTCCCAACTTTCACTTATCCAATTTTTTTTGTCTTAGTCTCAGCAAGTCAATTTTCGAGCTATCTAGACTTGTCATAAATATTGTTACAAGGAAATATATGCAGATTTCAACAGAAAAATGATTTTTTTTCAAAAACTTTGTTAGAAAATAAAATGCATATCTATGGAGAGTAAAACAAAAAAGAAATTTCTCAAAATGTCCCCCTTTTGCCTTGACATAGACATTTAATCTCCATGGCCTGTCATCAGTAGCAGCACTTATTGAGGAAAGTGCTCAACTGCTTAGACCAGAGATTGTTTGAGGCTTTCGAAGTTAGGGTGTTCTCTGTGGCATGCCATCCTCTCCAGTTCGGACTAAATCCGATAATCTAGTGGGTTGAGATCAGGTTTTCCTGTTTATGTTCTTTTGCAGTCACTGCTGAGTGGACCTGGCCTTGTGAGCTGGAGTGGAATTCTGCTGAAAAACCCAATTACTTCCAGCAAACAGAGTATCATTTAGAGGATTGACAACAGGTTCCAAACTATCGTCCTGATAGTTTTTAGCGGCTGTTTTTACTCCTTTTTCACAAAAATGGAGCTTTGTGCTGCCATCAAATCAAACCATCACTGAGGAAGGGTGATGACCTCTTTCCACTCATCCAATGACTTCCTGGGTTTCTTTAGAGCTGTGTGCATGCACACGATCATTTTAGCGATTAAATGTTTCTTCAATTGTAAAAATTGTTTCATCGTTGAAAAAATTTTTTGATGAAGACCATTGGTGTAACGGCCAAGGAACACTTTGCATCTATCCACTCTAATTTTTTTTAGGAAAGTGGTTAGCCTTTGTCCTGCCATTATTCGAAATGCACCCATCCTAAGGTCACTTTTTATTATGCGAGAAATTGATCTGACAGAGATTCCCATTGCCCGAGACATGATTTGTTGTTTTCGAATGGGATTTCTTCTTATTCAAGCAGCCACTGCTCTCACTGTATTTGCCGTTCTCACAGTGCGGGGTGCGGCCTGGTCGAGGTCTGTCACATACAGATATGGTCTCATATCTATTTATAGAGCGGTACACGAACATACGGATGATACCCAAAATGTTGAAAATCTCTGACCTACATTTTCCAACTTTGTGTAAGGCAATCACAGCTATTCGTTTTTCTTTATCTTCATAAATTTCATCTACCCCCAATGAATTTATAAAAAAATCATTAACAATTGTTTTGTTAAATGGCTCACAAACATGTCTTTGAATTGATTTATTCAATCACAAAAAATTATCCACTGCTCTAATTAGTTGATGATTTGACCAATATCATTGAATTTTAATTTTTACAAAATAAATATCAGGTTGTTTTACTTGAGGTGACTAAACTACATGATTTCTGGAGGGACTGAATGAAAATATATTTTCTGTTTGGTATGACATGGCTTCTCCACTTTTTTTATACTAATTATCTTTGTTTATCAGAATCACTCGGAAATTTTTGTGCTTTTATTGTTATAAATTAATCTTCGCTGGCTTATATGTTGAAAATAATGGTGGTACCCAATTGAATTAATTTATAACGGATATTAAAAATAAGTACTAATTGTTTTTGAAGTGAAAACTTCTTTAAGCGTGTTTAGCACCTTTTTTGTGGAGAGTGAAACTGAGCAGTCAGGCTCAGATGTGTAACGCTCTTTCGGGTAAAGTCGACTAATTGAAATGTTTTGCATATGGATTAAAATATCTCAGAAACTAAAAATAAGACTTGGATTGTGTAAGTGAGAGAAATGTTCACCATTTCATCCTCTTTGTAATGAGCTATTATTGAAAATTTTATTTTAACCTGGCGTCGAGTTAGTGAGTCGGAAAGGAAAAAAATAAAAATTTATAGTTCATACTATGAAAATCGCCTTGATGTTTTCACTTCTATTTTGTGGTCTAAATCACACTGTAATTTTTTTTTTTAAATTAGTAATTCTTTTGTCTCAGTTAAAGAAGTGAATTCTGATTGTCGTTTGTATTATCTGCTTCATGTAATTTGCTATGTACTTAAGCCTTCATTTAAATTCCAGTCATTGACCAATTTAATTTTTTTAAGGTAGTGTAATAGATGACTGTAGTATTTAAGCAGTTTTCAAATGAATTATTTTTTTTTTATAATTTCAGTTCCTCGTTCTAGAAGTACATATTGAGTATTTAAATAAACAAATTTGAATGGAATATATTTAACATTTGAGTTTTTTTTTTTTAAGAAATAGCTTTTTAGATAGAATGTCCTGAAAATTATTATAGGGTAAAAGTAAGAAGACGAAGAAGGGACGGATGCAGAAGGTGGACACCCGAATGCTAGGCTTCAGCACAGCAGCCGCCCCGGATAGGATCAATATCGGCGATCGCGAGTACCCTGAATAGCCCCTCCACGTCGCCTCATTCCTCTGTCTCTGTTGTTTTTAAACTTTCTCCTCTCTTGCTCGGTCGCTCTCATGCAAATTGTAAATAACATTTCAGATTTGTATAAGTTATTATATATAAATATTATATATAAATATAAATATATATATACATGAATATATATTTATGTAGTGGTACTCCTGATTTCAGTGGGTATCCTATGTTACAAAATAAAAAGATTGATATATTGATAGATTTATTATTTTATCCCCTCTCCTTTTTCCTGAATCGTTGTTATTTATGCTCCGACATGACTTACTGATTTCATGTTTTATATTGTTTCAATAATGATGAGTTCTTAATAAACTTAAAAGAGGAGAATATTGACCTGTTCAGAAACATTTTTTTTTTAGAAAAAAAAATTATTAAATTTCCTTTAACAAATCATGTGATGACGTTTCAGGCTCCTTTGCCCATTTTCAAGTCAAAAGATATGTCTGTGAATATATAAAAATCTATTAATACATACACAAACATTAATTAACACAGCAAAACTAATATTTGTACTAAACTAATATTTTTTAAAATCACCAATATCTTATTTTTTCTTAATCTACATATTGCTCCAGCTGAATGAACCTGTTCCAGTCTATTCGTCTCCTATCAAATCCTCTCTGACTAAATTTTCTTAAGTGTTTCTAAGCCTTCATCTTTGCCTTCATTCTTCCCCTCTCACTTCACACATGATTTTCGACATTCTTTCCTCTTGAATTTTTTTTAACATGACCATACCAGCGTAGCATATTTTCTTCTATTGTGTTACCAATATTTTCAAAAATATAAAAAAATTATAATTAATCATAACATTATTTTGTAGCAAGCATAAAACACATATATCACAATTGTTTTTGTCTTACAAAACAAATGAGAATAATAAATTACAAACAAATTACAAATAAATGACACTGTCAAGATTTAACTATCCATATTTTACAAAATAACCCTTTTTAATCAATTTTGTATTATAGTAATAATAATACTTTATTTATTCTGGGACGAATCCCTTTAGAATAATACAGAACAGAAATGTGGGTTAAGGAGCCTCAGAGATACACAAACAAAAATACAGAGTAAAAAAATTGTAAGTTACTTTCTAACCTGAATCAGTTAATAATAAAAAATTGGAAATAAAGTAAAAATAATGAAGAATGATCTAATAATTTATATACATGTTTACAGCGGTATCTATTTACAATTTTATGGGGACTGGATGGATAAGGAATGATTGAACAGGTAGGATTTAAAGGTAGGAAGGATATTGGATTGACAGATGTGGGAAGGGATGGAGTTTCATAGGAATAAGAATAGGATAATGAATGTTCTTTCGAAAGCAGCGGTTCGGTGGGCCCTTATGTATAAATCAGAAGACCAGGAACGAACAGAGGATTTGAATTGGAGGAGCTCGGATATATATGAAGGTTGGTGGGATTGGGTGACTTGAAAAGAGGAAGTAAATACTTACGGCGGTAGAAAGGATAAAGCCATTTCAATTATACATAAAAACAGGAAACAGAGGCGTCCCTTGGGATCCCGAAGATGAATCGTACAAAGCAATTTATCAAACGTTTTAGTTTCGCCTCGAGATCCCCAGAGACACCCCCATATACTGTACCGAAATAGTCAAAGTAGGGGAAAATTAAGGAAGTGACAAGGAGCCTACGGATTTCACGGGGAAATAGATGACGAAAGTAGTTAAGACATTTAAGGTGGAAATTGTACGGCAGGAGATGTTGGAGAAATATATTTCATCAATTACACGATATGGTGGGGATTGGATTCGACCCACAAGTTTTTTATAACATTCTTACCAAAATGAGTGTTTGCAGTTACCAGGTAAGTGATCTGAACTAAATACCTTAAATTTTTTGTAAGCTCTTTCATTTTCACTCTCTTCCAACCTGACCATACCATAAACGTTCCTAGTTTCATCAGTTGTAATTTATGTGTATGCGATGAGCATAAAACTGTAATATGTAAGATCAATTACAATTGAAGAATGAAGATAATTGAAGATACAGAAATGAGATACTCATTATTTTATGCTTCATTGAAAAAGACCATATCATTTTGTATACTTTGATTTAGTGTTGACAGACACCAATATAAATTAGTTGTGTATGATTTAGCTCATAATTTTCTAATCTCTTTACTACTTACTGTATGAAAACCTGTACCACTACAAGCTATGAAGAGTCTTAGGGTTCAGTACTATGTGTGGGAGTACTGTTACAAGGCCAACGTATGTGCAGGGAGGTGATTGGGCTGAGATCACGCTTAACCGCCAGGTTTTCTCCCTTAATTAATTATTTAATTAAGAGTACCCACTTTACAGAGGCTGGGTATGCCCCAGAAGGGTCTTCCGACCCCTAGTTCAATTCACGGCTGATGAAAAATTACTAGTCAACAGCCAGATTCGACCCCTGGACCTTCAGCTCTGGAAGTCAGTGCTCACCCAATGAAAAAATAAATAAAACGGAATATTAAGTATTATAAATAAATTGAAGTAAGTAGTAAATAAAAATAAATAAGATGTTTTAGTTACCCTATTTTCATAAAAATAATGATAAGTATTGAAATTGAATTTAAAGGTATAAGAAGTAAAAATTAAATAAGGTGTAATAAAAGATATCTACAGAAACACATCATAAATATTGAAATAATAAGTTATATAAATTAAGAGAATAAGAAAAGTAAGATGTATGTGTGATTTCAAATTTGTGTGGTTTCTGCAATGACCGATCCAATTGAGTATACATTTTTCCTCTAATGTTATTTAATTTGCTAAATACCAAATTTGGGGATCTGGGAATAGCTTGATCTTGTGATATTGACACTAGCCACCCTATTGGACTAGCAAAACTGAACTAATGCCATCAAAACAGAACTAGAAAAATGAAGTTCACTAATTCAAAGGAAAAAATAAAATGGTACTTCTTTACAAGTATTCCTCCACTTTAATGGATGGCACAAGATGTCATGATCACACTATTAACACATGTTCGTTCAATAATGTTTTACACTGCCATTCACAAAATGCCACATCTCTTCATCTGTGTTTGGTAAAAATTATAATTTAATTCATTCAGAATCAGAAGACTTGTCAGAGATAAACAGGGATGCCCATCCTTCCCAAGGTCAATGGCACATAAACCTCTCCCCCCCCCCTTCTAAGATATTTTATTTCCCTCCTTTTCTTAAAATCAGTGCAAGCTAAAGTAGAATTTTAAAAATAATAGGTCATATACAATTACTCTTCCAGTGGTTTGTTCTATGCTTTCCTCTTTTCTCCTTATTTGATAGTTGAAAGTTTAACATTTCATCTAAAATCTTTAAAATATTTTCTGAGAATTATCCTGTGCTGATTGTTAATACTATAGAACAGTTTGATTATAGTCAGGGGTGCTGAGAAGGGGGTTTCGGCCCGCAAGTTGTGCCATCAAAATTTTTGAGAGGGTATATTTGACGGGTTTTTGAATTTTTCAGGGCGACAGATTTGAACGGAGCTATGAATTTTTGGACTAAGAGACAAGAGAAAAACATGAAACATTCCGCAGTAAGTATATTTGTATATGATCCACGATTTTTCTAATTCTACATTAGCTTGCTCTGTTTTTAAGAAAAGATGAGCAATAAAATATCTTTGGTGGAGGGGGAAGGAGAGGTAGGTTCTTGCGCCATCGACCTTGAGGGGATGGGCACCCCTGATTATAGTTGATTGACTATATCATGGAACAAATTATCAGGATTCAATCATTAGTTTATTGTGAAATACAACTCTCAGTGCAAACTTTTGGGTGCTTATCAAGGATGAAATTAAATCAGATATACAAGAAATGTGTATCCTAGAGACAGAAATAAATAACAAAAACATAATCAAATCAAGTAAATTAAGGATAAAGGGAGTAGTAAGAATATAAATAATAATAGAGATACATTTTATTTCACTTTATTTATATCCTCATCACTTCATTTATCGATATTAACTTCTATTATTTTTCTTTTTGAATCAAAGAAAAGTAAAGTATAAAAACAAACTGTCTGAAGTTCAAATTTTGTTTTTTATTGTTGGAAATTTAGGTTGTAATATCTATAAAACTTTTGCACAAGTTTATTTATTATATATTTTACAAAATTACAAACAGCATTTAAGAGAAATAAAAATAACCATTTATATTACACTACATTTTTCTCATTTATAATGTATATTTACTATGTAAAGAATATAAGTGCATAAGTTAAATTCATATATATAAAAACAATTTAATTAATTATAGACATGGAATGTATTGCAAACTAATACTTTTCAATTTAAAAATAGCTCTTCTACAATAGCAAAACTAATGAATTAATTTATATTTCTTTAAGATATAACAAAATTCACATTTCTTAAATGTATATAGATCTTCTGTGTTTGTTGAAAAAAAAAAAAAAATGCTCGTCAGTTACAATATTCCTGCTTACGATGAAAAATTCCTTAATCATTCAACATACAGAATCCATCAGAGAGATCTTAAACATTAAGAAAGTTGATTTGTTCAACAGTGATGAATATTCTACTTAAAAACTTCTAATAATTAGAAAATTAATCCTTAAAATATAAAGAAAACTGTGGAAAACTGACTATGCTTTTAATTGCAACAATAAAATGGAAAATTGTATCACAAAAATTATAATTATAACAGTTTGTTGAATAAAATTTCTATTTATTCGTAATTACTTTATATGTGTTTGTTCCCCACTCCATAAATATTATATGAAGTGTAAAGTTAGTGGAAACAAAAATTGAAATAATGAAAAAACAACAGTACTATTCTTGCTTTGATGTCTAAGATTATTGTGTATGCTAGTGTTACATCTAAAGGTTTTCGTACAGATCACCATTTTTGCTTTAATACACCTCAGATTGTGATTGTTTCACTTACAAAATAAGACTTATTTCATATAAATAATAACAATTAAATCATAAATAGTAGTGGATGAATTGACAATCTTCAGTAATAAGTACATTTGTTATTTACAAAATAAAATTAAAATTAAAATGTTTTTTAAACTTAATTTAAAATTGTCTTTTTTATTTAGTATAGTAGATAACGACAGAACAGTAAATTGGATAATTGTATTTTATTTTTGTAAAATTCTTTTTATATTTCTCACACTCTGTCATAGTTCACAGGCCATTTTTCGGGACTTGGTTATTTGGACTTATGGAACCTCACAACGTGTATTTCCATTGAAAACTCAGATTAGAAAATTTTCACAATCGTAATACTTTCTCTTACTATATATTACATATATAGGTGAGTGAAAGTAAATAAGATATTAATAAGATTTCAAGTTTTGAGAATTCACAATGGAACATATATACATATTCATAGCAAATAGATCATAAAAACCCCTCATTACAGCCCTAAAAAAAACAATGAGGATTTATTTGCCAAGCAAAGGAGGCTGTATAGTTTTATAGGAGCCAGCCTGATAAATGTTAAAGACCAAAATCGATAACTACATAAAGAAAATATTTTGAAGGAAAACATCTTGTGATTCTTGAAGTAAGTTTGAAATATCAACTCATTTTAGCTTTGATTTAAGAATAATAAGATGTTTAATTTCACAACTCCGAAATATTTCAGACTTAGATAGCAAAAATGAGTTTTTTCTTTTAATAATCTTTGCTTTTATATAATATTCTTTTATTTTTATTAAAGTAACCAAAATATATGAAGAGATCTACTGATTTAAAAATTTCAAGCATAAGTGTAACTATCCATTCTGTTTTGAATGCATTTCGGAATTCATGTAAATTAAAGAAAAACTAGATCACTTGAAAATAAAAAAAAATAACAGAAAAATATCTGTCCAAAAGACTAAGAAATTAATCAAAATCAATTAATATATTTATTATCATAAATAAAATATATAAACAAAAATGGCCAATGATTGGTTGATAAAAGTAAAAATATGGTCTATAAATAAATGATTGAAAATTTAAAATAATCACAGAATATTAAAAAACAACTACAAGAAAGAATCGGATACAAGATTAAAAATGGAATGGCCCTTCAAGAAAATATTTGAAGATAATTTCACAATTGACCACTAGTGGATCCAGGATTTAATTTGGAGGCGGAAGGGGGCTACAGCCAGAAAGATTTTTTTTCATAAAAATAACGATAATTACTTTGGAAAAAAAGAAAGAAACTAACAAACTACTAACTACTACTATTATTGGCCCTGTAACTTGGAAATGAGTTCCCTCAGAGGAAAAACCCATAGAATCAAAGTTGTAGAGCATCAAATTTCAGGTATACTCAGTATCAACTAATTTAATGTAGGTCACTTGCTGCGAACAAAATCGGTTATTTCCCGATGGCTAGATATTGGTAATGAAGGTAAACGTGATTTTCAATATTTCAACAGTATGGGTGTCTATTATACTGAGTTAGTTTTGTTTAAAATCTGTTACATGCAGTATAAGCCTTTTTTCCACCTCTCAACAGCAAAAGATTTTGGTAAACGATGTGCCGAAAGATACCGATTTTATAAAGGAATAACGAATCCCGATTCCAGATATATAATTGGCCAACAATAAAAATGTTAGTACCCAGTATACGCGAAATTTGATGCTCTACAACTTTGATTCTATGGGTTTTTCCTCTTAGGGAACTCATTTCCAAGTTACAGGGCCATTTATAGTAATTTGTCTCAGTTTTTGACAAATTTGGTAAAACTCAACGTTGGTTGACCGTGGTTTTATACCTTACCGCGAAACCAAATTTTAAAGTTCATGTATTCGTTTAACGCAAAATTTAACGTTCTTTAATTTATTAAAGAACACATTTTTCGCTTTGATGCATTGTTTAGGAATTATAGATGAAAAACCCAAAAAATCTCACGTTTTGGCTGTAAAAAGTTTTCCCTTGGTGGCCTGCGTTAGCAATTTTGTTTTTTACATGTCTAAACCCATATATACAAGTTGAAAAAATAGAAACTTTTCTCACATTTTTCGCAATGGATTTCCCGTTTCGATCCTCAAATTATTGCCCTAATATTCTTTAAATCAGCCGCCATTTTTGAAAGCAGCGGCTTCGGAACGGCAGACATGGTTTTTTTTTACTCAGAATAACATACACTTTCGTAATTTACAATCAAACCTTCGCCTGCGATCAGGTCGATTTTTGGGCCCTGGCTCCAGGGCTATCATAAGTTGTTAGTAGTACAGGATTTCTTTTATTATTTTTGTCTTGAGTCGTGGAATGTTGGTAAAGAAATTTCACATCAATAACTTATCTACTATTTCGATTTATAAAAAAAGAAACGTTAAAACGAAAGAGCGATTGCTGAAGGTTTGTTGCTCCGCTTCTTTTCTTCCAGTAAGGAAGGAAGCTTCTTTTTTCTTGAACAAGAAGTGGTAGTAGCTTGTAGATTCATTCAGAAGTAATCTACATTATAAAACAAACGCCAATATGTGTAAAATTTTAAATAAAAATTATTATTACATCAAGGTGAGGGCTCCAATATTGTGTCTCGCTCCATCCTAAAATTTACCTCGGTTCTGCTCTGAATACAATTTCTAACTCAGCGGTTTCGAAACTATGGTCCGCGAAAGTTTTGTTGGTTACATGTTCATCGTCATCATCATTGTCATTCCCTCTTCTACCGTATTTCGCTGTGAGGGTCCTGCTTATAGAGTCTGGCCCAGCTGCATCTCTCCTGTACCAACTCCATTCTGCTATTCCAATCTATTCCGCGCTCCCTGTATGTCTCCTTTACACTTTTTTTATTTTTTGGGTCCTCCCCTTCTTCGCCGTTAAGGCTATACGGGGTTTTCCCGGGCCAGGGGGTGTGAGCGGGGATTTAAAAGATTCCCTCGGCACCGGACGCGAACTCGTGACTATTTTTCTATCATTAGATTCATATGTCAGGTTGCCGGGCAACGGCGTTACTGTGCACACGCTTTAGCCCATTCGGCCACCCCGTCTCCTTTACACAGTCCTTCCAGGAGATGCGAGGTCTTCCTCTGGTTCTTTTCCTTTCCGTCTCGTAAATCTTCCTGGCGTTTCTATCTGGATCCACCCTAAGAAGATGTCCAAACCACTAGAAGCTTGTGCTCCAGCCGGTTTGACGTTGAGATTTGCCTGTATGGTGAATGGCCTCATTTCCATGGCTTTTATCTGACTTCGGTGTTTTGTGGTGAGGATTCACGATTCTGAAGAGTACGATAGGATAGGAGGGAATGTCGATTTGACAACTCTCTTCTTCCCAGGAAACCCCGTCTGATCATACTGAACATATTCCCTTCAGCTCCAATAATCTGTGCCATTTCTTCGTTTATGTAGCCACTCTCATTGAGATGAGCTCTCAGATACTCAAAACTCTCGAAATGCTCTAATATCTGTCCTCCAACCCTTAGCACCCTCATTATCTTTCGGGATTTCTTTCCAATTCTCATGCATTTAGTCTTCTCTGGATTAATCTTCATATTTACTGTGGATAGTTTCTCTTGGAGGACATTTATGTTGGAGGTCTCGATCATTGGCAGCTGGTAAGACAAGGTCGCCAGCGAAGGCCAACAGGAAATATCTGGTACGCACAGAAATCTGCACCCTAGCTGAAATTTCCTCATTATAGGCTTAGCCCTGATTAGTGTCAAGTCCAGAACCATGATGAAGAACAACGGACTCAGGGTATAGCCCTGTCGGATACCCAATGTAGTCTCAAATTCTTTTGAAATGTGGTTTCTGGTTCTGATCACACTCCTCCTCTTTTTATAGATACTCATCACATCCAAGGTTGTTCCATGGTTTCCAACCCGCTTAGACAGTGTCCTCTCTATGTCTTCTTTCTTCATTTTGTTAAAGACCTGGTTTCATGATAAAACTATAAAATTTAGCTAATTACTCACACACAAGGCTGCTACAACATTGCATTTCTTTTTTCTTAGAAAGCTCATTTCACAGTTAAAGTGTCATTTATGGGGTACAATTTCTTTTTATCACCGTAAGCCTTCGACCATGGGATTTCGGTAGAGGACTCAATGCGGCCCGAGGGCCAAAACGTTTGGAGACCCCTGATGTAACTTAAATAACAACGACAATACGCCTAGGCTAATCTATTTATTTTATTTCTATATTTTATTGATACCGACAGCAGATGGAAAATATCAACTACAAGAAACAAAAATACTGACATAGTATATATTTGTTTGGCCCATAGTTGGAAATGAAATGAAAATAGATTTTTATTATCCTGGGACTGTTGTCCGTTTAGGACAAATTATAGATACAGAGGAAATGCCTGTGTGGCCATAAAATTAAATTAAATATTTACAATTCTCATTAAAATTAAAATATTGGAAGAAAATTAAAACAAAAACACTAAATATATACATATATATATATATATATATATATATATATATATATATATATATATATATATATATATATATATATATATAATACAAACATATGAAAATAAAATAATATAAGTAAACAAAATCATTTCTGGGAGAACTTATAAAAAGCTCTCTTATCTACTTTTCTTGATCAGTCGGGTTGGGAAAGAAGTAGGTGCTTAAAAGGGAGAGATTTAAATGAGGAAACTGATTGAGCATGTCGGATATCGGGAGGGATGGTATTCCAGGTGGAGACGGCTTGAGTTATAAAGGATTAGTCAAACGCAGCAGTTCGGTGAGGAGGTGGGTAGAGGTCAGAAGTACGAGATCTAGAGGGAAGAGATTAAATGGAATATTTAAATTGTAGGCTGTGAAAAATATAGGAAGAGCGCTGAGTTCTGATGGCTTGGTATAGAAAAGTAGCAAGGAAGTACAGACAGCGTGGGTTATATGCGTATCTCTTGAGATTCCGAAGACAAAACGTATTGCGCAGTTCATCAGGCGTTTAAGTTTGGCTTCGAATTCTCCCGAGAGTCCGCCGTACACCAGACAGCCATAATCGAAGTAGAACAACACAAGGGAGAAAACCAGGAGTTCGTGAAATTTCTAAATGCTCCTAGAGATAACATGCAGTATGGAGCTGTCGCATTGTCTATTAATGTTTTCTGAAAGTAGGATGTCTGGCTACCCCATTCTTCAATCACAAACATAACCTTTCACTTGGATAATAAAATTATTTTAATAATAACATTTATTAATTTACCTGCTACTTGTACCATACTTAAATTCCTTTAGAAGTAACTTCGTTGAAGTTGCAACACTCCATTATCATTATTGGCTAAACGAGAGCTGTCGGAGTATCCATGGCAACTCTACTAACCTTTCCCTTAGATAGTACAGAAGACATTGTTACTAACACATAGACACTGTTAGGCTAGAATCATACTCTCATGCCCTTCTCTTACGATTTTGCCAATAGCATAAACATGTAGTTACATAGGAATTGTCTTCAGTATAATATGCAACGGAAGAAAGTCTTCAACGTTTCCTTGTTCCTGGATCTTCACGCTGTGAGTCATTAAAATTATATTTTACATAATTTCAAGATTTAGCCAACATACTGAATTAATTTTATAGACGCTCAATTAACAGTTGGCTAATTCTGATAAATAGTCACTTTTCATGTCCTTGATTTTCACTGCCGTGTTCTCAAGGTTTGAATTATAAACTGAATTATATCATTCCTTTAAATTTAAAACACCAATCTATATATTAAAAATAAATAGTTTTAGTTCCTCTGATTGATTGATTGGTCTAATCGTAATGGTTTATAAAATTGTGTAATAGATATACACGTAAACAAATTGGACGATTGTTAATGTCCCCAATTCATTTTGTAATAATACTTTATATCTTCCCGTTTTAACATAATAATTATCAGGATTACTTGTGAAACATTAATCACAAAAAACTTATGGACATCACTAATCGATAAGTTAAGGTTAAGTTCTCATATTCGAGGTACATCAGAATCGATATTGTGATCAAACATTGTGTTGTCAGAGGAGGATGTGTCATTCTCCCCAATAATTAGAAAATGTAATTCTATTTTAAACTTCCAAAATTGTATAAAAAGGATTTTAGTTTAAAAGTTTTAAAAATTTATAAGCAATGAAGAAATTGCATTGTATCGATACAAGACTGTTTCACCAGAAAATAAAATTATATGAGAAAGAATTGGTCGGGGGTGCGATCAAATAAATACTCTATACAAATAAATATTTTGGATCTGGAGCCGGTTTAAGTAGTATTCAGCAGGTAGGGCCTTTCCTGGCAAGAAGGGTCCAATCCTGATGATTTTTGTTAAATCACCTGCATCACAAGCTCGTATGGTTAAACCTTCCTTGATTGTGATGCTCGGTGTTATCTTTTTTAACCAATCTACTGTATGGCCGTCTAGGCAGGATACAAGACTTCCACCGAGCTTCAAGAGCGCCCCGTCGAACTTTGGATATATGTCTCCTCCTATTGTTAATTCGTCAATTTTACTGGCGATTGCTTCCTTTAATTCTTCGCATTAGTCGTAGGTGAGCTGGATTTGCGGGTAGTTGACAGAAACTACCGCGACCAACTGTCCTTTTGCAACCTTTGCGTAGTTTCTGGGCCTTTCAGCCGCCCTTGGTTTCTTAGCTGCTGTAGCTGAGGCTCCTAGGGATTTTCTTGCTCTTTTTTCCACAGGCAGTCTTGATCTGTACCTCCACCTTTGAGGCCTCGCAAATTTAGATGCTGACCTCTTGTTTGTGTCCATCTCATCCCCTGTCTGTGGTATTGGAGCTTTCCCCTCCGGCACGGTAGCTTCGTTAGCCAGGCCTTTTGGGGCCTTTGCATCCTCCACTACCTGCCTTTGAGTAGGCTCCAATTCGCTGGTGGTTTGCCCTTGATCTAAGGCCTCCCTCTCAAGACTTTCCGCATTGTCCGCCAGGCCTTTTGGGGCCCTTGCTTCCTCAGCAGAGTTCTCTACAGGTGGCCTATTCTCTTCTTATGGGCTCAGTAGATATAGGGCCTTTGCCCTCTTCCTATTGCGCCTCTTCGCATTCTTTATAGTCCTCGATGTGGCAGGCCTCGATTCCTTGGGCTTGTGGTCCCCGCTCTCCGTCTGGTCGAGTCCAGAATGCGATAGGCTGCTTCCCATCATAACCATTTCTGGCTTTTTCATTTCGTCCATTTCGTCGTTGGTAGAAGTGATACTTTGGAGGAAGAGAAAAAAGATTAGTAACAACAAAGTGTTTTGTTTTCCTGTTAAAAAACAAAACAATATATCTATATATATATACGGTGGCTCACAGTGAAATCGATACATCCCCTAGAAAAATAAAAAAATATCTGCTTTTTTTTTTTTTTTTTCTCTATTCTGGGGGCAGAACGCAAAGTTAAGTTATATTGCCCTAAGGCAGACACCCAATTATTGGTCAAAAGCAGGATGTTGCTCTAGATGATACATTTTATAACATGAATTAGAAATTTGACGATGGAACACATTATTATTATTTTTTAAGCCTTGCATCCACAAGATTATTGAGATTGTAGTTCCGAAGATGGGAGTAAATATCCCGAAACGTCAACTAACTTGTTAATATGTAACGCTGATAATAGAAATATACTCAATTGTTACCAATTGGAAGTCATTATTGCCAAAAAACTAAAAATAAAAATAATAAAAAAATATCTGGTGTGTCCACTCACACGACTTTCCTACCTATTTCAGAAAAGTTTTTATATCTTTACATATGTTCTTGAAGAAACAAAAAATAATTGAACTAGGTTTATTTTCCTGAAAATTGATCAAAGAAAAGATTTGAGGGCGATTTATTTGATAAACTAAAGGATTGTAAACCGGCTTAAGGTAGATCAGTGTAAAAATTTCAATATCCTCTAATATAGCTGATCAAAAACTTTTTGCCACAGCTTAGTATTGTCAAACAACAATTTCTATTAAAAGTAGAGGAAATAGTGAAGATTAAGTGATGCGGGCAACAAATTTTCTTACTTTCACTTAGTCATATTTTTCTCTCATTCACCCCTTTCTGACACCAGGATATGAACTCGTAATCTTACATTGGAAATTGAATAGCTGTAACTTCGTTAATAGTTCTTCAAAATAAACGGTTTTTGTATGGCTTTTTAGGTAATTTCATTACCTTTCAAACGACAGGTTAAACAGCGTTGCTACAAAATAAAAAAAGAAGCAACAAAATTGGTTCAGTACTTTCCGAGAAAATCTTGGCACAGACAGACAGATAAACAGATAGATAGACAGACCTATGGTTAAAAATGTGTTTTTCGGAGTCAGGGGAATCAACTCCAAAGTTCACTGAAGGAGAAATATGTGCAAACACTTGAAGGGAAACGATGGAGTGGATTGCTAGAAGAAAGTTGCAGGATCCCTAGAGACCTCCCTAGAGGGCAAGCCGTGGAGTGCTCTAGAATTCTCACAGGCCATGATTTCCTTCAGAAGCACCTCCACCGCATCGGTATAAAAGATAGCCCGACATGCCCTCTATGTTCCTTAGACATGATGACAGGAGAACATCTTGATACATGCCCTGCATTACAGGACATAAGATGTTCCTTTAATGAAAAGGACAGTTCTTAGGCAAGTAGAGCAAAATTGTATTGGATTGCAAAAGCACGCATGGCTGATGAAGCAGGCGTTACTTAGGCGTAGGAAAAAAAAAGTAAATTATTATTCCAATGTAATATAAATTGAACTATTTATTTATCTTTTTGACTGCGAGCCATCGTATGTATATATAGTATTTTAGGACAAATTATGTTAAATTGTTGCAGGTAACTTGTCCAGGGGTCTGGCTGTGCCCGAAGGGTAAGGTGGCGGTAAGGGTAGCAATCTTTGGTGTCTCTGAATCGACCAAGAAACTGACTCCATCTTTTCCCCTTTTCTTTCATGAGAGGTTTCACTTCCAGAAGGTATTAGTAAAAGGATAACTTATTTTTATAAACTTTGTTTACATTATAAATATAACTACAATTACATATTTGCCTAAGATTAATTATTAAGATATAAACATGTGAGTTACCTTTTTAGTTCTAAAAGAACTATTTACAAGACCTATAAGTTTCTACATTAATCTTTCTCATCCTTATTTTATCCGGGTTAAAAAAAAATAAGAGATTTCATATAGAATTTATCATCATCATCATCATAGTCATATTCCACTTTACCGCCCATGCAGTGTGAGGTTGCTTCTTGTAGAGCTTGGACCAGGTGGACCTTTCCAGTACCAACTCTCGTCTCCTGTTCTATTCCAAACCTCGCTTCTGGAATGCATCTCGCACGCCTTCTTCCCAGGAGATTCTGGGTCTTCCTCTTGGTCTCCTACCCTGCACGCGAGTCTCATATGTCTTCTGACCTGGCCCTCTTGCCACTTTGTTCCGGTCCAAACGGAGGAGGTGCCCAAACCATCTCAACTTGTGTTCTTCTATAATGGTTTCGACCGCTTTGGCGTCGAGATTGGCCCGGATTGTAGTGTTGCGAATTCTGTTTCGTCTAGTCTTTTCCTCCACCTTTCGCAGGTATCGCACCTCTAGAGCCTGGATCTGGTTCCTGTGTTTCGAAGTAAGTGTCCAGGACTCGGAAGAATACGTCAGTATAGGAAGGAGTACTGATCTGTAGACCGTCATCTTCGTTTCCTTGGTAACCTCTTTTCGGTTCAGGAAGCCTTTCCTAACCGAGCCGAACATTCTTCCAGCAGCTCCTATTCTCTGCCTTACCTCCTCGTCAATATATCCATTTTCGTTGAGTTGAGCACCCAAGTATTTGAAAATGTCCACCTGCTCCAAAATCTCATCGTCGACCCTCAATACCCTCATAACCCTGTGAGGTTTTCTTCCAAAAGCATGCATTTCGTCTTCTCAGGGTTAATTTTCATATTGATTTTACTTAAATCTTCCTGTAGGATATTGATGTTGTTCTGGAGGTCACGGTCATTCTGGGCCAATATGAAGAGGTCATCCGCAAACGCCAGCAGAGAGTATAGAGTAGGCTGCATATCTCTGTGGCACAACTGAAAACTTCGCATCTTCTGTTTTGCTTTTCCCAGCGCCAGGTCGAGAACCAGTACGAAAAGAAGTGGGCTCAGGCTACAACCTTATAGAATTTATTATTAAATTAATTTAAATATTTATGAAATTGATTTTTAAATTATACAATTTATGGAATGCTGGAGTCTTAAGATTTTAGTAACTATGCATTATATATATAAAAAAAAAAAAGTTACAATGCCCTTCAAAAGTAAATTTTTATTTTCTAATGATATATATATATATATATATATATATATATATATAAAAAAGAAAGGCAATATAAAGTTCACCATATTTCATATTGGTCAATGTTTTTGATCTTCCATTTTGAAGACCTATCTTCTTTTCATTAAATTTTTATATCATTATTAATTTTCCACGTTCATTACTACATTACCTTTACGGTTACCTACATTACTACATTTCCTTAACCATCAGGTGATGAGGTAAGTGAAGAGTAATGTGCCTCAAGGATCAGTTCATGTTGTTAATAATGGTTAGAATTTCTTTATAAAACAAACACAGACAATACAGAAACGTTTATTGTGGAAGAACACTACAAACATAGAAGCCATTAGGGATGGGTCGGATTGTATGTATCAGATACTTTTATCTGATACTAAAAAAGTATCTGATACAACCAGTAGATACAACCAAAAAGTATCTGATACAAAAGTATCTGATGCTCACATGGATACAAAATGGTTGTCCAGACATGCCACATTGATATAAGAGAAATGTTTAGTTATAATTTTATTATTGTTATAGTTGTGCACAATTTTTTTAAAACTATCTATTCATTTAGTTTAATTTAATTAAATATTTATTTGTAGATAAATATATTTACGCTTATTTTTTTTTTTTTTATGTAATGTTAATTTCAGATATTTTTATCTGATACTGCTATCGGATATTTTTATCTGATACTAGTATCAGATACTTTTATCTGATATTTGTATCAGATATTTTTATCTGATATTTGTATCGGATATTTTTATCTGATATTTGTATCGGATATTTTTATCTGATATTTGTATCGGATATTTTTATCTGATATTTGTATCAGATATTTTTATCTGATACCCGCATCAGATACTTTTATCTGATATCTGGACTAGATACCCAGCAGTATGCATACTGGCGCTTGGGCTTTTTAGTTAATATATAATAGTTCTAATGACTGTATAGTTAGGTCAAGTACTAAGAAAATATTTACACAATTTTTTAAACAAAATATGCTTCATATTTGACAAAAGAATGGAATATATTAAATAAAAATATAACAAATTCATGCAGAGGAAATATTTTCCTAATACAACGTTCTTAAGAATTTTGTAACAATTAAAAAAATTCTTTATAGTTAAGTTTAACATAAACACACACACACATATATATATATATATTTTTTTTTTTTTTTTTTTTTCTGTTTGTATTACAGACCATGTAGATCTTTTTCCACCTTAACAAGTATGCTCAATCTCTACCTCTCTTGGGCTATTTCTTTCCATTATCTAATATTTGTATCGGATATTTTTATCTGATACTCGCATTGGATACTTTTATCTGATATTTTTATCTGATACCTGGACTAGATACCCAGCGGTATGCATACTGGCACTTGGGCTTGATATCTCAATAATTGTATCAGATATTTTAATCCAACTGTAATTGATTATTGATCGGGTTTGATATTTTAATACCTATTTGATACCTAATAAAACATACATTAAATATGTACCTATATATATTTTATTCCTTTATTATTAAATTTGTCCCTGTAATAAATATTTTACACCATTTTTAAATATAATAGTTCTAATGACTTTATAGTTATGTCAGGTACTATGAAGATATTCACTATAGGATAGCTAAGTTTAACATCCTCACACACACATATATTTCTTTTATTTTCACCGATCAATCTACATCTTGGGATTTAGATTATATAGGACTTGTATAATGTTTACAATACTATTATTGTATTCTTTGAACATATTAAATTACATATGTAAATCATTTAATATGTAATATGTAAATATTTATCCACTCTTTTATTATTATTTTTTTCATTAATACAATATTATGACAACAAAAGTAATTTGTCGTTCATTTCAAATTTCAGTTAAAATTCCATAGTTCATTGTTGTTTAGTAACTATTTTGCTGTATTGGGACCTCATTGCTCATATTATGTCTTTAATATATCAGTATAGTTATGTAAATCCTTCTGTTATTACTTATTTTTTAGTTTTTTTTTATTGTAATATGCATTTTGGCCAGATGTTATGTTAATTTTTATGTACAATATTGTTATTCTCAAGGGACTTTGTCCCAGAATAAAGGTGATTCTTCTATTCTATTCTATTCTATATATATATTTATTTTTTCTGTTTGCATTACAGACGATGTAGATCTTTTGCCACCTTAACAAGTATGCTCAATCTCTACCTGTCTTGGGCTATTTTTATTATAGTAGGCAAAAGACTACGTCGAAGGTCAAAAAGCAGATGGATAGATAGAATCAACAAAGATAGAACAGAGCTGCGTGCAGATAAATGGCAAAAAATAGCCCAAGACAGGCAGAGATTGAGCATACTTGTTAAGGTGGCAAAAGATCTACATGGTCTGTAATACAAACAGAAACAATAAATATATATATAGAATAGAATAATCACCTTTATTCTGGGACAAAGTCCCTTGAGAATAACAATATTGTACATAAAAATTAACATAACATCTGGCCAAAATGCATATTACAATAAAAAAAACTAAAAAATAAGTAATAACAGAAGAATTTACATAACTATACTGATATATTAAAGACATAATATGAGCAATAAGGTCCCAATACAGCAAGATAGTTACTAAAAACAATAAACTATGGAATTTTAACTGAAATTTGAAATGAACGACAAATTACTTTTGTTGTCATACCATTGTATTAATGAAAAAAATAATAATAAAAGAGTGGATAAATATTTACTTTAAATGATTTACCTATGTACCTCAATATGTTCAAAGAATACAATAATAGTATTGTAAACATTATACAAGTCCTATATAATCTAAATCCCAAGATGTAGATTGATCAGTGAAAAGAAAAAATATATATGTGTGTGGGAGTATGTTAAACGTAGCTATTAAGAATTTTTTCAATTCTTACAAAATTCTTAAGAACGTTGTATTAGGAAAAATTTTTCTCTGCATGAATTTGTTATATTTTATTTAATATATTCCATTCTTTTGTCTAATATGAATCACATTTTGTTTTAAAAACTGTGTGAATATCTTCATAGTACCTGACATAACTATAAAGTCATTAGAACTACTATATATTAACTAATAAGTCCAAGACTAGACTAGATACCAAGCGCCAGCATGCATACCGCTGGGTATCTAGTCCAGGTATCAGATAAAAATATCAGATAAAAGTATCCGATGCGGGTATCAGATAAAAATATCTGATACAAATATCAGATAAAAATATCCGATACAAATATCAGATAAAAATATCTGATACAAATATCAGATAAAAGTATCTGATGCCAGTATCAGATAAAAATATCTGATACTAGTATCAGATAAAAAGTAGTAGGAAGGTCATGACCAACTACTGACCCATTTGTATCAGATACAAAAGTATCAGATAAAAGTATCAGATACAAAAAAGTACCCGTATCAGTTGTATCTAGATACAAAAATTTTAGTATCAACCCATCCCTAGAAGCCATATCTAGGGAGTATACATTGTTGTGAACACTGACATCACATCTAACAGTGTTGCCAGTGACAGTGTTGTAGGTATACAATAACAAATAACATCAATTAATTAATCCTAACACATGTGATAGGAAATTATTGTGTAAATTTTGAAAAGTACATTTAATAAAACTATATTTTTAATAAAAATGTTAAAAGCTAAGAGATTTTGTTTACAGTATTGTTTAAAAAAAAAAAAAAACTTTATCATGGGATTATAGGAAGGATTGGGTGAAAGAAAGTTTTTTGAAAAATTCTGGAGAAAACACTTAAGATAATGGGGAAGGGAGGGGGGTAATATAATATAATTGGAAATAATGTTGCAATTGGAAACAAATGACAACTCCTTATTTTATTTTATTTTATTTTTTTTGAAGAGGTGAAAAGCTCACCTGCATAAATGTATTCTAGATCTATGATAAGTTGTGGGATCATTTTGACAGAGGTGTTAGAGGTTGATATTTCCAATTATCTTATATAACCCTATGCTTCCCTTTAGTTTTTTTGTCTCCAGAATTTTTGAAAGACCTTTCTTACACCCAATGCTTCCTAAAATCACATGGCAATATTATTGTAACGAGAGCTGACAAGGGTAACAAAACTTTTATCTATTGATACTTTGTAATAATGAACATGTAAAAGTTAATTACAAAGTTTCCCCTGTAGAAGTACAAGAAGGTGAGCAGTCTTCATCAAGTAGAGAGGGTTCTTCATCGGGCACCGGTTCTCTTGGAACTACTCCAGTATCCTCAAGGTACAACGGAATGTGTAAAGCTGGCCGAGTTCAGGGCTGCCGTAGGAGACATAATCTTCCCCCCGGGAGGTGATATGGATCTTCTCTTTAGCACCACAGATACATTCCCGGTAAATTGACATTTGATTATTCTGACAAAAAAAAAAAAAGAATCCCTTTGTACCATTTTCTTTTCTTTAGATTAAGAAAATTTCAAGCAAGGTTCTAAGACCAAACAGTTGATTAGAGACAAATCTTTTTTATAGGTTAGAGTTGTTACATATAAAAAATGAAAGTCTTATAAATAAATGAGATGATAGAAATAAAATAAAATAGTCTGAAGGTAGGATAAAAAATCCTGAAACATTATAAATAAATAAAAAGAATTTTCAGGAGATAAAAACTCTTCAGATTTTCATATAACTTGTACTTTGATGTTTTTAATAAAAGTAGAATAGTTTGTTTGAAAACAAATACTTAAAAATTTTATTTAAAAAGCTAAAATAGCTTCTCCACCTAGCCTAGTCAATAGTGTCGAATAGGTTCTCCCTTAGAGAAGGGTTCACTTCAAATTTAAGCAATTGTTTTCCCCAAAATGGTAAAATGTAACCATGAAATTATAAATTGTTGGTAATAATATATTTTCAATTTTATCACACAGGATATAACAAGTAAAAAAAATAATAGTGAAATATAAAACTGTAAGGATAAAATACATAAATAAAAATACATCCCAAATAACATTAAAACAAGAAATAAAAGTGGTATTAGTTCCGAAGCACTACTCTTTCAGCCATCTTATCCTCTTTCAGCCATAGGTGGGTAGTCTTCTCAGCTCTTGTCCCCTCCACCTCACCTTCATTTACAGTAAATATAGAAATTATATCGTTCAGGTTACATTTTACCCGTTAAGCAGTTTTTTAGCATTCTTTTCCCACCATTTTAACTTGATAGGAAATAAATATCAATTCAACACCCATCCAATTTTCCATGTTATCCAATAATTAGTAAAAATATAAGCTCATTTATATATGCTTTATTCGACTTATTTCGTACCTTAAATTAAACTCGTCTTACTTCTTGACCAATTAACTTTTAAAAAAATAATATAAATGGGTTTTAAAATATAGATGTGCAACACAGGGGGAGATCTCCTTCCTTTATAATGCAACGGTCAACTATTAAATATTCAATATTACGTTATTTTAAATTGAAGAGAAGAATGGTTGGGGTGATCAGTAAAATGAAATGTAAAAATAAATAACTATATTTATTATATTAAAAAAAGTATATAAATGTAATGATTTATTTTTACTATTTTTTTTTTTACTGATCACCCCATACTTCTCTTCAATTATTCAGGACAGTCAATCATCAATCCACAATACATTATTTTTACTTTACCCTACAAAAATAAAAAATTAAAATGATGCAAACAATTTTTGTTTTATCTAGAAAATTAAGTTATAAAGGAAATAATAATCATACTTCATTTTATACTCGATAAAATTAGAAAATATTTTAAATACAATATGGTAATAATTTAAAAAAAGGATCATTATCTAGAAAAAAAAATACACAGTTTTATGAAGGAAATATTTATCATAATCTAATCTAAGTTTATAAATAAAGTTTAGATTTGTTTTAATATAATTTTATTGTGTTATTATTTATATTAATATGTAATACTTTACTGTTATTGCTTTAAAGATGAATAAATTGCAAATATACCTACTTTGATTATGATATTAAAATATTTGAAGGATTTATAGTAGATATCAAGATCTACAAGAAAGTTCATATATACAGTTGCTCAATTTCCAGCAGAAATGTAGGAAATTTAAAATTTGTGTTTTTTTAAGCATGTCACGTTTTTATTGAATAGGAAGCGATAACAAAAAATATTTGATTTAAGTAACTAAACATAGTAAACTAGGCAAAATTTGCTTTGAAAGAAAGTAGAGTTTGTCATTGTTAAAACTATACAAAGAGGATTATTGGGCGGAATAACACAGCTAAGTCTAGTTTAAAAAAATTTATAAATTATTTTTGATTTTTTTTATCATCCTTTAACTGTATTACATTTACCCCACTATTACAAAAATTTCCTCGCTTAATAAGCTATCAGTCCATATTAATTAATTTGAAGTTTATTGGGAAAAATTTTGAGATTCACTTTTAAGTTTTGTTAAGAAATGCTGAGTTATCTTAAATTTTATCTGTTTTATGCAACTAGGATTAACTGTTTCAAAGCTTTTATTTCTTGTTTTAACTTTATTTAGGATATGTTTTTATAAACATCATTGTCCAAAAACATATTTTATTTATAAATATAAAAAAATTTAAAATAATGATTTTTCACGTTAAGTGGTTATGAAATTGTGTTTTTATCCCAGATCTCCATCAGAAGAATTGATATGTATTTATGAGTGGCAAACTTAATATTTCTTACTAAAATTTAAGTTTAAAATAAAGACACCTACAGATTGCTTCAGTTATTTTCATGTAAAATGTCTACTATTAATCTTTTAAATATTTTAATAATATAATAAAAATAGGTATAATTGAAATATATTTGTCTGTAAAGCAACAAAAGGTAAGATTTACATATTAATATAAATAATAACACAGTAAAATTTTTGTAAAACAAATCTAAACTTTATTCATAAAAATCAACTTTATTCATTAGATTATGATTATTACTTCCGTCATAAAACTGTATATATAACTTTTTTTTTTTATTTTCCTAGATAAAGTTTTCTTTTTTTTAATTTTCTAGTTAAAGATTTTTTTAAAATTCTTACCATATTTAAAAAAAAATATTTTCGAATTTTATGGGGTATAAAATAAAATATGAAAAATGGTAAAATGTAACCATGTTCATTGTAAAAAATTATCTCTTAAAGTATTATTGTTCATGTAAAAAAATATAAAAATTACATTTAATAGGCCTTCAAGAATCACCTAAACACCATTTCATATAGGTAGTTAGTTTCTTTCTTTTTTTTCCAAAGTAATAATTATTTTTATATTCTTGAAAAAAAAAAAGTGTTCTGGCTGAATCCCTCCCCCTCCCGCAAAAAATTAAATCCTTGATTCACTAGTGATGCTCAACAAATAAGCAAAGCTCTGATATAATTTGTCTAAGAAAAAATAATAAAATTGAGCCTAAAATAGTAAGAATTTAAAATGAGCTAGGCTAAGATGTAAGATGTTTGAAGTACCAGCATCGGCCACAGAGCGGCGACACTGAACATAACCTGTTGTAACCTTTCTGTTTATTTATGTGTATGTTTTCGACGTGGTTAGCTACTGTTAGTTGTATTTTACAAAATGAGTAAGACAACTAAGAAGAAACATGTGATGTCAGATATGTTGTTTAGTGGAGATCTTTTACTAGAAGAAGGGCAGAAGATTGTCAGAGTAGTCTGTGGTAGAGGAAATAATCTCCATGAAGTTGAAGAATTGGAACCCTCTGGTGATAATTTTCTGGTTTCAATGCCTGTCAGGTTTAGAAAAACTGTTTGGGTTAAAAGAGGGGACTATCTTATAGTTCAACCTATAGAAGAAGGTGACAAGGTTAAAGCAGAGATAACTGACATTCTGACCAGGGATAGGATAAAGTATCTTAAACAACGAAAGCTTTGGCCCGGTAAAGAAGACGATCATAGTGATAGCAGTTGTAATGAAGACATTCCTGAAAATACTAATAGAATAAGTGTAGCTTGTGATGATAGTGATTCATCTGATTCAGATGACTGATGTTACATTATGTATAATATAGTTTATTTTTTTACATATGCTGTTTTTATTCTTTTATCACTCCACATTCATGGATATGATAAATATCACCACAATACTATATGATAAAATGCTGTGGCGTCTAACTGTATGAAAAAGGTACCTTAACGTGCTGTATGAATGAGGTACCTTAACGTGCTAGCAAGTAACACTAATATATATACCTATATCAACAATATGATTGCCCTGCATTAGCAACATATACATCGTTAAATTTATATTAAACTATTTTTCTTTTAGAATCATCCATATTTTTTATAAAAAAGTGTATCCTTAGCGAATATCCTATAATCTATTACTTTGTTTAAAGCTGTAGATTCTGCTTAACTTTGGTTCGCCAATGAGTTAATGGCCACATTATCACTAGCCAAGCTTTTTATTTTTAATGTTTTTATTTTATAATTAACGTGAAACAATACTTCTGAAAACCTTATTCTAGGATTAGAGAAAATGATGGCTAAAATAAAAGAATTGTGTTCGTTCCAATACTTGATATCTTAATTTTGTTTAATGCAATAGAGTGGCTAGGGGAAGGGCGAGAGCAAACTCATCTTAAACGGTTTCTTCCCTACGTGAAGAGAGGATCAGTTATGTTAATATGTGACTTTTCGGAATTCATTTTATCCCATCTTCAGGCTGTTTTATTATCTTTATATCTTCTCAATTTATCTTAAGACTTTTCATTTTATATTTTTAAAATCCCTTAATTTCAGTGTGGACAGACATTTTTTACTGTTGCTGAAGTTTTAACCCAAACACGTGAGTCATAATCAGGACATGTTTGCAGTACTGAAGCTGTTCAAGTACTAGAACAGCTTAAGTTTGAGTATTGAGCCACCATGTTTGGTTTGAAATGTTGGCATCAATAATATATCTCAAAAATGATTGCTTCCTGATTATTATATAAGATAACACCTCTGGGCGGTTACAAAACATGAAAAATTAAAAAAAAAAAAAAGATAAGGAAATACCTTTCCACTGAATTCTTGGATTCAAAACTGAAATAAATATATGATCATAGTAAACACTCTTTTTTTACATACATTTGTTCTTCTTTTTCCATTGTTCTTTTTATTAACATTCTATTTCCTTATATACATCTCTTATTTTCCTCTCTCTCTCTTCCTAACCTAATCCGTATGGTACATGAAAATCTAAACAGATTTTCTCTTCCATAAATTTCTTTTATTAATTTATATGTGATGTTTCGGGATTTATTTGATCCTATCTTCAGAATATTTCATTATCTTTATATCATCTCAATTTGTCATAAGAGTTATCATTCTTTTATTTTAAAATCCCTTAACTTCATTATTGACCCTTCTCTTAGGGAGTGTCCAGTCTAGATGACTAAGGATTTTTTTAATCAAATTAAATTAAACTAAGGGATTTTTTAAATTAAAAAATGACAAGTCTTATTATAAATTGAGATAATAAAATAGACTGAAGAAGTGATAAAACAAATTCCGAAAAATCACATATAAATTAATAAAAGAAAAACTGTTTAAATTTTCATATACCTCATTAAAAACATCTCTCTTAGGAGTAAATGAACTAATTCATACTTTCTAATGAGAAATCATGGAATAATGACCAAAAAAAAAATATATATTAAAAAATCTAGAGTGGTATGTGCATTACTCAATTTTCATTTACTACCATATTCAAACTCTTTTTAGAGACTTGTTTCCAATTACCAGACTTTCTTCATGTTTGTTTATGATGGTCCTCCTCTTTTGCTTGTAAATTAAGGACTCATTTGACCAGCAAGTTTCATTCAGATAAGTTCTCATTTGACAAGTAAGGGGAAGGACAATAAATAAACCTGAAGAAGGTCTAATGACCAAAACCATACGAATAACAAAAGTTCCAGTTTCAAAAAGGCCATTTGGCATGTTATGTATATTTTAGGATACTACTTCACAAGATTAATGATAGATGGGCACATGATCATTGTAATGTCTTTAAAACACAAAATCAAACAAAAACACTATGTTTAACTCAAAAGTTTATTACTCACAAATAGTATTACACAAAAGATACATTACCAAAACAGATCTCTCCACATGTGCGTATCAGTACCTGTCTGTTGGTAATCTCATTGTTCCCTTATACGATGATCGATACATTCCAGTTGATATCCAATATACCGCAGTCATTCTATGGAACGCCAAACCTAGCTGAGAGTGTCTGTCTTTTGACAAAATACAGATGCAGTGGTTTAACTTTGGCACTCCACTAACAGTTTGATCTTGTGCCCATCCGTCATGTTGGAGTAACATTTACCACTGAAGTAGTTCCAATATTAGTTTCATTAATTATTAGTATGTTTTTCGTAACTCTCCATTATTACCTTCTACAATTTTAAATGAAGAGAATGGTTGGGGTGATCAGTCAGAAGTAAGATGGCAAAATAAATTTTAATATTTACCGACGTTTCGACCTGAAGTTTAGGCCTTCATAAGGGCTAAGAAAAGAACCAGATAACAAGGTATGAGGAGAAACATAAACAATGTAGGTACAAAAAATATTAAAGTAAAATGAAGTGGGTAGAAAAATTACAATAACAAGAACTAAGAAATAAATAATAATAACCGTTACAAAGCGTGGACTAATGAAGTAAACATAATCAAAATAAGGCGACATAAGTACTAAAATGGTAATCTTAGAATAAAATGTAAAACAGAGAAAAGGAATATGAAGTTATATAAGAAATAAAAATAAATATTAAAATTAAGATATTGTAAATAGAATAGTTAGATAGAAAATTGAGCTATTGTAAAGTCTATCAAAATGTACTGACTACATATAGTAGAATAAAGAGTTAAAATGATGAAGTAAAAAATAAATGAGCAAATGTATCAATATAAACAAACTGGAGATGGAAATATGGAAAACAGATTGAAAGGAAGGAGGAAAAAAAAAAAAGACAACTAAATTCCAAATTGTACTGACTACATATAATAGAATAAAGAGTTAAAATAAAGTAAAAAAATAAATGAGCAAATGTATCAATATATACAAAGTGGAGATGGAGATATGGAAAACAGAATGGAAGGAAGGAGGGAAAAAAAAGGAGAAAACTAAATTACAATTTTAAACGTTGAAAATTAATTTTTCTAAAATATTGAACTATTAAACACACATTTATTACTACTCTATTTCAGAAATGTGTTTTCAAACAGACAACAATCTTTCTCCATTTATTGATCATCAAATCCTATTAAACCATTCCTTATTACTATTAACAAAGTGAGATTATTAATGTTTTTCAAACAAACCATAAAAGTTAATTTAAGGCATTTTTGAAATGTATGCATTTAAATCCTGCTGCAGAAATTTACCTGTCACTTATTAAAATAACATGTAGTAAAAATATTATTGGTAGAAAAGGTACTGCAGTTGAGCCCATCATAATTTAAATTAATGTTTATTTGTTTTCCAATAAAAATAAAATAAAATAAAAGAACACGAAAAATGATTCTTTTATGAACGAGGTACTATACATTGAAGAATACCTTAACAGTGAAGATTAAAATTAAAAGTGGCTTTCAATAAGTCTCATTACATATCTTAATTGAAATTAATTTCAATTAAAAAACCTTTTAACCGCTAATTTCTGTAAAAATACACGTAAGCCTGAAAATCGATGTTTTTTATTTTTCATAATTGAAATGATTTTTAGAAAAACATTTTTGAAAATTTTAGTCTGTAGTCATTTTTAGTTCTGGGCGTACGAAATATAAAAAAGCCTCAGTAGTTACTGCAAAAGCCTCAGTTCGTTATGGTTGGAAATGGAATGTTTCCATTTAGCTAAAGAAACCTTTTATTTTCATTAAGGTTATGAATTATTATTATTGTGTGGTAAAATTTAACAAGTTAAAAAACCACTCAATTTGATTAGTGTTTACCAATATTTTTAATAAATTGATTTAAATGCAAATTCTTAAATATTTCAGCTTATGAAAAAAATGGACTTCTGCTACATTTGACTGTATATTATCAATTTTCCTTTTACTTAAAATGTATAAATTTAATGGAAGCATTTATAATATAAACTAGCGGCCTTTCCACGCTTTTGGATTGAATAGCCCTGATGAAGGCCTGAACTTCGGGCCGAAACGTCGGAAAATATAAAAATAAATATAATTAGTTTCCAATTTATTTATTTTAAGCCACTTTACACCAATTTGGTCATATTAATGACTACAACATCTTATTACAACATTTTGGCTTGTCGAGCCATTTTGAAGTCTAAAACAAATTTTTTTCCAATTTACAATCATATCTAAAAATTCTACATATTTCAAAATTTAAAGATTTTTTATATTTAATTAGCCGTCATATATCTGAACATTTCACTTCTTTATGCGTATTACATGTGTCTACTCATAATAAAATGTATCAGGATTGTCATGTCCAACTTTAACTATTTTATCACATCATTATTACACAATTCCTTCTTATTAAAAGATTCATATATGTTAAAATTACCTTATCATGTGTCAACCCACTTGTTTTTGGTCTCATTTCTATTGGGTGACTAGTTATTATTATAGGAGTAGGGGAAGACCATTTTGGTGAAAAAATGAAACCGAAAACAAGTGGGTTCAGATATATGATGGCTGATTAAATATAAAAAATCTTTAAATTTTGAAATATGTAGAATTTTTAGATATGATTGTAAATTGGAAAAAAAATTGTTATAGACTTCAAAATGGCTCGACAAGCCAAAATGTCGTAATAAGATGTTGTAGTCGTTAATTTGACCAAATTGGTGTAAAGTGGCTTAAAATAAATAAATTGGAAACTAAATATTATGCACCGAAGTATAAGAGAGAAATATTGTAAATGTAATTATTTATTTTTACTGTTTTTATTTTGACTGATCACCCCAACGGTCCTTCTTTTTAATCTTTTAATCTATAATTTAAAATCATTATATATATATATTGTCAAATATTATAGAAATGGAGGAATGACAATTTTACTTAAATGGTACTATGCTGACTTTGAATTAATTTCTACAAACCTGATAAAACAAAAGTATTCGTCTTCACTTTCATTTGTAAATAAACTGAATATTACAAATAAATAGTCCTGTTTTTATCAATTATTCTAATATTTTTTTGGTAACTGTTCTATAAATAAATAAATATTATAATTGTAATAATGAAACTTTATTTTAAAATAATTTAGTTATTTAATAATTACAATTTGTCTATAAACAAACTTTAAAACTGTGTTCTTCTAGGGCATAATTGGCCCAAAAGGAGAAGTCACTACTCAACTTACGTTGACTGAAAGTGGAATCAAAGACAATGCTGTGCCAACTACAGTTTTATCAAAGGTACTTACATGATTCCTTGGTAAAAATACATTTAATGGGTAATATATAAAATAAATATAATTATCATACACTATAATAATATATAATATAAATATGATATAATTAAAAATATAATAATATTGCTGGACAATGAAACTATTGATTTTATCAATATAAAAAAGTTAATTTGTTGTGTTTTATTGACTACTGTCTATTTCTCAATAAGTTTATTTAATTTAGAAGCAATAAGAAAGATAATTTTAAGACCAGTTCTTTTAAAGTCAATGAAAAAGATAAGATATAAGATTTTCCTTAAGCTTATTATATTAAAAACCAAATCATTTACTTATTATTGATAGAAATCTCGAATTAGTGGTCTTACTTGTGAATGGATATTTCTGTATTATCAAGTTATTTCATATGAAATATCAGTTTTCACAGCAATGGTTACTTAGTAAAACAACATAATGAAATTAAAAAAATTGTATTATAAATATTTACTCTAATTTTATATACATTTTCCCCAACGTGTTATCAACTTTTCAATTCCAGAACTGAAAAATTCATGATTTTTTGAAGAAATGAATTAAGAAAATGTGTTTTTGACCTGAGAATCATTTTTGAAAATTTTACTTTTAAGGAAGTTTCCAAACAGATGGAAATCTGTTAAAGATAAGTCTGGTGAATAAGGTGGGTGGGGAAGGACTTTGTAATACAGCTTGTTTAGTTTCTTCACTGTCAGTTGTGAAGCATGAGGTCTGGTATTGCTTAAGTGTATAGGTCCCTTCCGATTAACCAATGCGGGTTTTTTTTTTTACGCATTATGCCAATCACACTGCAGTAGGATGTGGATGTGATGGTTTAACCTCTGGATAAAGAGGAGAAATGAATTATTTCTGCCATTGACCACCGTACGGAAATCAATAATTTTTTTGGATTTTTGGAATTTTTTTCAAACCACTGGTGAATGCTCCATTTGTTACAGCACACTTCCCAGAACGCTGTGATAATCTTTCTTGCAGCTGGGGCTACTGAGTGTCCAAATTTAAACTCATAAAAAAAAAATGCTGCAAATTATTCCACAATGGTTTATTATTTCCAAACAATTATACATCTAAAGTAACATTACTTTCTAGTTACAAAGAAAAATAAATAAAAGGTGATTCCAATTATTGGACTAAACTTTTTTTTATTTTTATTAGTAATATGCTAAAAAAAAAAAAGCATTACTTCAGTAACACATTCAAAATTTAAAAACTCCTCAACTGCTGAAAACTGCAATTAAAAAAAAAAATGGCTCCTAATTGTCCGATTTTAACGATTTTTTTTTTAATTTTTAGGAAATGAGTTATTCGGAATTAAATTTTATCATCCATCGTAACTTTTTCCAGCTTCTTTTCGTTAAAGTATGTTATATATATAAATTTAAAGGGCGTAGAGAAAATGACTTTAGCGAAGTTTCATTGAAATCGCTCCATTCATTTAAGCCCTACAGTCTATAGCAACGCAGGTTTTTCGGGCGCCATTTTGAGAGTAAAAGGCGGATAATAATGTCGATGAAGTAGGATCATCCTCGAGTGACCTCTGATTTTGTATCCAAATTTGAAAAAAACCAGTCCAGTAGTTTCAGAGAAAATGAGCGGACGGCGTATGGCGTATGGGCAAAAAATTTTTTATTCGTTTTTCGAATTCTACCCATCCTGAAATGTGAAACCTCAAATTTTGAGAGGGGGTTAAGTTTTTGAATTTTTTGGTCGATCACAATGGTTGAATATTGAAAATAATAAACCAAAATTTACTTGAATATTGCCGGTTTCGCAATATTGGGCATATTAGATGATTTATAATCAATTGGAATGATAGTAAATATACTCATAAAAGAGAGCATTAATGACAGCTCATTATAATCTTTTAACACAAAAATAGTAAACAACAATAGTCCATTAATTCCACTTTGAATTTCTGAAATAATAAAAATGGACATTTCATATGAAATGATTCAGTATTCTGAATCTGGCTCTAAACAACCGATTTTTTTGATTTCATAGATAAATAACAGTATATTAAACTTTAAAGTTAAATTAATTATGTGTTATTTCGATGGCATGGGTTAATAATTGAACTAACTTTAATTGTTTAAGTAAATAATTCTTTATCAATATATGGCAGCTTTTGGAATTATATGAAGGTAAAATCAGTAAAAGGATTTTTTATAGAGTTGTTTGAATCTAAATAAGCAAACTATAAAAGTTCAACTTTTTTGATTGTCTGTTGATGTTGAATTTTTACTATATAGGAATTATCATTTAGGGGACTAAGGGAAAGCAGATCGAAGAACCTCTGATCCGACAGAAGCCTGTCTGTCATACGAAACATTACTTGTATTGCGGCTGCTTTGATAAGAATGCACCACAACGAATGCTCGCAAAGGTCATGAAGAGGCAGAAGGATCTCTTGGTCAAGAAACGGACCAGGTCTCGTTGGTGATATGTAAATAATTTAGCCGATTTTCTAGATGTCAGAAGAGTATTTGTTAAAGAAATATCATTTAATCGTTAGCCATATGGAAAAAATATTCATTTTTAATAGTTATGTAAAAAAAAAGAGATGTATCGTTTGATAGTAGAATATATTTTTCAATAGTTAATACAAATATAACATTGTGAGACTGTTTTATGGGTAAACATTTTTATTTATTTTTTTTTTGTTATAATTTTAAAAATAATTTTGATTTGATTATTGAGACAAAATATTTTAAATATGGGGTAATATAAGTTATGTTCAGATAAATAATTATATTTTGTATTCATATGAGAAGTTCAATAAAAACATTATTAATATTTTTATCGGACTACGGCGATGTCTCACAATGAGGGTAATGTGTTTAGGTTTACCCTTGTACATATGTTACTATTTTTTGGACAAACAGCTGGGCTAATTTGTATGTTGGATGGTTGAAATTAATCAGTGAGATCTCATGAATACAACTCACAACTCTAAATACTAAATTACTATCGAAGGTGTAGAAATGATTTGTTAGTTACCATCTCATTAACAATATGGTGAAGGATTGGGAGATGATTACAACACACAACTCATTTTTTAACTTATTCTTTGTGATCATTGATAGATATATTGTCAGGTTGTTGCTAAAAGTCACTAAGCAAACTTTTGGTGGAGGTTAACTATATATTTGTGAATTTTGATCATATTTATCAATTTATTTTTCATATTAATAACGCATTAAGAGCATCAAAATAGCAAAAAATCCTATTAGATGTAAAAAAAAAAAAGCTACAGTAAGTGTACAATGTTTTGATTTTGTGGAGGAAAAATTAATTAAATTACTTCATTATTTAATTTTCTAAAATGTAACTTAATTACTTCTTGCAATGAACCAAAGGTATAAAATATTGCCATCAAGATTTGTATTAAAATAAATATTTTTGTGGAAGGTCTCCGAGTTCTTCATTCAAGTTCAACGCTTCAAAGTATCATTCTAGCGCTTTTAGTATAATTTTTCAAATTACAAATTTTATTTCTAGATAACTAAGAGTACAAAGAAAAATTGTTATAATGTTAAAATAAAAATAAAATAAAGTGGATTCTCATAACAAAAATACTTTATATATACAGATATACATATGTATATTTTTTTATATCACTATATTTGTGATATCTAAGTTCCTTGAGACTCTCTGATTTAAATATGGTGAAGGTTAAATTATTGAGACTTTATTTTGTTTCAATTTTTCATTCAACTGATTGTCTATGTTAAAAAAATATATATTTATTTAATTTAGAAATAACTGAAACGAGGCTACAATTTTGTCATATGTTCCCAGGCAGGAAGCAATCAAGCAGACTCCTGCACACATAATGTCTCATAAGAACCATGGTGATTTTCTGCCAGGTGAGTGCAGAAAGTTTCATTCATTAAAAGAAAAGTTTAATTAATTGAAATGATAGTGAAATCCAGTTTTGAATTTTTTAAATAGTACTGTTTTAATTTTTACATATCTATAAACTTTCCTGAATTTAGTACATCTAGGAAAATGAAACGGACATTAATTAGAAAATTATAAGAAAGTTTCATCAGAATCGCTAGAGCCGTTTTTGCACTACAGTCTATAGAAAAATATGTTTTTCACTTATTACGCAGCCTGTTACAATTTATGTCACAGGCATCAGTAGTTAAAACCCTACAAAACAAAAAAAGAAGCAGCAAAATCGTCTACTAGTTCCCGAGATAATCTTGGCATAGACCAATGGTTGAAAATTTGTTTTTCGTACTCAGGAGACTCTGAAATGTAAAGAGCTGTCGAAAACCGCACATCAGAAATTTAACCCGATGGCAATACTTTCCTTACCTAGTATAGGTAGGAAAGTAAAAAGACTGGTTTCATAAATACACATATTATCAGACCACTTTTTTTAAAAATAATATTTATTAATATTATGGCTATGTAAAAAATGTATTCAAAAAATGTATTAAAAATGTATTCAGTGACTTTATCAATGAACCGACGACTTATTTTTTTAAAAATCTACTGTCCGGTGTTCTAAAAACTACTGACGAACCAGGTACATTTTCATTTATTTTTCTTTATATAGGAGTTTGATTCAAGACTTGCTGGAGGTAGGGGCCCACCAGACTTGCTGGAGGGTGTGACGTAGGATTGAACGCCCTACTCACATATCTTTAGTTCACCAAACACCACAAAAAGTCATGGATCTCCCTAAGGTAAAACGCTCATTATCCGGAGGTAAACTAGTCCCCCGTTCGGGTCTCCGGGTGGGGACTGCTTTAGGGGATTCATGGTGCAAGTTGAAATATAGGGATTTAAATATTGGTACGTGGAACGTAAGGAGTTTAAACACAGCAGGGGGGCTAAAATCGGTCGCGAATGAGGTAAATGGGTACAATTTAGATGTCGTGGCTCTGCAAGAGGTTCGTTGGCCAGGGGAGGGCTCGATGAGGGAAGGAAAGTACATTATTTGGTACGGAGGAAGCGGGAATCATTGTTTGGGTACCGGGTTTCTAATTAGGAGTAGATTACTATCCGCTTTGAGGGACGTACAATTCTTTAGTGATAGAATTTCGGTAGCTACATTTCAGGGACGTTGGTTTAAAATCGCATTAATAAACATACATTGTCCGACCGAAGACAGTGACGATGAAGTCAAAAGTGAATTTTACGATAAACTCGAATGGGTTTATGATAAACTACCACGAAACTACATGAAAATAATTGTAGGTGACGCGAACGCAAAGGTAGGAAGGGAAGAAGTTTATATTCCGACGATTGGTAAAGAAAGTTTGCACGAATATAGTAATGATAATGGGATCCGTCTGATAAACTTTGCCATCTCGAAAAACCTGATAATTAAAAGTACGACGTTTAAACACAAGGATATTCATAAATATACTTGGACATCGCCGGATTCGCAAACACGAAATCAAATCGATCATGTCTTGATACAACATAGTTGGCAAAGCAGTATAATTAATGTACGGTCTTATCGCGGAGCAGAATGTGGGTCGGATCATGAATTAGTAATCGCGAAACTTCGACAAAAACTTAATATAAAAAAGAGAAAAGAAAACCGTTTCGATTTTGAGAATTTTAATTTGGAAAAATTGAAAAATCCATCAATTAGAAACCAATTCGAGCTAGATGTTAAGAATAGGTTTGAAGCTTTAGAGCTTCCTGACGAGGACCACGAGGATATTGACAAGTTATGGATAGAGATCAGGGATAATATTAAAGCGGTCGGTAACTCGTGTCTAGGAAAAAACGAAAATAAGAATAACAAACCGTGGTTTGATGAAGATTGCTTAAACATGTGTGAAAAAAGAAAAGCCGCTAAATTAAAAGCTCTAAATAATCCTAGCGAAGACAATCTGGAATACTTCCGAATCTCAAAGAACGAAACGACAAAATTGCTCAAAAATAAAAAAAGGGAGTATCTTAAAAATAAAATAATTGAAATAGAAACTAATAGAATCGAAAATAAAGTAAGAGACATGTACAAAGGTATAAACAGATCACGTAAATATGTAGGGCCCGTAACGTCTGGAATTAGGGATGATAATAACAATATTCTGACCGATCCGGTTGACATATTGAATAAGTTTAAGGACCACTTTGACAATATTTTAAATACGGGAAATTATGATCTGTGTCCTCCTTCTGAGTACCAGAGTGCTGAACCGTTAATAGAAGGACCAAGTAAAGAGGAAGTTGAATTAGCTATCGGAAAATTAAAATCATATAAAGCAGCGGGAATCGATAATATTCCTACTGAACTAATTAAGGCATGCGGGGAAGCTGTAGTTTCTAAAATACATCGGTTGGTTAAAAAGATCTGGGTGAATGAGAAATTACCTGAAGAATGGAAAGAATCTATTCTTATTCCGATTCACAAAAAGGGTCCGAGGACTGATTGTAATAACTATCGAGGAATTTCACTCCTTCCGGTATGTTATAAAATATTTACTTTAATCTTAACCAGTCGAATCACGGAATACGCCGAGGAAATTATCGGAGACTACCAATGCGGATTTAGACGGAATCGTTCGACAATTGATCAAATATTTTCTTTACGGCAAATATTAGAGAAAAAATTGGAGTATAACGGTATTGTTCACCAGCTGTATATAGATTTTAAAAAGGCTTACGATTCTATTGACCGCCAGAAACTGTATAATATTCTAATTGAGCAGGGGATTCCAAAAAAACTAGTAAATCTAGTCAGGATGTGCTTGACGGAGACACTCAATAAAGTTAGAATCGGTAATAATTTGTCCGAAAAATTTGAGGTTCGTTCGGGCTTAAAACAGGGGGATTCTCTTTCGCCTGTCCTGTTCAATTTGGCATTAGAACATGCCATTAGGGAGGTAATGCGAACCGAGAAAGGGTTGGATCTGGGCGGGACAACATCCGTGCTGGGCTATGCTGATGATCTGGTACTGTTAAGCGAAGACGTTGAGACTATAAAACTAAATACGACAACGTTAATGAAAGCCGGTAAAGAACTAGGACTCGAAATAAACGTGGATAAAACAAAATATATGGTTAGCTGCAAAAATGACGATACTACTGGTGATATCGATATAGATGGTAATATGTTTGAACAGGTAGATAAATTTAGGTATCTAGGTTCTACGATAACTAGAAAAAACGAAATTGAAGAAGAGATTAAGGTTAGACTGAAGGCGGGGAATGCTTGTTATTTTTCTGTGACAAAACTACTTAGTTCGCGCCTCTTGTCCCGAAACTTAAAAATTAGAATCTATAAAACAATTATCTTGCCTACAGTTCTTTATGGATGCGAAACTTGGCCGCTTACATTAAGGGATGAGCAGCGTCTTAAGGTTTTTGAAAATAAAGTATTGCGTAGAATATTCGGACCGAAGAAGGATGAGTTAACCGGAGAGTTCAGACGGTTACACAACGCCGAATTGCGTGAGCTGTATCCGGGTAATATAATTGAGGTAATTTCATCGCGGCGAATCAAATGGGCTTGTAAAGTTGTTGGGCTTAGTAACGAGAGAATTCCTAAAAGGTTAATATGTGCGGTGCCGAATGGTAAGCGTCCGAGGGGTAGACCGAAGCGAAGGTGGGAAGATTGCATTAAAGCCGATCTGAAGGGACTGGGTTTGGACGGCGAGCGGTGGAGGGAGGTGTGTAACAAGCGATTGGTGGTGTCGGCATCGAACCTTCGGGTTCGCTAAGCCTTATTATTTATTTATTTATTTATTTTATTTTATTATGGCTATGTTCCCTTGACAACAGTTGATATAAGGTGGCACTTCCTGTTAGCCGATTTTGACAAAAAAGTTGCTGTAACATCCCAGCCATATACAAACCTCAAATATACAATTTCACTTTCATATGACTTTTCGTTTTTGAGCTAGACTGATAACATACACACAGACATACAGACCATTTTGTGGGACTTGGTTATTTGGACTCAGAGGACCTCAAAACATGTATTTCCATTGAAAACTCAGATTCGAAAATTTTCACGATCGCAATACTTTCCCTTTGCTATGTATTACATATATAAGTAAGTGAATGTAAAAAAAAAAAATCGGATTCATTGTATGTTGTTATATGGGAATAGACACTTATCTCGATTTCAAAAATAATCTATTATGGCTCAGTTTGGAAATAAATGACTCAATTTAGCCATTTTAAAACAAAAACTATATTTAGAGAAGTTTAAATAGTCAACTGATCAATTATGAAGATAAAACAAAATTGTCAAGATTTTCAGTCACAATAATGTTTATTGTGTTAGCTGACGTTTCTAAAAAAATCACTGACGTTCTCAAAAATTATATTTATATACATCATGATCACTTCTTTATTTGAAGTATTCATTAATTCTAAAATTGTTCTCTTATTATAGTCGAATACTTACTTATCTTTGGTCAATTGGTCATATTAATGAAAACTTATTCTAATTTCTTTTTATATAACTTAAATCTTATGAAGATGCAGGGGTGCTCAGAAGGAGATTTCATGGTGCAAGTTGCGCTATCAAAATTTTTGAGGGAGGCATATTTTGATGGGTTTTTGAATTTTTGAGGGAGGCAAATTACGACGGAGTTATGAATTTTCAGAGTAAGGTACAAGGAAAAAAACATGCTGCAAGTGTAATTGTATACCATTAATGATTTTTCTTATTCTACCTTAGCTTGCTCTGTTTTTAGGAAAAGGTGAGCAATAAAATATCTTGGGAGGAGGGGAGAAGAGGGAGGGGAGGCCTCGAAGGGCGCCATCGATCTTGGGGGGGACGGAGTGGATGAACATCCTTCTGAAGATGTATACTAATACATCTAATAGAATTATTGAGTTTTATTTTGTGGTCAACGCTTTGGTTTTTAGGCTATGATGAACAATCCAACGACTTTGATAGCGGTGAAGTAAAATTTGGAAGGTGCAGCTGCTGCCAAGAGCAAGCTGCATTCGGACCAACGTCAAATCGGTCTCCATCCAGAATATCAGAGGTAATTTAATTTTTATTGCTATTAATAATTATTTAGTCATTTATTTTTATTTTATCACCGGTAATTACTATTATTATCACTTGCTTCATAGATATTACCACATTCAGTTAATTTCTTATAATGAATATCATTTGAAGTGCTGAGAGCCGAGCTAAAGAGCGGTATTGGTCTCTAAAGCCTCAATGAAGATAATGCTAACATGCTCCTTGAATGCCTGTTAAAAAAAAAAATAAATAGAATACAGAAGCAACAGATTATAGAAACAGTGATCCTTTTAGGGATAATATATTTATCCCCTCTATGGAATATATTCAGGTGTCCTATATTATATTAGATTGTGTTATGTTTACAGATATCAGAGAGAAAACATAATCTATTTAGCTTTTTTAAAGTTATCTCTAATTTTTATTTGAAATTTATTTCATTTTCAAGATTTTCAATAATTGTTAATGACTCAAGTATCTTCATCTTGAAAATGTTTGTTTTTCTTTTTAGATAATTTTCACGTCATCGAAATCAAATATATATTCTTTTTCCAACCTATGTAGTACAAATGCAGTTTTTCTATTATATTTTTATTTTTGTAATCATTTTTATGTTATGTGTTTTATCTTTTATATATTGCTTAATTTCACTGCAATAATTCTCATGAATATACAGAGGCTTTTGATTTACCTTTTTAGCTATAATGAAATTAATAACTCATTTATTTTATATTTTCCAGGTGAGTTCTAAAGGAAAAAATATGAAGGATGGATTTATACCTCAGACAATGCCACAATCAAGACGGACCTCATCTATGGACTGTATGTTTTTTCTTTTTTTATCTGCATAAATAAGTATTTTTATGAAAGTTTAATTATTGAATTAAGTACTAGTTCCGTTTCGTTAGTACAAAATGGAAGACAGTTTCAAGATCACCAGAGCATGCCGAAAGTAGCTGATTATTTATAATCCTGTTTAGATCAAACAGAGCTGCTTCGACATACTCTTGTTTAAGTTAGGTAAGATTGTAATACTATATTTCTAAGGCCTAAATATGTAAAATCATAAAATAGGTAATAAAGAAAATATTTTCTATTAAAAGTAAATTAATACAGCTTATTTGCATTCAAGAATATATATTTAATTATATGAAATCACAAACCCCCCGCCCCTCCAACGATAAGTAAATAGACAACACAAATGATAATAAAACACATAATTAAAATTAATTTGCAATTACTAACCTGACTGATAGATTTGGGGAAATGTGGAAGGATGAATAAAGATATAATAATAAAATATGTATAGAAAAAATATGCACAATAAAATAATAGTCCGTGGTACAGACCCCTTTTTGATCAAATTATTAACATCCATCTGAAACTTCATAAATAATCTCATCATAAACTACAACTATTTTATTTACGAAAACTCTTGGAATTGGGGCATTTTCAATCTGGAGATCAGCAAACTTTGTCTATTTAATGAGGTACTGAAAACTCATGAATAGAAACACATTTGCTTTCCAATTGGATCGTAAGATCACAAAATCGAGAAAAAAGGTGGCCTACAAATATATTAAGCTGTTTGGCTTCGTTATTTTGGAGTTGTAAGTCATGTCAAACGGCTTAATATTTTTGAAGTTCACCTTTCTTCGATTTTGTGATCAAATTATCTTTATTATCACAAATGGGTGTTTAGATGTTTTTATTACCTAATTAATAGACAAAGTTTGACGATCTCCAGATTGAAAACGCTCCCATTCCGAGAATTTTTGAAAAAAAAAGTATTTGTAGTTTACGATGACATTTAGTTATTTACTGAGTTTCTGGCGGATTGTAGTAATTTGATAAAAAGAGGTCCTTACTATGGACTATATCATGTGATACAGAAAAAATTTTGATTTCTGTGAAAATATAGTGTTGTAATTATTATTATTCCTACGTTAATAAACAGATTTTCAGATCGGAATTCTATAAATTATATTTATCTCAATATTTTAACTAATAGTATTACATTATCACAGTGGAGATCTGCGATGTGTAAAGCTCGGGTGAAGTCTGCTGGTGTTGACTACTTGAAGTGTTTTTGGCATATGGATTAAAATATCTCAAAAACTAAAAATCGGACCTGCATACTGTAATCGAGGGAAATTTTCAGAATTTTCAGACGGCGTTACAAATAAAATACTATTTTAACAATTTAGTATTTATTTTACCGCACCTCCTGACCAACTCCTTCTTATATATAAATAATGCGTTATTATCAGAAATAATGCGTTATTATTTCTAATTTATATTTCATATTATTAGTCTCGTCTTGTTGATGTTTTCATTTCTATTGTATGGTCTAAAGCATACATCTTAGTTTTTCATCGGTAGGATGAAAGAGTATATTTTTTTCTTCTGTGGCAGACATTTTTCTCCTTTATAAGTCCAAAGATTTTCCTATGGATCCTTCATTCGAATGTAAGAAGTTTTCCCTAATCTGCCTTGGTGGTAGTCCAAGCTTTTGATTCATAGGTCAACACTGGGCGTATCGTAGTCTTGTATAGATGCATTTTTGTTTTATTACTTAGAGACCTACTTTGTAGATGTTTCGATAGGCCGAAGAAGCATAGGTTAGTAGTAGTAATTCTTTCTATTTCTAGATCGAGGTCATTGCTTGAACTAAGTTCCGTGCCTAGATAGGTGAACAATTCCATCTGCCGTAACTTGTAGGATTCTATTTCTATGAATGGTTACTGGATCCCTCCACCGCCAGCACACATATATTTTGGTTCATTAATTGCCAGTCCCAGCTCCTTTGCAGCCTTTTCCAATGCCAAAAATTCTTCCTTTAGGGCACGCACTGGTCTCCACTGTCATCTTGATGAGCTGTGTTAATTTCCTCTGAAGTTTAAATCTTCCCTGGCTTTATATAATTTCCTCCTCTTCACACTATCAACTTAAAAGTCAACAAAACGGTGATGAGTTACCATCTTATACATAAATATTATCGACTATTATAATTGAGTACAATTTTTTCTCTTAAAACTAGAGTTATTTAGAATCTTAGAATTAGCTATTTAGAATGGTAGGTTCCGTCTTCTTTAGGACACATAAGGGTATTTTCGAGTAGTGTGCTCTGAGTGATGTTGAAACCTGCCAATATCTTGGAGTAGTGGAAAGGAGTTAGTAATAGAGTTAATTAGTTCATTTTATAACTTAAAATATTTCTTTAAATTTGTATTTAGACCAATATAATAACTTTGTGCCTGAAGAAGAGGAGAACAATCCTTCCGAGACGGTCCCTTTATTACCTCACAAGGAGGACGGATCGTGTTGTTTATGCTGTCCTCGTGCGCCAGGTTATGTGTAAGTAGTTGTATTAGCTAGTTAGCTATTGCCTTTATTAAAAAAAAAAAAAAAAATATATATATATATATATATATATATATATATATATATATATTGTAACGTTCCTCTTTCCCTCCAAAATCAAACAACGAGTTTCCTTTTTCAATATACTATTTATTTTAGCACTATAATTTACTAATTGCTAAATACACTAATTATACATATAAAATTTATTATTGTTTTCAAAAATCTTGATGGTCCCAGTCTAAACTTTGTGGCTCTATCCCTCTGTCAACATAAATGGCATTGTTAGCACTCAGCCAAATGTTTACGCCTGTCAGCAAAATAATCTCTTCTTACTTACGAATGTTCCGTTTTCTGTACCACTTAATTCTTTTCTGCTATGTTTTTTTTTTTTTCTAACACAAAATAATCTCCACTAGTGGCCTCTATCAACACTCGAACCGGCTAGGACTCCTTTTTCACTTTCTCAGCTTGCTGGCTAGCACCTTCTCACTTGGCAGCTCGTCACCTTCTCTCTTGACAGCTTGTTACATTCTCTGTTACATGAGGCTTGCTTCCCCCACCATCTGCACGCGCTTCCTCCCCATAGTTCGTGCTGTTACCACTTTTGCGCCACTATTAAAATGCCATGTAATGTTGACATTACAATATATATATATATATATATATACAACAAAAACCTTTGTTCCTCTCCTCTCTGGGAATTTCCTTCTTGGGAAACTACAGAGCAGCCATTTTCCTTTTCCTGCACTAGTAGAACTGGATTAGCTTGCCTTTTAATTGTTCAACATTAATTTATTAAATCATTTTTACCCACTTCCAATAAAGGTGTATATGTCAATATATATATATATATATAAAGGGGGCTGTGGTAGTCTTGCGGGCTAAGGCGCTTGCAATAGGTTATCAAAGTTAAGCAACACCGTGCATGGCTAGGACTTGGATCGTTGACCGTCCACCAAGGAAAGCCACGCTGCCTGAGATTCCTTCCTCCCTCATGGGTATGTGAGGCCCGTCAGACTACTGGAGGCAACTCACACTACTGGGCATAGGATTAGTAAGGGTTAGTTTTAGTTTAGCGATCGTGAAAAAAATTTTTTTCTCCTAGAATGTTCATTTTAAAACTGAAGTGTTATTTATAGACCAAGATTTTTTTTTTCATTACAAGCCCGATATGGAGGTCTAAATGCGGATCACAGGACTTAAAGGAGGTCTCAATGTGCTCTGCAGGCTAACAAGTTTGGAGCTCCCTGACTTAGAATAACTACTTTTGATCTATCGATGATAGACAATGAAAACCTCATAACTTCATTTTGCTAAATTTTACAAGAGGAAAAATAACAGTTTAAAGTCACAGAAGTTAATAATGTATAAATAACAGTTAATGTTAAAATAACAGTTAATAATGTATAAAGTCACAGAAGTTTAATTCCTATAATTTTTACTGTGTAGAACGATCCTTACTTATCTATAGATTATGGGAAATAAATATTCAGGACGCAGTCTTTTTTTAAAATTTTTTATTTTTGCCAACGTTTCAACCCAAACATGTGGGTTGAAAGGTTGGCAAAAATAAAAATTTTTAAAAAAAAGACTGCGTCCTGAATATTTATCACCCATGATATGTAGAACAGTCGACCAACATCCTTCAAGTATTTATAGATTAAATATAAGTACTTTCAAATCTCTATTTGTATTTAGACTAATGATACTGGAGTTGTTTGGTTGACGGAGTTACAGGGCTTTAATTGCCTACCGTATATAAAATAAAAAGGGTTTGAGTTATTTTGATTTTCTTAATGGGTTTTTACATTGATAAATATGAAAAAAATCCACAAATATGTTTTTAAGGTTTAGCACCATTTAAACTGTGCCTTTTGCAATAGCATAATTTTGCGAATATACAAATAATTTGAAATCAATTAAATGAATGAATAATTGTGGATTGATGGTTGACTCTAATGAATAATTGAAAAAAGGATGGTTGGGATGATCAGTCGAAAAGTCTTGCAGTCCAATGTGGTCTTGCAGAATCCTTTTGTTCGACCAGCCCTGATGAAGGCCTAGATGTCGGCAAAAATAAAAATAAATATACTTATTTATTTTTACTGATCATTCCAACCATTCTTCTCTTGAAAAATCAGTGAATAATTTGGTTTTACTTCTGTTAAATCGCAATATCATGCATTTATAATTAGTGTGATAAGTGGTAAGTGAAAGTTGTGTGATGCGTGCACCATTTTTTTCATCTTCATTTTAGATCAAATCCATTTATTTAATCGAACTGATTTAATGTGAGGTCTTGAACGGTATATTTTATATTTGAAGTTTGTTAATTTTTTTTATTTCAATATTTTATTGTGTTCATCATTTTAATATTTATTATTCTAAGAATATTTCCTAGTATGAAGAGAAAATCTTCAACAGAGATGAATAAGGATCGAGATATACAATCTTTTCCTGCAGAATTGAAGAATCATCAGCATTATCCTATGGTGGGAAAGAACAATCATTCAAACAGTCCGAACAATCAGTCCAGTCCCACTGAGATAAGGAAGCATCAGTCCGATCCTACCGAGAGGGATATAAATCAGTACAATCCTTTGCAGAAGATGAAGGATCTTCAGTTATTACCTTGTCCTTTGTGTGACTGCAGCAATAAACTGGTGCAACTTATCAGGTTGTTTGCAACATTAAATAAATTAATTAAATTAAAATGCACAGTCGGCATAGAATATTGAGATAGTATTGGCAATTTCCTCTAGAAGTTGGATGTGAAGATAGCAGAACAATATCATCCGCAAAAGCCAGATATTTAATTTTACAATTTTCCTCTACACAAATACCACCATCTAAATTTTCTTCCAAATCATTTATATATAATGAAAATATAATCAGACAAAGCAAACAACCTGCTATCTTCACATCCAGCGACATTACAGAGTAATATAAATTATCTAGACAAATACTGGATCTGAAATGGAATAAAAAAAATGGAATCTGAGAATAAATCTCGAAAAATCTAAAATAATGGTCTTTCGCAATGGCGGTAAGCCATCACGTAAAGAAAAATGGTTCATGGGCTACAAAAGTATAGACGTAGTACAACAGTACAAATACTTTAATTCTCATAAAATAGTAATTCTCACGCCTATTCTCTCAATGTCCAAACATCTGGCAGAAAAACTGGAGAAAGCCAAGGTGGGTTTGAATTTGATTTGGCACCTGTTTATCGAAAACAAAGACATAGCTATATCCAAATAATTACAAGTATTTAATTCCGTTAGTAGGGTAGTGATGTGCTATGGAGCGCAAATCTGGGGCGGGGTAAGTTATGAAGCCGTGGAAAGACTACTAAGATTCTTTCTTAAAAAAATATTTAAATTATCAAAATATACTCTAACACACTTTATTCACTTTGAGACTAAAATAGATCCGTTATTTATCTTCACAATTAAACTCAATTTTGATTATATTGTAAAAATTTTGAATCTTCCACCACATAGATATCCAAAAATATTAGCACTACAGATAATTAAAAAAGAAATCGCATGGTTTAGGGACTTACTTAATCTGATTGAACGGCATGGATTAAATTTCAACTTAAATCAATCTAACTGTGATGATGTTAAACTATGGAGATCTAATTTATATTTACTAAGAACTCAAATTCAGAATTCTAAAACTTTCACTTTTTATCCTCATTTAACTTCATTAAAAATTATATTGAAGACAAAAGCTCATTGAAGGTGATCAGACGGGTAATTAAAATTATAGCTGATGTTTTGAACTTAAATTATAAACACTTCAAGCAAACAAATAATAATTGTAGCATGTGTAATACAAACGAAACAGAAGAACTCTATCACTTCCTGGCTGCTTGTCCGATACTCTCTGAATTCAGAATTAAATGGTTAAAGTCTAGAAATTTATCTCGGGATCAAGTAATTGATTTATTAAATGGAAACAATTGGATAGCATTGGTAAATTACTGCAAGTCTGCTTTCTCCAATAGAATAATGCTTACCAGAGAATTTAACAATTAATAAATTGGAGAATTTTGGTACCACTGTTTTTGTAATTAAAATATTTGTATATCTTTTACATTGTAAATATAATTGTTCTTATTTTCCTATTAAGTATTTGTATATAAATAGACTGAAATATAATTTTGTTATGAAACACAGACTCCTCTGACGGTTTACAGACCATGTAGCACGTCTGATTTTCGGTTTTAAATCCAAAAATATTATTTTGTAATTTATATTTTGTAATTTTGATAAATAAAAAGACCTTTTCTTCTTCTTCCTCTAGAAGTTGCCAAAATTTGGGATAGAATAGATCTTAAATAAGGCTTATCATATCTTTGTTGTAATAATAAAGCTAGGTGCCTAGGTAGCAGCACTGTATCATAATCTCATGCAGTTGTTTTTACTATTTTATTTTATTTTAAGTGTTTTAATAATGACAAAGGTGTGAAATAAATATATAACGATTATATAAAAAAATGTAGATTAAAAATAAATAACAAAATTTATTTTCTTTATTTTTATCTTTTTTTTTTCTTTTATAACCCTTTGGAAGGAGAATTATTAATTTTTTTATGAATAATAATAATTTTAATTTTTTTGTTTACATTTAATCAATAATAGATTATGCTTAAAAAAAAACACTAATAATCCACCATGTAGGTAAACAAAATAAAAAATCTGCTCAACTAGAAAAAAAAGGTTTTATCAAATATTTTATAATAGCCCATGATACAGATCCTTTTTAATCAAATTATTAACATTCGCCAAAAACTTCATGAGTAGCTTCATCTCATCATAACCTAAAACTTTTTTATTAACAAAAATGCTCGGAATTGGAGCATTTTCAATCTCGAGATCGCCAAACTTTGTCTATTTAATTAGGTACTAAAAACTCATGAATATCCATTTGCTTTTCACTTCAATCGTAAGATAATTTGGTCACAAAATTGAGAAAAAAAGCGACCTACAAAAATATTGGGCTCTTTGGAATGACCTCCACCCCAATATGTCGCAAGGTTATATTGGCAAAATGGGCCAATATTTTTGTAGGCCACCTTTTTTTTTACAATTTTGTGATCAAATTATCTTACAATTAAAGTGTATTGCTTATTGCAAATGTCCATTCATGATATTTTAGTGCCTCATTAAATTAATTAAAATGAAAAAATTCTCCATTTTTGTAGATAAAAAAATTGTAGGTCATGGTAAAATGGACCCATTCACGAAGATTTAGGCAGATGTTAATATTTGATAAAAAATGGTCTGTACCATAGACTATAATATTTTGGGTTTTATAAGCCATTTTCAAATATTCTAAATTTAACAAAACAGACAAAAACATCTTTAAAAACTAAGGGTTATTTAAAAAATAAGGTTATTTAGTTTGTACAATACTAATTTTTGTTTCAAATAAAGTGAATAAAGTATGTCAGTCACAATGAGTAATAAATATAATAATAATATTAATATCATTCATTAATTGTTAAACTATAGAATATAACTAATTTAATAAACAAGAAGTCTTTAATTCTCTGACCATTTCTAATTTAATTGTAGTTTAACAAGAAAAAAATGAATTATAAAAAAAAACTATCATAATTTAATTAGATTGACATACATACGTACACCGTATGGAGAAAATTGAGGTTAATAATTTACTAGTTATTTTAGTATATTATTAATGAAATCAATTTATACTTAGTAAATTTTTGGTGAAATTAAATTTTTTTGTATGGTTTTACAAAAACATGGTAAGTACATCAAAACAGCACAAACTTTTATTCTTATTCATATCAAAAATAATTATACACTAATTATATGTACGAAATGTTCTGAATTCATTGAGAAAAAATTCATCAAAGTACATAATGATTTAATTTTATGAAATGACTTTTTGTAATAATATAATATGTTATATAGATTGATCTTATTCTTATTATTTAATATTTTTATAATAAATGTGTTTTAGAAGATAACAATACTTAAGCAATGTAAAAGTAGGCAAGCTATACTTCAAGAGTCTACATTATGCCTTAATCAGCTGATTGTGCTCTGTTTTAGGAAACGTAGCGGTGATAAGCAGAAGGAAGACATCTCAAAGCCTCTTTTCTACTCGAACCTCTGCAAAGCTTACCAACGGCTCATGCAAGAATACTATCTTACACCTGCCGTCAAATCCTCTGGTAACTTTAATCGTCCGGGTACATTTTAGTTCATCTGATCCTCATAACTTATCGAATTGTTTGGTGTACCCTTTTCAGATTATTAAAATTATTTACAAGCTGATCCAAACTACAGGTGATTCTATGTGTGACTTACAAAATGTGAAACAGTAAAATAAATGTCTTGAAAATGAGAATGATTTTTGTAATAATTATAATTACCTTATTTGTCTTCTAAATACATGTTATATATTTGGCTTTGTTTAATTCTATAAATATAAAAAAATCTAACAGAATAATTGTTGTAAATATTTATATATTATATTTTAATTTAATCATATTATTCAGAATTTGATGTTTCATGTTTCAAGATACTTAGAAGAAATTCAAGCTCTATCAGTGGCTTTTAGAATTGAATTTTTTCAAATTTAGTACCGAAGTCTCTGGTCAGGCAAGAATGATCGTTGGGACATTACTTACAAAATATTCCCAAGTATATGCATATATTGAAAGATGATACCGTCATCTTTTAATTTTTGGATATGTTAATAAATATTTTGTAATGTCGGAGGATTAGGAAAACATCAGAAGGTTAGTTCCAACTTTCGAGTCCTATCAGCTCATTCTGGAAGTGTCAACTATTTATATTACTAGGTTGTTGTACATGAATTATGCATGAACATAATTCTTAATTCCAACTCACATAATTAATCTTATAAGAATGTTTTTGTTTCTATTATTTATGTCAATGTTTACTTTGACTAATCCTTTAATTCCTTGTGACTTGAGTTGGCTTCATGGGGTCATTCACATTTTTAAAACGCATTGCGATGTCAGAAGAAAAAATTGTGACACGCGGTTTTTAGAAACATTACTGGAAAAAAGGTTCAAGCAAAAGGGCAGCTGTCTAAGAAATTTGTGCCATAGAAAAGGTTAGTTATCCATCGAAATACTGCCACATTTTGGTTCAGGCATTTCAAAAATATGAATATAAGACTAGCAGATGTACCCAGTTTAGAACAATGGCTCATTTTTTAAAAGGTGGGTTTTTGATAATAACGAAGATGTAAAAATTGGATGTGAAGATAGATAACAAAAAAGAATTTGTCACTACTCGATCACCATAGAATAGAAAATTGAACTTTATTCTGGGACTAAGTCCCGTTAGAATAACAATGATGAATTAATACAAAAGAAAATACAAATCTGGCCAAAAAATAACTTATAAAAATTCTAACATTATATACATTATTTAAAAAATAGTATGTAACCACTAAAGAAAAAAAAAAAAATAAATGAACATAAAATCTTCTCAAAATTACTTATTATTGTGATGAAAAAAAAAAAAGGAATTACATATTTATATATACATAACTACACAATTTATAAACAATAGCTAACTAATAAAAAATTAACTTAATAGAAAATGCAATAATATCTTCAGTGATTTATATAATAATATGGAAACACTAAAGGAAATAAAAATAAAATCTCAGGAATACTTGTAGTGTAAAGGAAAATAAAGGAATATATATATATATATATATATATATATATATATATATATATATATATATATATATATATATATACATACATAAATATATTAGTACACAGAGAGACAAAAAGTATAACCTGAATAAATAAAAAAAGTAAATAAAACAATAATAAAATAAGATAACAAAAGTAATAACAGAAAGGCATTGGTTTAGATATTAAAATATAAAAAATAGGCTATTAATAAACTAGCACTATAAAATAATGTGTTAACAGTTAAACAAAAAATCTTCTCAAACATGATTATAGTTGAAATGGAAAAATAGAGAAAAAAAATATATATAATACGTACATATAAAATATATAGCCAGAAAAAAAAAGCAAGACCTGAACCGAAGAGAAAAACAAATAAATAGTAAAAATAATAGTCAAACTAGGTGACAGATATCATTGATGCTTTATGCCAAAACTTAAACAGTAGGCTTCACCATTTACTTTTCACAAATTCAATTCATAAAATAAATTTTATGGTTGCGAATCGTCTGTTTGGGTGATATGTGAGTATATTTGAAGATTTTTTAAATTAATCTGGCATAACGAATTGAAGTATAATTTTGGACAATTGCATAAGGAATTGGAATAAAATGCATTGCCATTGTTCACTATACAGCTTCAGAGAATGGGGAAGAAACGAAAAACTGAGCTATATTCTGAGTCTATATTTTGTAACTCATTAATATGTTTTTAAATAAATTAATTATATTTCACCAAAGAATTTTGTATTAATTTTTTCTTGCAAGACAATAAATCTTTTTTAAAGATCTTTATGAAGATATCAGAATTATGTATTTCAGGAGAAAATTTTAGGATATCAAAAGGATATCTTTCAGACCTATCACAGATATAGCCCAGTCAAATTAGACATGCTACCTTGCTAAAGATTGGGTAATTCAAACTTCTTTTTTTCTATTGTTAGGTATGTAGTGAATATAAAAAATCCAAGTTTCTGCTGTTGAACGCCTTGTGAGTTTCCTGCAGTGCTCCAAAAAAAAAAAAAAAACCATTGAAATTATGAACTTTTGAAACAAAGGATTTGCAGCAGAACATAAAAAACATCTAGAGACCATATCTTTGCTTCTAATTGTCTGACTTTATAGGGAATACAGTGAATATTTAAAAAACCATATACAATATCTACAAAAAAGTGTATACTTTTTGCGAGTTATATCCGGAATCATTTTAACATCCCTCGTAACTTTTTTTCCAGCTTCTTTAGGCTGAAGTATGATATATAGATAAATTTAAAGGGCATCAAGAAGAAGACTTTTGCCAAGTTTCATTGAAATCGGTACATTCGTTTAGGCGCTACAGCTTATAACAACACAGTTTTTTCGGCCGCCATTTTGAAAGTAAAAGGCGGATAGTAATGTCGATGAAGGAGGGTCATCCTCGGGTGATCTCTGATTTTATATCCAAATTAGAAAAAAATCGGTCCAGTAGTTAGACGGCGGACGGACTAAAAAATTTGTATTCGTTTTTCGAATTCTACGTATCCTGAAACGTAAAACCTTAAGTTTTGAGAGGGGATTAAGTTTTTTGTGCTAATTTGACTGGGCCACTAGCGGATCCAGAATTTAATTTTTTTTTGGGGGGTGGAGCTTCAGCCCAAAACCTTTTTTTTCATAAATACGTATGACGGTAATTAATTTGGAAAAAAAAGAAAGAAATTAACTACCTACATGAAATGTAGGATTCTTAAAGTCCTATTAAATATAATTACACGAACAAGAATATATTAAGAGATAGTTTTTAATATTTTTTCTGTAAAATTGCTTTGATCCAAATATTCTATGAAATACTTTATTAAAAAAAAAAACAACAACGTGCATTCCCCTTCCTCCTTTTGAGTTATCAGAAACAACTGGATGATGATGATAATCATGCAAAAGTTGGAAAAATATTAGTTTTTGAATTGTGCCTGGCTTCTTACAAAGTAGAAATATATAATGAGAGTAATTATGAATGGTACGAATTAAGAACCAAAATATACATTATTTTTAAAGATGGACTACTTGTTTATCCAAATAGCTACTCAGATTTTCTCATGATTGGCCTCGATGGAAAATTCCTGTAATGGATGCCTCAGTTATATCACATGGCCATATCCTGTTGTTCTTTCTTCCAGACTGCCTCTTTTGTTTATTATCGCTTCATTCGTTTCGATCACGAAGATGACTCTCAGATGCCAGAGGATGACCCGGGGTTAAGCAATCCAAAAGAAATGGAGAAGGTCGTTAGATGGTCTACGAAGGACAGAAAAAAAATATACCGGAGAAAGTTAGTTGGCTGAAGAAGACACAACCTTCATGGTGTCACAACCCTGGTATTATTACATACTAATTTTATTTTCTCCGATATAATAGTTTATCGATATTAGTATATCGATATCCTTAGAATTGTGTGTCATAGCGCGCCTCCCTTCCTCTCCCCTCAGGAAGGTGAGAAAAAATTTCATCTTGAAAAAAGTAACTACACATCCGGTGCTTTTATTATAATTAATTTAATTGAAACATGAATTGTATTAAACAATCATCCAATGAAATTATAAAGTAAAAATAAATAAATTATTTTTGTCCTCTGTGCTGACGTTTCGAGTGTAGGACGAATGTCCTTTGATTGACGAATGCTTTTCATCAAACACCCTTTAAACGAACAGCCCTGATGATGGCATGAAACTTATGCCGAAAAGTCGACATAAATAAATATTAGTAGCAAATAAATATTATTTATTTATTTTGACTTTGTTCTTTCATTGACTATATCTATCTTAAATAAGTAATATCAGTTTCGTACAACTTTTTGTTTTTGAGCTAGACTGTTCACATAAACACACACATGGCGGATCTAAGGGGAGATGCTTTGGGGCTTAAGCTCCCCTTCCCTCAAATTGTAAAGTATAACCAGAAAAACAGAAAAAATATTAAAAACTAAATTAAATCCTGGATCCGGTGGGAAAAAAAGTGAAGACAAAAAAGTGAATAACACGTGTGATCAAATACTTGCTTACCCAGTCAAATGTTTTACAAATTTTCGTTTGAAATGTCGTTTCTCTACATTCCTGTCATGCTTTGATCATTATTAACAAAGTTATGGGTGCTACTACAATAAATTTGATTGCTTTTACGTAACTAATACCTGATTTTTCAAAGTAACTAAAAAGCTATAAGTTAGAAGTAATGGTTCTAAAAGATTATTTGGCACAAATAAGATAAAAAAAAACGATACATATAGCACTATATCTTTGTCTGAGGCCTGCAAAAAAAAAAAAAAAAATGAACCGAAAATATTATGCTCGTAGAACAAAAATTACGCATTTTTTTCTCCTGAAAATTTATAGTTTTTGTTCTTTCACACTCCGTTGGAGTGTGGCTATTTACATTTTCAAGCGAACCGGGATTATCTATCCTTTATATATATATATAAGACTTTACGGTAGGAAATTCAACCTGGTTCACAAGTGTGCCTCTATCTTTCCACCTTAGTTCTGTTTGAA